GGGGACCTCTACCTAATGGAGACCTTGGAGGTACCGGAGGTGGGACTTGGGGACTATGTAATCCATTTCTGTAATTGGGAACAGTTATACTTATCTGTGGAGTTTGTGGCATTGGTGAAGATACTGATCTTTGTCTGACTGGAGGTGGAATTGGAACTTGAAGTAATGGTTTTGATAGAGCTTCCATGTCTTGACCTATTTTTGCATTCTGTAATGTGTTTTCCATCGTATTTCCTGTCATTTGACTGGTGAAAGCTTGTAATGAAACTGTGGGTGCTGATTGTGACTGCTGCTGTTGCTGTTGGTCTTGTGATTGTTGTTGGCCATTACCAGGTGCAAAAATTCTCGCCATATCCACCGGTCCTGTAACATTTGGTCTTAAGGGCGAAGNGAACGGTTATACTTATCTGGGTAGTTTGTGGCATATGTGAAGATACTGATCTTTGTCTGTCTGGAGGTGGAATTGGAACTGGGAGTAATGGATTTGATAGAGCTTCCATGCCTTGAACTATTTTTGCATTTTGCAACATATTTTGCATCGTTTTTCATGTCATTTGACTCGTGAAAGCTTGTAATGAAACTTAGGGTGCTGATTGTGACTGCTATTGCTGTTGGTCTTGTGATTGCTCTTGACCAGAACCAGGAACAAAAGCCCTCTCCATATCCACCGGTCCTGTAACATTTGCTCTTAAGGGTAAAGGACTATTAGTATTTCTATTAATATATTGGGCCATTTGATTAGGTCCTGTCATATTTGGTTGTAACATCATTTGTGCTGGGCCAGTCATATTACGTTGAAGTAAATTATCATTTGAGTATCCGTCATGGAAATGTACGGAGGATGGTATACGGTTTATAGATGCTGTATCTACAGAAAGCAAATTTTGGAAATGATTGATTTGAGATGCCATATCTTTAAGCATTTCTTTCTCTTCTTCGCCCATTTCTAGTTCTTGTTCCTGCAGCAATTGTGATGGTCCAGGTTGTGGTTTCATTCGGTTTACTAATTGATCCATATGCAATGAATATTCTAGTTGTTCTTGTGGTCTTGGGTAACCAGAGGGTGAATTTGAGAATGAGGCATCATGTGCCTTTATTTGACCTGACAATTTAACTGATTTCAATTCTTAAGATTTTCGTTTCTTAGGTAATTCATCAGGACGTTCACCAGTTAATAAAAATTGTGTAAAAATATCAATATCTAATGGCTTATTAGAATCTTGACTTCCATTCTCTGAACCATTAAGGTCTGTCGCGGTTTCATTTATAAGGAACCATTTCCGAAGTCAAACCAAAGATTCTTAAATCATCCCAATTTGCAGCCATTTGAATTGTACCAAAAAGGTTTAAAGTACGATTCTTGTCAAAAATATTCCAAAATTTTAAAAAATTAATTATCATCCAGATACTATTCCAAACATCACCAAATCTCTATCTATACAATAACCATACAACTACCTAATTCTAAACTGATTGAATACCATTTCTATACAAAACTGCTTTCTTAAACTAGTTTTGAAAATTTTACACTATAAAAATTACTCACGTGATTTACATCATTTCCGCAATAGTTAAATCACGTGAATTTGAATTCAGAACACAAAGCGCAAAATTTTTTTCCCGCGGAAAGGTCCCTTGGCCCAGTTGGTTAAGGCGCGGTGCTAATAACGCCGAGATCAGCAGTTCGATCCTGCTAGGGACCATCATTTTTGTGATGTATGTGATATTTTTTTTAGTATCAATAGAGAGGACCAGCAATTGTTCCGTTCGCTGTTTTTAATATTGGCATTGCTTCATTTTAACAAGGATATATGAGCTGTTCTAGTGAGAGAATGGTTCGAAATGAGCTATTTGCTACATGCTAATTTCAAAGCGTTGGGATGAAAAATGGAACCAAAGAATATTTTATGAATATAATCTTCATATCCCCTATTTGAAAAGGCATAAGGCTTAATAAAACGTCGGCATGTATTTTGTTGCCGGATTGAAAGATTGATTGTAAAGATGAAATTTTTTTGTGAGTATTTCCGAAATAACAAAGAAGCAAAAAAAAAAATTAAATTAATTACATCCGGAATGAATGGAGGAAGTTACTCCGATAAATTTGGGCGTGGGGAGTGGGGGTTCAATACAAAATAATTTAATAATAATGTACAATAAGAAGGAAAATGCCGAAATGTAATAATATATGTTCCTATCACGGGAGGGAGATTACTTCTTTTAGTTCTATCATTAAGCCCATGGGTGAATAAACGGATAAACTAAACAATTAATGAATGCCCCCCCCCTAACGTCTATTTTATAGGAAACTCAAATCTAACGTTTAAACTATAATGGGCGAATCTTTAAAGCCAAAGGTTATTAGATGACGTATGACGAAGACAATAAAAGTCTCAGGGTCCAATTTTGACCAATAGTGATTCTTCCCTCTCTTGCGAGTTGGAAACGTCAAGTGTAACTGTGTGTAATGTGTATGTATTCCTATTTCCTTCGGTTCTATGTTCTATAAGTATATCGATTCAACAAGGATGAAATCCATACCAAGAAATTTAAAACTTCTGAAAGAGAGATTTTGATTTGGAATTTTTTTTTTTTTGGCAATCAAAATTATTTTTTTGTAAATTTTTGAGGAGTTTTTTTATTTTTTCAGTCATTAAATTATTTTTTAAGTAACTTTTGGGGGAAAATGAATTAAATTGATGTGTCTGATTGTCAGTCAGTCAGTCAGTCATTAAAAATATAAAAAGACGGGACAAATTCCGAAATATGATCATCAATCCAAAATGTAAACTTTATTATCCAATTTACACTACCAATATCTTAAACCCATCAATGATGAGTGATCATAATAAAGTTACTAAGGAAACCAAAATCAGTAAACGTCCAAGAGTTGTATTGGCATGTAATAGATGTCGACAACGTAAAACTAAATGTGACGGACAACAACCTTCTTGTGCAACTTGTTCCAAACGTAATGTTGAATGTGTTTATGGTTCAAAATATACAAGAGCTCATGTCACTGTTGAGTATGTAAGAGAATTAGAAGAGAAGTTGGGAATATTCCCCAAGACAAGTGCAGTACCACTATCTCATAATTCACCAAGTATAAGTAATATGGTAACATCCGATAGTGATAGTTATTCAATGCAACGTACCCCAAGTGTTCATTTACCCCAGCCACCAGAAATACCCCGGGCTCAACCAATCTCATATCCACTTCACCAACAAGCACAACAACAAACACATCACCATAGCGGATCAATTGCTAGTAATGGAAGCAATGGCAATATGCCCCATGATAACACTGACCATACAGCCACATCATTAACCCCATCAAATTCAATCAACTCCACATCTAGTGCACTTAGACGTAATAACGATTCCACTGATGCCATGGGAGCAGGAGCAATGATGAAACAAAAGCGAGGCAAAGATCGGGATTATTATGGATCATCAGCTGCTATTTCTTTCATGAAAGATTTATCCAATATAATCGATGGACCAGTCAAATCAGATACTTCTACAACTGATGATGATGAATTAGATAGAGGTAATGGACAATATAAGATGTCGAGAACTGAAGCGATGTCATCGAAACGGATTTCCGAATTGGTGTTGCCTCCTAGAGCATATGCTGATACTTATGTGAAGAATTATTTCGAGTTTGCATATACTTTATATCCATTTGTGCATAAGCCGACTTTCATGGCTACTTATGAAACCTTATGGACTGGCAATAAGAATGTTGATGATGATGCTGCTGAGATTGATGAATTGTTTTATTCGATTGTGAATATAATCTTTGCATTTGGATGTCAATTAGCTCCCGAATCTCAAAAGCTTGAAGATAATTCCGAATTATATTTCGAAAGATCACAACAAGCCCTTAGGTTTCATTTAATGGATAGTGGGTCGGTGCTATTGGTTCAAGCATTGTTATTGACTGGTCAGTTCTTACAAGCGAGTGCCGGTCTGGCTGGATGTTGGAATATTGTCGGCTTGGCAATTAGGATTGCACAAGGGTTGGGATTACATCTGAATCAAAACTATGCCAGTACTAGAAGTCTCATTGATCGAGAGATTAGGAAAAGATTATGGCAGGGGTGTTTGTTGATGGATAGGATAGTGTCAATGACAATGGGGAGACCATTGATGGTAACTTATGAGTTAGAACAAGGTGAAGTGCCACTCTGTGTCGATGATGAATATATTAGAGATGAAGCAATCTTGCCTATGAATAAACCATCTCAATTAGGTTTCTTCACCCAGACTATTAAATTGTATAATATCTTAGCTGATATTTTAAAGTCGGTGTATATCAACGATGAACCCGATGATAATCCTCAATTATTGCTGAATGTATTCAAATATGAAGATAGATTAAATGAATTCACCGCTAATTTACCCAGTCATATACAATTTAGTTCCGATTTACAAAAAATGATGCCATTTGAAAGACAAAGCATCGTTCTCCATATCCGAGTCCTCCACCTCAAAATCATGCTTTATCGTCCCGCATTATTTCCTAAAGCATCATCATCACCATCATCACAGAGGAAGCTTCTCGAAGGCAAAACCTCCGAATTATATTCCTCCACCCAAAGATCAATCGCATTATTATGCATCAATCTCGCCATGGAACTAATCAATGTCATTTCCAAATATCGTGCTGGGGATATAGTATACTTACCTGCTCATTGGTATAATGTATTCTATGTCTATACTGCCAGTACAATCCTCCTAGCTGCGAAATTACAGGTCACATTACATAAAGATATCGATATGGCACAGTTTGAACGTACTTGGAATCTCGGATTGGAGATATTACGGTCATACACACAACAATCAGAATCAGCTTGTCGTTGTTTGAAAGTGTTAGAAATGATGGGGAATAAAGTAAACATCTCGTCCCAAAGATTGGCTACTCAGGTGAATACTCCAGTTGCAATGCATGGTCATAATGATAATAATGGTGGGATTGATCAAGGGAGATTAAATCCAAGTTCTTCGATATTTCCTTTCCAGCCGGATTATAGCCCAAGTTCGACTTCGTCGGAGGTGCCTACAGATGTGTTGTATTCTTTGCTTTATGATACTGCTGGGCCATTTGGTGGTCCATTTCATTATAACGATGAAACTAATGCTTTTAATTTACGATAGGCGTAGTTTAGTTTAGTTTAGTGTAGGTATTTAGAAATTGAACGAGTTTTATTTATTACTCTTTTTTGCACCCAATTGTGGATCCCCCAATCTTTGTCTGTCCTACTAAGGTTAATTGTCAATCTTTCTCTGTTGACGCATTGTGTCACCTCCGAGTTTACTAAAATTGCTTTTTCTTTTTCTTTTTCTTTTTCTTTTTGTGTGTATATGTGTCATTTGTCATACAATCTTAATGAGTGTGTGATACGTAATCGGCAAAAGAAGCCAATGGTTGGGTCCTTTAAAGCATCAAATGCCCGGAAAAATATTAAATAAATATTTTTTAAGCTTTTTAGATTTGAACTAAAAAATAAAAATTCAAATTCTAAAAAAATAAAAAAATAATATTGCGGCATTCGGGATCTCATTCCGTTAGATCTTACTAATCGCCCCCCCTCCCCCCACATTAATAATTAACCGATTTAAATGTTGGAAGTTACTTCCGATCTGCCCTGTTTCCGGGGAACATATTCTCCATCTCATTTTAAAATCAGATTACGTAATATGAAAAATTCATATCATCCAGATTAGTATTCCCGAGAGTCACTCCTCTTCCGTCATACATATTCTAAAGCTATTCTCCTTTTCTTTCTTTCTTTCTTCTATTGGATAATTAAAAAATCTAACTAAAACGAAAAATGTCATATACTGGTTCCTGTCTCTGTGGTCAAGTCACATTCAAACTCAATGGAGAACCATCCCGTTCATTCATCTGCTACTGTGTCGATTGTCGTAAAGGTTCTGGTCATTTAGGTCAATTCATCAGTCAATACGCTACTGACAAAGTTGAAATTAAAGATCCAAACCATCAAATTAAGGAATATGTAGTTGAAAAAACTAAGAGTGGTCATCCAAAGAGAAAAGAATTTTGTGGTGGTTGTGGATGTACCATTCGTACATTACCAATGAAATTTAACGGGGAAGTTAGCATGATTAGACAATCTTTGTTGGATGGTGAGTTTGTCAATTGTGCTCCTCAATCGGCTATTTTTGGGGATGAAAAGAAGAGATATACCGAAGGTACAGAATCTGAGTTTTATTAGTGTATGGGTGGAACTGTTTAAGTATAGATTATAATAAAAGAGTATTCGTACAATTGATTCACTGTAGGGAGAGACGACCTCAAGATTAGTACTTTCTCCTAGGTTTGACAGCAAACTGGGAATATTCTCAATACCGGGATACTTCCCAGCATGCACCAAGAGATAACATCAGAGTCATTGATCTCTCCACATTTTCAAGCAGAATTGGTTACATATGCCGGAACACTTCCCAGCCCCAGTAGTCTCATTATTCTCGAGCAATATACAGAAAACGTTGTGATAAAACTATTCTCCTAATAAATTATATATGCATTCTATACCTATAAAAAATAAAAACCTATAAACATCCAATTTAAACAAAGTTCATCTTGTTAGAAAGAGTACCGATTTGTTCAATTTCAACTTCAACTTCATCATCATGCTTTAAGTATTTTGGAACCTTCATACCCATAGCTACACCACTTGGAGTACCAGTCATAATAACAGTACCTTGTTCCAAGGTGGTAGATTGAGAAATGAAAGCAATGATCTTTGGAACATTGAATAATAAATCATCAGTGTTGGTGTTTTGACGAACTTCACCATTAACTCTGGTGACTAATTGTAAAGTACCTGGGTTTGGAATAACTTGAGAAGAAACCAATTGTGGACCTAATGGAGCATATTTGTCAAAAGACTTGGAGAAACCCCATTGTGGAACACCACCGGCGTATTTTGGATCTCTTTGCCAAGTTCTAGCAGAAACATCATTACCAGAAACGTAACCAGCAACATAACTTAAAGCATCTTCTTCTTTGATGTCTTTACCGGTCTTACCGATAACAACACATAATTCACCTTCGTAATCACATTGGTTTTCTTGAGCAATGGTTGGGATTGGGACTGGTTCACCGAAATCAGCAACACAGAATCTTGGTTTGTAGAAGATAGATGGGAATGGTGGAGGAGTTCTACCACCTTCTTGAATATGTTTCATATAGTTTAAACCAACACACTTGATGATTGGAACATCATCTTCAGTTAATGGACCTAATAATTTCTTAACTTCTAAGACTTCATCAGTAACAACAGCATCTTCAAAGATGTTGTCACCTTTGATAACCTTAGCCTTAACGGTCTTACCTTCTAAGATTTGTCTACCAACATCATATTCAGCATCAGAGACAATTGGTTCACCTCTGTAGATCTTACCGTCGTTAGCAACGAATCTAATTAATCTTTTCCAAGCAGTAGTCATTGTAAATTGTATGTGTTTTAGTTAAATATATATAAAAGTATTTGATGATATTAAAAACAGGAAAACAAAAATTCAAGAATAATGGAATTCTCTTTGGTATTTATTTGGAAAAATTCAGGATGGGGAGTTCTGCATATTGTTTATGTCAAAGATGTCGAGATGTCGAGATATTGTGGCGGGCATTATTAGTCGGCCCAAAATGTACAATTCCGCCAGTATGGAAAAACCTGATACACAAAATAATTTATTGTGCATAACATTGCATAATAAAAACTATAGATTCGGATGAAAATTCCGATCTGGGTATTCAAGAAAGGTATGTTCGGATTAGATTCCGTAAGATTTGTCAGATTCGAAATCAATTCCGCAATTTTTGTTCAGGGACTTCGGAAAATTAAACCGAGACTCATTTTTTTTGACTCAAATTAAAAAAAGCAACTTTATTTTCTGAAAGGTTAATTTCCCCGGTGAGGGGCAGACAGACTCCGATGAATTAGAATTGTGTGGAGTCTGAGAGCAATGGAGGTATCTGCCGATATAAATTATTCTCTTCCGATGGGGGAGATGGCCTGATTATTATGTGCTCTACATACTCAAAGAAACAGTTATATAAACAGTCGAACGAGTCCGCAATTTGGAAAAAGTGTCTGTTTGTGTAAGTTCTTTCTTTTCCGTATCTATCTAATCATTAACTCAAATAAACAATCATGTCTCCAGTCGAAGCTACTACTACCAACAACGAAAAGGTTGAATTCTTAAAGAGTTTAAAACCAGAAAATGTCGAACCATTATGGACTGTCATGTCTGCCATGGTTCCTCCAGTTCCAAAACCAAAGGCTGTTCCAACCCTTTGGGATTATAAAAAATTAAGACCATTATTAGTTGAATCTGGTCGTTTAGTACCAGCTGAAGAATCAGAAAGAAGAGTCTTAATGTTAATTAACCCTGCTTTAAAAGCTCCTCAAACCACTGATACTTTATACGCCGGTTTACAATACATTAACCCTGGTGAAGTTGCTCCGGCTCACAGACACTCTGCTTTCGCTTTAAGATTCATTATTGAAGGTAATGGTGGTTTCACTGCTGTTGAAGGTCAAAGAATCTATATGGAAAGAGGTGATGTCATCTTAACCCCAAGATGGGAATGGCATGATCATGGTAAGGAAGGTGATGGTCCAATGATTTGGTTAGATGGTCTTGATTTACCAATGTTCCAATCTATTCCAGTTAACTTTGCTGAACATTATCACGAAGATCGTTATCCTGCTGAAACTGTCCCAGATTCTGCTATTAAGTTTCCATGGAAGATTACTCAAGATTACTTGGACTCAGTTGACGGTGATCATGCTATCTTTGACTACAAGAAGGGTGCTGACAAGACACCATTATCTACCATTATTGGCGCTCAAGCTGAAAGAGTTAATGCTGGTAAGACTAGTCCATCGCGTCAAGAAAACTCGTCATTCGTCTTCCATATCTACGAAGGTACTGGTTACACCGTTATTGAGGAAGAAAATGGTGAAGAAACTATCTTGAGATGGGATGGTAAGGATACTTTATGTGTTCCAGCTTGGAGAAAATTCAGACATGTTAATGAAGGTAATGAAACTGCTTACCTTTTCTCTTTCAATGATTCTCCATTGCTTAAGAACTTGGCTATCCACAGAACTGCAGCTAATTAGGTTGGCTCTTTTATCAAGATAAATATTTTAGTTCATTTCAGGGCTGTTCTCTACTTGAGGTTCGTTCATTAGTTTTTTATAGGTTTTTTATTTATTCTTTCAGGTTATTGCAATACATGTCAGTTATATTATGTTGAACTTATTCTTTTTACCGTTTGGCTGCTTTGGCGGTTCTTCTATACTCTCTCTTAATCTAACTTCAATTCCCAAGTAATTATTTCGGTTATCGGCAATCCTCTTTTAGGTGCAAATTTTCTAAAAAAATATTGACCAGTTCCTGTAGAATGTATACACTCGTCGGTACAAATCAAGTCAGCAAAAGAGAATTTACTTTAGGCTTCTAGAATCAAAATAAGATCCCTTTTCTCGTCCCTTTTTATCGATTTACAGAACCTTTTTTATTAATAGAGTAGAAGACTAAGAAAGAAAAACATTCTATTTGTAATCAGTGCTATTTATTAATAATTTCAGAGACTGACCAGAGTCTTACAATACACAAAAATATAAATAATTAAAAGGTTGCTTCAACCTTAATCCTTTTGTTGACGTTCACGTCTAACTCCAACAATATGAGCCACGGCGGTTGGAACCCAAGCAAATAAGAATACAAGACCACACATCAAACCAGCAGAACCAGCAAAGTTAAGGTTTTCAAACATGTATGGGAAATAGAAAGGACCTAAGAAACCATAAAGGGATCTAACAAAGTTAATGTATAAACCAATATCACCTGCCCTGGTTGGATTACTATCAATAGCGAATGTAGTAATAACAGTGGCAACGATGTTATTACCAGCAGCAGCAATAGCAGCACCGATCAATGGTTTGATAGACCAGTGTCCTGGTTCAGCTTTGTACAAGAAGACACCCCAAACGATTAAACCAACAATGACTAAGATATAACCATTATAAGAGATCCATAATCTGTCAACGATAACTCTCTTACCACCTCTCTTTGCAATACTTCTCTTCATCCACCAATCGGAAAGTGGACCAGCAAGGATTTCACCAATAATGGAACCAATGATAATTGAGATATATTGCAAAGACATTTGTTGGGCGTCAAGATGGAACAATGGGACCATGACTTGTGGCATTTCAACAACTAAGACAATGTTGGCGTAACAGAAAGTAATAGATGCAGCAATGACAGCCAAAGTGATGTTGAAGTTTGCAGCTTGTTTCAATGGTCTAAAGAACATCTTCCATGAGAATGGTCTAGCTTCGGATTTTCTAATACCCATGTATTTTAATAATCCAGCTGAATAATAAGATGGACTAGTTCTAGTATAAATAGTTTCTCTAGCAAAAATCCATAATACGAATTGTCCAAAGTTCATAATTGCAAAAACAAAGAAAACCCATTTCGTACCAGCATGTTGTTGAATGAAACCGGTGAAAAATGGACCAGCTGGAGTACCGATAACCAAAGCCAAAGACCACCACCCATTCTTCTTACCTCTTTCATGAGCGAAAGCTAAATCACCAACAACAGATGAACCAGCAGCAGTTGCAGATGAAATGAAAATTCCGACTAAGACTCTAGTTGCCATTTGTTGACCATAAGTCTTTGAAAAACCACCACCAATGTTTAAAATACAACAAGCCAATGCAGCAAAAGTCAAAAATGGTTTTCTACCATAGGTATTCATTAAAGGAACCCATAATAATGGGAAGACACCAAAAGCAGCGATTTGAGCAGACGTAAAATATGCAGCAGTAGGTAAATCAACACCATATTCTTCAGCTAAGATTTCAAAAGTTGGAGTCAAACCAGCAGCCATGAAAGTGGATGAAAAAGTACCAAAAGCAATCAATAAGATTTCGTAGTTCTTTTGCCAATCTGGCCAATTAAGAGGATCTTCAGGATCAGCAGATGGTAATGGATCTAATTGGACGGAACCATGTCTCTTGACAAGATATTCTTCATGTTCGGGATCGATTTCTTTGGTGATCCCGACTGGATCAAAAGATTCGTTGTGGGTGTTTGAACCCTTTTCGATATCGCTAGCAATAGATTGAGTAGACATAGTTAGTTATACTAAGTAATGTTTGAATGATAATTATAAAAGCATTCCAGATCTGACTTAACTGAAGAGATTTTGCAACTTATTTATATTAATCCGGAGAGATGCCGTTTTTTGAGTCTTGCATAAATTTTCATAAAGTGTCAAATGGATAATTTCTCCACCTTTTTCTTAGTCACTTACAAGCCACTCGGGACTGGATGCGAGTTTAATGCACAAAACTTAAGAATTTGTGGAACATTGTCCCGATCTTAAGTGGCTTAGTTGTCCTATCTTTTTTGTTTTCTCCTCAATTCCAAAATAAGCCACTCCTGCACTAATTTCTTTTAAGTTGCTTTTTGCGGAATTATGTGCGTGTTATTTTGTTTTGTGAAATTCTTCTGCTAGTATGTACTTTTTAGCTCTCAGATTTGATCGGAGTTTTTGGATCACACACAGAAATGAACAATCAAACTTTAGTCATTGCATGAACTTACATCTTGCAGGCTTAATATTATTTCTAAAAATATATTTCGAAAGAGAAGATTATTTTTTAATAAAAAGTTATAAAATAAATAATATTTTTTTGTTTTTATTCTTCTTTCTATAAACGATTTACAAACAAAGATCAATTGTATATAAACAAGATATCTAAGGAACTACCAGAGTGCTCTAGACTAAAGAGATGGCTAGGCTCTTCTTAACCCAACGATATGAGCTAAAACAGTTGGACCGAAAGCAAAGACAGCAACAAGAGCAGACATCAAACCAGCAGATCCAGCAAAGTTAAGGTTTTGGAACATATAGTGGAAATAGAATGGACCTAAGAAACCATACAAGGATCCGACAAAGTTGATATACAAATCAACATCATCGGCCTTTGCAGGAGCATTGTCAACGGCGAAGGTAGTAATAAAAGTAGTGACGATATTGTTACTAGCGGCAGCAATGGCAGCACCAATTAAAGGCTTGATGGTCCAGTTCCCTGGTTCAGCCTTATATAAGAAAACACCTCAAATAATTAAACCGACGCTAACCAATAAATAGCCTTTGTAACAAACCCATAATCTGATTTCTCTTTGCAATACTTCTCTTCATCCACCAATCAGAAAGGGGACCAGCAAGGATTTTACCAATATGGAACCGATAATGATTGAAATGTATTGTAAGGATAATTGTTCAGCATCAATATGGAAGAATGGAATCACAACTTGAGGCATTTCAACAACCAAGACAATATTGGCATAACAGAAAGTAACAGATGCAGCAATAACAGCTAAAGTGACATTGAAGTTTGCAGCTTGTTTCAATGGTCTAAAGAACATTTTCCAAGAGAAGGGTCTAGCTTCGGCTTTTCTAATGGATAAAACCTTGAGTAAACAGGCAGAGGTGTATTCAGGGTTAGTTCTAGTGTAGACTGTTTCATTGTTAGTACTGTTTGTCTGTTTTACTTGATTGATAGGGATAGAATTAAAAAAATGATTGCAAAATAATTTAAAGCCCCATCTGCTTCTACGTATAATTAATTAAACTAAGCATGATTGTTTTAAATGACTACGCATGACTATAATCTTCACTCAAGAACAACAAAGAAACTTGGAGATGCAGAACCATTTACCATGCCAAGGCGGCTTGTTTTTCATTCTCCACACTTGCCGAAAACTGCATTTAAAATATTTTTTAAGAATTACTTTTTCATTCTGATGTCCGAGGATTAACAATCGAATTCAAATTTCTAATTGCCCCTCATTCTCGGCGAGTCCCCGATATTTTTTTCAGAACTCTAAAGAACGCGGGTTTGTGTTCGAACATTATCAAAACAACACATAAACCACTCCGTGGAAAACAGTTTCAGTTTATTTTGGACTGTTGAGGTATGTATTAATGCAAGACTTCTTATATGAGGAAATAAGAGCTGAGATTATTATTGTGAATGAAAATATCTAAGTGTTGGGAATATGAGCATTGTTTTATTACTGTTGAAAAAGCGAATGCTCATATTCATTAAATTAAGTGTAGGAAATTCCAATGAGAAAAATTGAGAACAAAATTGAGAAAAGTTTTTCTAGAAAAGAATTTTAATTTAGTTTTATTCTAAGCATGGTTTTAATAGATATTGAGGTGTCGTATTTGTAATAGCTATGTTTTCTTCATCTTTGCCTTCTAATCTAAATACAGGCAGTTCCATTTCTAACATGGACTAGCAGGTATGTTTCCCATGCCGAGAAATCAACCGCCCGTCATTCTTTGGATTGAATACATCCCAAAACACTGTTTGGTACGCGGAAGAGGATTGGCACACTGTCAAGACGTTATGTGATGTTACCAATTTCTGGTGTCAATTGACGTTGGAGAGGCAAAAGTTGGCCCCGAGACAACGAATCTGAAAATGCTTTCTTTCAATTATACTCATGCATGGAAATCACAATGGTATAACCGAAAGTAATAGTTTCCAATGATTGGTCGTTCCCTCTGTACTCGCTATTTCAGATTGCTATGATGATAAGAAGCTACAAGTATTATTTTGTGGCTAATTATTCTGAAGTTAAAAAATAAAGTTTCCCTCCAGATTATTTTTTAGACCCTGTTTTTTGCAAATAATATTTTTTATGCTGCTTACGTACATGTACCAAAACATATAATTTGATAGATAGAAAATAATCCAAAGGATATAATTTATTACAATGACGGATTGAACAACAAAAGAGAAGGAAATTGATTAAACATGGGGGGAAATCAATTAGAAACCCCATGCATTAAAATTCTGATAAACATTTAGCCGTACAGGGATGGCATACAATTGTTGGATAAAAGCAATATAATCAATTGGCTTAGGTTTCTTACCTATTCGGGTGACCAGAATAGTTTTAATTGTACCCCTGATCGTAGAATATCCTCTTTAGAATATTAGATTTTACTCTTCGGGTTGATAATTGAAATTGGCGTTCATCAGTTGTACGTGAAAACGGCGGTTGTTTCACCATGCTATTTAATATTTATTTCAAAACTTCAAACTATAAACCAATAAATAAAGTAGCTAAATAAATGAATCTAGAGAACCACCAGGGCCCTGCAATTCAAAGAACAACAAAGTCCTTCTACTCAAAAGCAAAACAAAAAAGTAGAGGTACACCTACTTAGCCTTTCTTGTCCCCATAATATGAGCAACGGCAGTTGGTCCAAAAGCGAATACAAAAACGAGACCACACATTAATCCTGCAGAACCGACAAAGTTGAGGGTATCAAACATGACATGGAAGTATAAGGGCCCAAGGAAACCAAAAAGAGATCTAACACAATTAAGGTATAATGCAACATCTGCAGCCTTAGTTGGAGAACTATCAATAGCAAACGTGGTAATCACAGTAGCAACAATATTGTTCCCTGCTGCAGTAATAGCACATCCAATTAATGGTTTAATGGTCCAATTTCCCACCTCTGCTGTATACAAGGTAACACCCCAAACAATCAAACCTACGATCACCCAGACGTAACCGTTATAACAGACGCATAATCTGTCAGCGATAACTCTCTTTCCACCTCTCTTGGCTATACATCTCTTCATCCACCAATCAGAAAGGGGCCCGCCAAGAACTTCACCAATGATGGAGCCGATGATGATCGAAATATATTGTAAAGCCAAATCTTGGGGACTGAGCTGGAATAATGGAATCATAACTTGTGGCATTTCAACGACAATTACAATATTGGCGTAACAGAAGGTAATTGAAGCAGCAATAGTTGCTAATGTTACATTGAAGTTAGTTGCTTGCTTGAATGGTCTAACAAACATTTTCCAAGAGAATGGTCTTGCTTCAGAGACTCTAATTCCCAAAGCTTTATACATTCCTTCTGACTTGTATTCTGGATTAGATCTAGTGAAGACAGTTTCAGCGGAGAAAACCCATAAGATTAATTGCACAAAGTTAAGGATCGCAAAAGTGAAGTAAACCCATTTAGTACCTGCGTATTGCTGAATAAAACCAGTTACAAATGGACCACCTGGAGTACCAATAATCAAAGCTACAGACCACCAACCATTCTTTTTACCTCTTTCACTAGCAAATGATAAATCTGCCACAAAAGCACCACCAGAAGCCATAACTGTTGATATAAAAATACCAACAAGTATTCTAGTAAGCATTTGCAATTCATATGAAGTACAGAAAGCACCACCAATGTTTAAGACACAACAAGCAAATGCACCCAACGTCACAAAGAATTTTCTTCCATAAGTATTCATCAATGGGACCCAGAATAAAGGTAAGACACCAAAAGCGGCAATCTGAGAAGCAACAAGATAACTAACACTTGCAAGTGGGACACTATATTCTATGGACATAGCTTCAAAAGCAGGAGTCAAGCCAGCTGCCATAAAGGTGGCTGAAAAAGTACCGAGTGCAACCAAAAATATTTGATAATTCTTTTTCCATTCTGGCCAATTAAGGGGATCGTTTGGATCAGCAGAAGGTAATGGGTCTAATTCGATAGTGCCATGTCGTTCCATGAGGTAATCATAATGTTCTTGGGTAAGATCATATCCAGTATTTTCATCAGAGTTAATTTCGTATATTTGAGCGGTTTTTTCCACATCAGCACTAGTGGTAGAAGGAGAAGACATTTTTGCTAGTCAGTATTATTTTGAAGAGGAATGATATGAAGAGAGATAGAAAAATAATCGAAAAATATTTAAGCCATCTTGCATCCATATTTATATTAAAAATTTTATCCATTGTTCAATTAATATTTTTTATGCAAGTTTAATATTTTGCGAGGGGCTTGTCTTGTCCCCACACTTCCCGACGAATTATTTCAAAGAATTTTCTTGATTATTTTCGGTTATAGTTTACGTTTTATTTTTTTTTGATAGATTCTGCCTCACTATTCTCCATTCTGCAGGGATGTCCACTTGTAGATTTTCTATAACGGGGTACAATAAATCTTCTCAATAAGAGTCTTATCCAACGGATATATGACAAACTGAAGAGGGGGTTGAAGGATGACAAATACTCAACTTAGTTTTCCCTTGTATCTAATGGTTCATATGATGTTTAGAAACTCGTTCATTGATTTTACTCTATTCCAATAGACGACACAATCTTGAACGATAGGAATCATTGTATCGATACGACGTTGTTTCTAGATCCGTTTAACATTTGCCGTTATTTTACATTGATAAGCCACATAAATACCTTTCCAGTTGACTATACTCTAGGCGGAGAATAGACCAACATGAGGGCCAAACCTTAATTCTTGGAAAATAATATAGTAAAAGAAACTAATACCCCACTAGTAGAATTCTTGAGAACGTGGAAATCTTTACTTTTCTCCTTCTAATGGAAGGTTTAAGTAGGGAAGGTGTAGCTATGAAATATCTACCATTCATAGCGGACCATGATCGTCCCTCCGATAATTATAGGGTCTACATGCCGCAATTTTTCTACTGCATTTCCACTCGTAAAAGAAAACCTAAATTTTTTAACTTTATTTTTCGGAACAAAACTGCAGCTCGGGAAAAACTGCCAGAAATCTAAAAAATAAATAAGTCCCGTTTGAGCCAAAGTTTCGGATCAATAATCCGTCATAACAATAAAAATACTTCAAGGTATTTATTTTTTGCCCCACTTCGATGCCCCTCATCGATTTCCTTGAAAAATATCTTTTCATCTCAAATGCGGGATCAGGAATCGCATTCCGAAATTTCTTATCACGGAATCGAATTCCGTATCACCACCCATTTTTACGTGGGGAATCGGCGTCGGTGAAGATCACTTTAATGAAATTTACCGATGAGGTATGTGGTTTTTGGAGTAATTGTCCTTATTTTTATTGTCTTTCTCCTAATTGGTGCCGATGTTGCTTCTTTAGACAACCCCAGATTGGTGTTTATTTGAAAAATATTATTTTAATAGTTTAAGTTTTCAAACTATATATAAACTCAAAGTCCCGCTCCTTTTTCCGTAATCCATTCTTCTCTTATTCTAATCATTAGTTCTAACCAACTTACTTTATACTCTAATATACAAATTATAAACAACAACAACAAAATGGTTTCCTTCAATGTTATCGTCTGTGGTGGTGGTTTAGGTGGTCTTGCTGCTGCCATCGGTTTAAAGAGAAAGGGACACAATGTCACTATCCTCGAAGCTTCCACTGCTCTTAATGAAGTTGGTGCTGGTATCCAAATGCCACCAAACTCCGTCAAGATCCTTAAAGAATACGGTGTCTTTGACAGATTTGAAAAATACGTCACCAGACCAAAGAACATTATCTTAAGAAGATATGACACTGGTGTTCCATTATCTACTACTCCATTAGACCCAGATATGACCAAAGCTTATGGTAACCCATACTTATTAATCCACCGTGCTGATTACCAAAGATTATTATTCGAAGCTGCTACTGAACTCGGTATTGAATACAAGACTGGTTGTAGAATTGACCAAGTTGACCAAGATACTGCCACTGTTATTTTAGAAACTGGTGAAAGATACACCGGTGATTTGATTGTTGGTGCTGATGGTATTAGATCCAGAGTTAGAGATACTTCTGTTGTTACTGAAGAAGTTGTTCACCCAACCCCATCTTCTAACTGTGCTTTCAGAGCTACTGTTCCAAGAGAAGAAATGTTATCTGACCCAGCTATTGCTCACTTAATGACTGATGTTAACTCTAACTGTTGGATCGGTTACAGAAGACACGTTATGGCTTATCCAATCAGAAACGGTGAAATGTATAACATTGTTATGTCTCATCCAGGTCAAGCTTCTGTTGGTAAATGGAATGAACCAGGTAATGTTGAAGAAATGAGAGACCATTACAAGAACTTCGACCCAGTTGTTCGTCAATTATTAACTCATGTCAAGACCGTCTTAAAATGGGTCTTAGCTGATTTACCAAAATTACCAAGATGGATTTCCCATAGTGGTAAGGTTGCTTTAATTGGTGATGCTGCTCATGCTATGTTACCATACTTAGCTCAAGGTGCTGCTCAAGCCATTGAAGATGGTGCTACTTTAGCTGAAGAATTAGAAAACTGTGTTTCTACTGATGATATCCCAAGAGCTCTCCAACAATACCAAAAGAAGAGAAAGAGAAGAGCTGAAACTATCCAAGCTGGTGCTAGAAAGAATGGTGACATCTGGCATTTACCAGATGGTGAAGAACAAGAAGAAAGAGATACTTTAATGAGATCTAGAGATGGTGCTAACCCAGATCAATGGTCTGATAGAGAATTCCAACAATGGTTATTCGGTTGGAACGCTTTCGACAACACTTATGGATCTAAGTTGTAATAAGTTTTTGTTGGGATCGGTTTCATCATTTTTAGTTCTGCATATTCTTTTAGATAGGTTTCATTTTTATACATAGGATTGTTAGATACCTCTACTATGTTTTATTTATACAAAATACATTTTTAAAAAGTTAAAAACTTGATTACATTGTAGTTGCTCTTAATCCTTGTAATTTTACGTAGCAGTATCAGGTTCCCAGAAGAATGTGATACATAAAATCAACGGAAACACTCAACAAAACGCATTTCGGGACTTTTTTCCGCACTCAAACTAATTTCGGATCAAAATTCCTATCTTACAAAGTCAAGGACGAAAGGGCCAGACATAATTGCCTTTCATTCCCGTTATTTCTTTACACAATACACGTTAGGTCATGTCACGGATGATGAATCCTAAATATGGACACTAAACCATTACATACTTCTCTTTCCGTTCCCACCGGTACGGTTTTTAACTCTATTAATTTTACATAATTTATTAATTTATTTTAAGTACACACAACGCAACAATTCTAGCAAATTAATTCTATTCTACATTCGTAACAAAACAAATAGCTTTTCTAATTAGAAGACTCAGGACTTGCACTCGACATCTGTTCATCAATCCCCTTAGCTTCATTATTAACCGCAATAAACCTCTTACAAATCTCACGCATTGCGTCTTTATTATTCAAAAGAGCCATAGCAGTTCTTGCCATTGCCTTTTTCTTAGACGAATCAGTCGCGGTTGCAATTGGTAAATTTCTAATAGTTAATGTGACTTCATGATCACCACCTACGGTTCGAATTATATATTTGGGTTGAGTACCTGTCTTCCTACCTATTTCGGCATATAATTCATTCTTAGCCGAATGATCCAATGGAGCTTCTTCATCCACCGGGATTGGGAAAAGACCTGTTCTGATTGGGGATGTGGGTGGGAGTGGAGGGGCATTTTTGAGCATTTCTACTTCTTCTTCTATTTTCTTCTTTCTTTCTTCTTTTTTCAATTCATTCTTTTCACGACGAATTTTTCGAAGTGGACGTTCGATTTCTTGACGTTCAATATAGAATTTTTCAAGTTTGTTTCGGTTCTTAAGTGCATCCATTGCTGCTCTTAATCCTGCTTCTTTTATATTTCCAGCAGTACCTACTCCGATAACTTCATCTTTCATAGTACAATGAACCACGAAATCGACTCTGATTCCATCTCCAGTTTGGATGGTTTTATATTGTGGATGATGATCAGCCGTACCTATAACTGAATATAATTGAGCCTTTGCTTCTTTATTTAATCTTTCTTGAACAAGCGTCTGTCTCATTTTGTTTAAAAATGGGGTATATAAATCAAATAACCATTGTTTTACTTCAGCTAAATCAAGTCCTCTTTCTATAGCTAATGCTCCAACATATGCTTCAAATGCATCAGCATAGATTTTTTGGTCACCATTTTTTAAAATAAGATCATCAATCTTTGTACGTAATTTTTTATCAAATCCATAATCAAAAGCAAATTCTTTCAATACCCGATTATTAACCAAATCTGATCTGAATCTCGAGAGTCTACCTTCACTAGCAGCGGGGAATTCTTCATAAAGAATACATGTGACTAAATTATTCAACACAGAATCCCCAAGAAATTCTAATCTTTCATTATGTGTCCTAATCAATGTTTCAGAATCTAAATATGCTTTATTATTGACTGAAGATTTATGAATAAATACTCTTTCGTATAATCCAATATCCTTTATTTCTGGTAATTCGGGCAAAGTATTATCAACCCCTGTTGGAGCGATTTCCTCGGTGATTGGATTAACAGGAGCATTGAATTCTATATTACTTTGTTCAATTGGAGCAATTTCTTCTAATTCCGCCAAGTCCTCTTTTTTGAAATGAATATTTCCATTACTTATTTCATCCAAGATAGGTAATCTACCAAGTTTATACCTAGATTTCAATTTCGATGCCATAGTAATTAATTCATTAGTTTTCAATTCAATTTTTTGGGCTCGATCAATCTTATCTGAATTTATCAAAGTTTTCAATTCAACACAATCAGGAGCATCTTCTAAAATTACTTTAACATTTCTTTGTAATGTTTTGGTAGCATATTCTAACTTTTGTAAATCAGTAAATCCAATACGGTTAGGAATCTCTTTATCAAAAGTAGGTTCAGCATAAATCTTGGGAAACTCATTGCTGTCAGATTTGTCAGAAACATTAGAAAATAAAGAACTTGTCGTTGCCGATTCATCTCTAGTCTCTCCTGTTTCAGGACTTGCTGGTCTCTTTTGAGGAAGGATACTTTCCGGATTAGGTGAAGTGCTTGTCATGTGAACTGATTTAACTGTTTCATCGTCATTTGATGATGACGATGATGATGATTCTTGTGGAGATTGATTCATTACTACTTCATTATCTATGGCATGGACACTTTGTTCTTGACAGGCTGTGTGATATGAAGTATCATTCGTTTGATTAGATCCACTTTCTGCAAAACGATCATCAAATGTTGTTCTTGAAGGACTTGCATCAGGAGAGAGTTTGGCCCTCTTATGAGGAATATACCTATCTACTTCCTTTCTATCAGGACGATAATTATCACCACCTGCTGAAATAAGCTTATCAACGAAATTTCTCAATCCATCCGCAGATTTTGATCCTAACTCCTTAAATTTCTTGCCGCCTGTGAATCTGTTTCTACCCATTTTTGAACACGTGTAATTTGAAGTGGAATTTTTCTTGTGAAGGATATAATCTTGTTGCCAGATCTTTCTTGATATTTCTCAATACCAACCTCCAACTATTTTATTAAGTTTTTGATTTGTACAAAGACTTGAATAAAGAAGAAATAAGGGATCAAAAATTCTTACAACCAAAATTCCAAATTCTTACAACCAGAAAACTTTAGATGCGGTTGTCAAAAAAGAAAGAAAAAGTAAATAACAAAGTCGTGTATTCATGTTCAAAAAAGAATTGAAGTAAAAATGAAAAAAAAATTAAGCAAATTTTATGGTACTGTTTTTACAACCAATCAATAGAACCACCACCAATCCCAAATGTCTATAATACGTTCTACTACTTCAAGAGTGTTATCCCATTCTAGAGTGGGATCAGTCTTACACCCAACTGTCTGGACTTTGAGAGCATCATTTTCCACTTCTCCATTGTCCTGTAATGCGGCCCCAGAAACTGTCATTTCAACTACCACCACCACCGCTTCCAAACCTACTAGTCATTTATTCGAATATGGAGAAGAATTCTCAAACAGAAACACCGGTAAACCGCTTTTCTCCAGAAAGACCTTCTTAGTTGATTATTATAAATATTTGAATGATACCAATGAAATCATTTTAGTCGCCCATGTTAATAATATTAATAAAATGGATAACAAGAGAATAAGACAAGATATTATTAAAGCTGGAGGTAAGATGCATTTCGTCAATTCAAATATGTATAAATTATATTTACAATCATCTCATGAAGAAGATCCAGCTGCAAAAGGTAATAGACAAAAAAACAAACATGTCAAACATCCATTAGCTATATTATTCAATGGTCCAACTGCCGTTATTTCAATTCCAAAAGCTGATCCAAGTATAGTTAAGGATTTAGTTAAGATTTTAAAACAAGCCAAAGAAAAATTATTATTAATTGGGGCAAAAGTTGAAACTTCGGTTATGGATGTTGCTGAAGTTGATCAATTGAAGGAATTACCTTCCAAGGATCAATTACAAGGACAATTGGCTGGGTTGTTGACTATTTTGGGTGGTGCTGGTTTGGTTCAAACTTTACAATCTACTCCTAGTATGTTATATTTGACTATACACGCCAGAGAAAAGGATCTTGGTGGAGGTAAAAAAGAAGAAGAAGGAGAAGGAGAAAAGAGCAATGATGCTTAGATCGAGAGAGACGAAGAGAGGGTTGTGTTCTTTTAGTTGTATATAATATAACCTGTAAATACGATTACAATTTAACAAAACATTTAACTTATTAGATAGTGTCAAGTAAATGTCTCTAGTAGCGCTGATTCAATTAACTCGAAGTCCAACCCAAAAAAAAAAATTTACCAACCGAGTCATCGCGCATCACCTCGATTTCAAAAATTTTCAACTCTACTTAATCATCATCATCATCCCCATCTTTACAAACAAATCAAACAAATACGAAAAATGCCAAAACCGCCACAACCACCAAGTACAAAAGACAAAGAAACACAACTCCGTGAACAACGAGAAGCAGAAAGCAAAAGAAAAGCATATAGACAAACAAAACAAAACACCCGTAAATTAGTCAAACATGCACGATTTGAAGAAGCAACCGAAGTTTCAGATGTCGATTTACCAAGGAAGAGATTCTATAGACAACGAGCCCATTCAAATCCATTCTCGGATCATCGATTAGACTATCCTGCTAGTCCTGATAAAATGGATTGGCAAAAATTTTATCCCGGGTTTTATGATGAAACTAGTGGGAAAATGACTTCAAGGGTTGAGATTGCGGATATTGGATGTGGATATGGGGGATTATTGACGAAATTAGGTCCTGAATTTCCTGATTCTTTAGTATTGGGGATGGAAATTAGAGTTCAAGTGACTCAATATGTTGAAGATAGGATTATTGCTCTTAGGAATAAGTATGCTGAAGAAGATTATGGATATAATAATATTTCAGTACTTAGAGGGAATGCAATGAAGTTTTTACCAAATTTCTTTTATAAATCACAATTATCAAAAATGTTCTTTTGTTTCCCTGATCCACATTTTAAACAACGTAAACATAAAGCAAGAATCATTACTATGACTTTATTATCAGAATATGCTTATGTTTTAAAAGAAGGTGGAATTATATATACAATTACTGATGTTGAAGATTTACATCATTGGATGGTAAAACATTTAGATGAACATCCTTTATTTGAAAGATTAAGTAAAGAATGGGAAGATCAAGATAAATGTGTTGAATTGATGTATAATTCAACGGAAGAAGGTCAAAAGGTTACTCGTAATAAAGGATCTAAATGGATTGCATGTTATAAACGATTACCAAATCCCCAAGATTGTGATTAACCTCAGCTTAGCTTACATATTGATAGATTAAATGACATTTAATATTTGCAACACTGAAATCAGTACCTTTTTGCAACCAATTTATTCTCTCATATAAAGTAAATCACTATTTATAAATTTATTAAGTAAAATCATATTTTATTTATATAATTTTATAAAGAAAAAACTATTTGGTTGCAAAAAAAAAAAGTTAAACCCCCAAAGAGAGATACAAACCAATTATGTAAGAACCCTATTCAACAAGTATCAAAAGATTAGAATAAGAAACATATGAATCAAATAAGAAAAAGGGGAAGTACAAACGAGTAACAAATGACAATAATTGTTCCAAAATAAACTTAACTCCCTATCCTCTTCTCTTCTCTGTTTATAACAATTTTTCAGTTTCATCTTCAACATCTTCAACCTTACTTCTTACTTCTGAGGTTGAAGAAGATGGAATATTTGGGAATTGAGAAGATCCAGTAGCAGTAGCCGAAGACTTTAAATCAGAAAATACATCTGCTGGTTCTGAACTTTTTGGCTTAGCAGCAGCAGCTGCTGCACCACCAGTGGCAGTGGCAAATACTGAATCCTTTGAATCTTTAACAGTAGAACCAGCAGTTCTGGTATGGATTTTAGATTGAATGAATTCACCAACTGGACCTGTCTTTTTAATTAAAGTTTCAATATGAGGCTTTGCGGTTTCTTGAATAGTTGAAGTAACTTCAGAAATCTTTGATTTTGCACATGCGGAAAAGTTAGCAACAGCAGCATCAATTTCCTTTTTATAAGTTGTATAAATAAATGGTAAAGTGAATAATAAAACTGTAGCAGTTGTAACCAAAGTAAAGATTGAAAACCAAGAAGTTAATTTATAGAAAATATAAAATACACCAGCAGCTTTTAAAGTACATTCAACATCTTCAGCAAATATAACCTTTTTGAATTGTGATTCTAATTTAACACTAATAATACTTAAATGAGGTAAAATTGATTGATTAAATTTTTCAGCACATGAACAAGTTGGTTTATACTTACTAATGATTCCATTACCAGTAATTAATTTAGTGGAATATTCAGCAGCAGCAACAATTAATAAAGCAATATAACCAAAATGAAATAAAACGTTTATTAAATTAATTGTTTTAAAAATTGTTAAACCAATAATAATTGATCCAAATAATTTACCAGTTTTAATTGGATCTTTCCAAGTTAATAAATCACATTCTGATCCTTTAGTACAACAGGATGGTGTGGTAGATGAAGTTGTAGATGTCATTGTTGTTTGTAGTAGTGTGTTGAATACCAATTGAATTAATTAATTAATGTTGAAATTAGTTCTATCCTTTAATAGCAAATGTAGATTAGCAAAAGAGAAAAAGTGGTGGTTAAAAAAAAAATGTCAAATTGAACAAAAAAAAAAAGTGCCGTAAAATTCGGTTGATTAAATTTACTGTAACCGTAAGATTGAGAGAATTAATTTAACTATGAAAGTGTTTTAGAGGCGCAAAGAGTTTCAAGTGAGACAGGTTAAAAAAATGTGTAAATTAATAATTTTTTTTTTCAATTTAGATTTTTAAGGGGAGAAGAGACTTTTACTACTCAATTTCAATTGTCTTGTGATTATTATTTTATTAACTATGGTGTTGTAATTAACAGAAACAAAAATAAGAACGTTTTGCAACCTAATTAACAACCAGTGGCAAAAATAACCAGTGGCAAAAATTAAATATGAAACAGCAACTAACACACCCAGTTTAATTACTCTTGCGATGTCTTGCTACATAAGCAAAAAGAGACACGTCATTTGATTTGCTGTTATTATTATTGTTCTAAATAGCTACATACAAAATATCTAACATACACTCTATTTGCTGCGCCACTGGCACAACTACATAGCTAGCGAAAATTTTAGCAACAAGCGAGACCAGTTAATTTCCTGTTTAGGAAGTATATCACATAATTTCTTACAGGGGATTATTTGAGTTATCAGCTATCAACACTTGTAATTCACACACATTCACACAAACTCTAGATTATTTTATCCCACTAAACTTTTCAAATTGGCCAAATGATAATAATATTGACTTATATCATCTCCATTAGGTGTACCAATCTTCTTACATAAGATCTCATATTCTTGAATACTTCTAGGTCCAATCATTCCTTCTAACCACTTACAATATAATTTATTATATTGAATCACAATCAATTCCATAAATCGATTCACATCTTGTTGATTTCCTTTCCCTCTATAACATAATCTAAGACATTGATCAATTGGAATAATTAATCTATCTTCAATATGGAACATAATTGTTGATCTTGTAAATTCAAGCTGATTTTGTATCTTTTCGTAATATGCTTTACATGCTGATCTAATATATAAGTTGTCACTAGTGTCACCACCCTTACCACCTCCGCTATTAAGTATTTGTTGCCAATATATACAATATTCTAATTGTAAACTTAAAAACTGTAATAATTCAGGTCCAATATCTGATAGTTTCTTTCTAAATTTACCTAAGGCGTCAATCTGATGTTGAATTGGAGTTAAATCAACCTTCGGACGATGACTCTTTTTCCTTCTCTCCTTGCTACTGCTACCACTATGATCACTATGTTTCTCACTGCTACTATGATCACTATGTCTCTCATTGCTACTATGATCACTTCGTTTCTCACTACTTCCATGCCTCACTTCATAACACAGACTTTTCCCATCATGCAGCTTGGCCGGTTGGGCATGTCTCTTAGGAATATCCTTCTCCACTATTGGGTCCTTCTTTGATTCAGATTCATCTTTATCATTGTTGTTGTTCTTTTTGATGATTTTCGATAAGGATAATTTGGGAAATATTATATGTTCCTTCTTCTTATTGGGTTGAACAGCAGGCTTGACCGAACTCATCTTCATATCATGACTACTTGATAACGGTCCATTGTTATTATAATCGCCATATCCATGTTTCCCATTCGAAGTTGTATAATCCGGGAATTTACTAGCTAATAACCTATCGATTTTCTCAAAATCCAGCCAATCGATAAGTTTATTATGTTTTCGAATTTCTTCGACAATGGGGAATTTCTGAGTTATGGCATTAAGTTTCACCAACGTGATTCCTAAATCATGATTCGATTTAAATTTTATAAATGAATCATTTATCGATTTGATTAAGGAAGGTAATTTATACCAAATTTCCAATGGAATAATTAACCAACTTCTTTGATCTAATACTTGGGAAGTTATGAATGTTAATCTATAAAAATATCTTAATAACATAAATTTAAATTCTGGTATAAATAAATTATAATCAAATATTCTCATTAAATTAATTCGTTCAATTTGACAATTATATACAATTTGAAAAACATTACAATTCATCAAATCATGATCATTATCATCATCAAATTCTTCCATCGTGTTAATTGTACTATGATTATTTAATTCTTTCAAAATATCAATTATAAGTTTTCGGTAACTACAACTAATTGCCGCGATAGTATCAAATGTTTGTTGTTTATATCCACAATCTAACCACCAATTTCCATATATTCCAATCCCATTTTGGATTTCTTGATATTTCGTGATTAAATAATTTAATAAATCAACTAAACTCAGTTGACAATCAAACATAATCCCATCAGTACTTGCACCAATAACCTTATATCCATCAACCAGCTGTCTCCTTACCTTTCCTCTCTCCTTCTTCTCGGACTCCCTTGGCGATTTGATACCGGTTTCTTTCACACCTGACAGCAGGTGTCTTCTCCTCCAAGAACCCCTACTTCTTCTATTCCGCTCTATATCGCCAGACTCAGTGGGCGAATACATGGATGTAACACTCCCAACACCGGATGGCTTCTGGGCATATTCAAGCGGCGAATACATGGATGTAGCAGTAACAACACCGGACGATTTTTGGGCATATTCAACCAACACATCGGAATAATCATCTTTTGGAGGTGGAGTGGGGGGTGTTTGCAATTCAATGGCGAATTGGCTAATTCCCTGGAGCCAACTTGGACAATGAGGGTCTGTTGTTGGTTTTTGATAATGATATCCGTTTGATATTGTGTCGTAGGTTATCGGTGGAAGGAGACGGGTTTGTTTTGGGGCAGGATGATTGAGTAGTTGTGGTGATGCCATTAATCTGTTTTGCTTAATCCTTTATACTTTGAATTGGAATGTAAATTAGCGAAGGAATAAATACTTGAATTGTAAATGATTTGACTTGGATTAGGATGATGTCTCATAATTCTTTACATTTTAAATGAAATTAAATAAATTCCCAAAACCATTTTGCAACACTCTCCCTTGATGACTTAAACTTTAAAATTGTAAATATATGGGGAGTTTACATGTTAACATTATTTTTTAATTAATTTAATAAAGCCGTATAAAGATTGTAGGAAAATTGTTTCATAATAAAATATGAAACTATTTTTCTAGGGATTCTTTTACATACAAAATTGGTAGCATCGACAGAAAAAGAATAATATGCTGCAAGAGAAGCTTTCGTATTTTTGTTTAATGTTAGAATTAATCGTCTAAAGAAAAGTATAAATCCAATGTTGTTAGCTGGGGTATATGGTCAAGCTGTTGATATTTCCTATTTAAATACATGATCCTTTCCAGGCTTGCTAGTTCAATTAATTGACGGTTATGAAACGGGAAACGGTGACAAATCCCCCCCCCCCCTTAAAAAAAGGTTGCATCTACGAAAATTATTTTCAGACTCTACAATCCACAAGTAAGAGATGAGCTGATTATTATATTTTAAGGTTTCGGATAGATGTACAATGTTCCTGCATATTCAATATAAAATCACTAACCTTCGTCGGATACATTTATGAAACAGAAAAAGGGGGTGGAGTGGAATTCCATACCCCTACCCCTGAAGAAGAAGATGAAAAATTCAGGTACACAATGGTGCGCAAAGACGCATCTTTTCTCATCTAATAATTAATTATTTTATTAATATTTTCTAAATATAAAACCGTTAACCGTTAACTCAATCATTCAACATTGTAATTGATTCATTTTCCATTACACCTTTCCCGAAATAATCAGCAATAAATTTAAATTTATCTTTACTTTCATGTAATAACGACAAGAATACTTCATAATTCTCTTTTGATTTAAATTGACTCGCCTTAACATTTCTAATCTCATTAGCATGTCCAATACATACCGGACATTGTGGAGTCTCATTCTTACCATCAAATCCATCTTCATTCATGATTAGATTTGTAGATAAACATTTCTGATGAAATGAATGTCGACATTTAAAATGAATCACGGGGAAATCTAATTTTAATTCACACATTGAACATTTATTATTTTGGATAACGAATGGTTTGGTGAGTTCGGATAATTTATATGAACTTTTTGTTGATTCTTGTTCATACATTTCAATTAATTTTTCATTATTGATAATCTCTTTGTTTTTTTGTTTGAAATAATCCATGAAATATTCTTTTACTAATCCTAATGTAATATAATCATTTTCGGGTTGTTCTGTAAGTACTTGTAAGATTTCAAGGGGATTCATTAATTTAAAGAAATTGATACGATCAAGGATATATTGAAAATCTTTTATGTTAACTTTTTCAAATATTGATTTCTTGGATATAAGAAATCTCAACATTGATTTATATAATTCAGGTTTAGTATCCCCGAATTTCTTAAGAATTTCAAAACATCCATCCACATCTTCAGCTATTTGATAACTGGTTAATAAACTTTCTTGCATTTGTGAATTCTCTTTAGCAATGACTTCTCCATGTTTGAAATCATACAAATGACTCAACAACAATAATGATTTATTATCAAGGATTTCTCCATACTGAGTAACTACTGACTCAGCTTTAGTTAACCATTCTTTATCATCTGAAGCTTGATGAATGGAAAGATACATTTCCAACAAAGTCAATAGCGTTTCCTTTTTGTCAGCAATATTTCCTTGGAACCTATCAAAAGTTTCAATACATGCCTCCAAAAAGATAACAAACTCATTAGGATGTCCCGTGAAACTTGAATAGATCAAACTAGGACGAGGTGGTAAATAAGTAGGTTCATTTGATTTTTGTTCTGGTTCTTCTTCACTCAGTCCTGATAAGTAGTTTACAAATGCTTGGTAGTTTGTAAGTTTCATAGAAGCTTCTTGGGTTTCTTCTTTGTCAATAACAAGTGGTTCCTGACTCTCATGTGGGAGATATTTACCGGTAAAGACGTTAATCAACAATTCGGTGGTTTCTATCGGACATGAATCTAATAATGACTTTGAATGATCAATCAATATTAATAATAATTCATCAATAGTTAATGTTTTAATATAACTTAATGCAAGTTTTGGTTTTTTCAAATCATACAACTGAATATCAACGATTAAATTTGGTTGATTTAATTTATAAAGTAATTTAATAACTTGTTGGAAATATCCACATTCTTTAAATAAATTAATTATTAATTGAAAATTCAAATCTTGGAAATTCATAGAAACATCTAATTCATCAATAAATTTATCAATATTTTCAACTTGTTTTAGTTTACAAAAACAGCAAAGTAATAAAGTTACATGATCGATATTAGCTATTCCCATTTCATGCAATCTTGTTAAAAATTTAGTTAAATTAGCAATATTAGTAGCTTCTTTAAACTTGGTAATAATATTCATCACAAAATCATCTAAATCTTCTTCATCATCATTTCCTACTTGTTTATTATCAAATAATTCTAAACATTTGGTAAACACTTCTGCTGATTCCTCGTAATTTTGGGCATCATAAAGATGTTCTCCATGTAATTTTTTGATTCTCAATAATACTTCGGTGGACAGTTTCAGTTGTTTGGCAAGATTGAAAGCCACTTGGAATAATTCTCTTTGTAAAATCAATTCAATCTGTTGATTTATTGGCTTTTCATGTAATTTATACAACACCCCATCGGCAGATAATAAATATAAGTCACCCTGTAACAAAAACACATAATTTATGAGAGTACTGGGGATAAGAATATTGAAGGAAATATACATATTAACCAAATCTAGAATAATTATTCTTGTCATTAATGTCTTTGTAGTAGTATCTTCATGTTGAGGACTTACAATCAATAAAAATGATGATTTTGAACTTGATTGAGATTCAAATTTCATAATTTTCAGTTTTGGTGTATCGAAATTTATAGTGGATAATTTATTTATATGATTATAATACCGTATTGCTCCAGGTAATCCTACTATCAAATCCTGGCTTTCCGTATCTATATCAGTACAATTCAAATCTACACCAGTTTTCAGGGATAATACTTGGGTAGGTTTCCCTTGATTTCTTCCTGTTGTTGAAACTGTCAAGATCTTCGATGTGGTGGTTATGTACAATACCATTTCTTTCTCATTAAACTGGATCCCAGTAATTGGGTCATTACTTTCATATATTACTCTCTGTTTTGCTCCCCTATCTCGCAATAAATCACCTCGTACTAATATCACTTTCCCATTAGTATAACCCAACGCAAGACATGTCAAATCAAAAGTAAATTTAAAACAACTTATAGGAAATGAATTATCACCATTACTTACCAGCACCTGAGTTTGAAACTTATATTGAAAATCAATTTCATCAACTTCTCCTTGTAATTCTAATAATTTATTTATATCCCATAATTTTATAATACTTGGAGATCCTTGTTTTTCAGCCAATGAAATAATCAAATTATTCGAATTATTAAGGGGCGAAAGGAATGTAATTCGATAATCAACATCATAGATCATAAATGTCCCTAATGTGGTTAAATCTTTAGCATTGACGATCTTTAAACTAGAATTATTAATGGCAATGATCAAATAGTTTGATTTCGTTGCTGTGATTGCACTTAATGTGGGATCGGAATAAAGTGCATCTGCTGTTTGATAATTGGGATCACGTATTGGTGTGAAATCAAACAATTGGAATTGCTTCCATGATGATAGAAGTGTTGACATCTATTGAATTTGAGTTGTGTTGATAAAGGTTGTTGATTCTCTCTTTACAAGTTGGAAATCTGGCAACCAACTAAACTTTTATAGAATGTCGTTTGTCGCAGAAACTTGAGTATGTCGCAAACAAAGGCATTTGTCGTCTCCGATTATATTCTACATATGGTAGGGTCATTAAGAGTATTATTAAACAATCTAAACTAATATTACCACTAGAGTTACAACAACTAAAAAAGTCAATACCAAAGAAGTCTGAACCAAACTAGTCAAAGATCGAAATACAAATTGTCGATCAGGCAATATCACCCCTGTAAATATATTCGTAAGTTGAAATCCTTGTGTTGCGGTTTGATCACCGGGTTCACTGGTTTTCTGTGAGTCGATTTGTCTGGTGATTAATAAACCTATATCCACGGTCTTTAATGTATTGGTCATTCCTTTTGAAAATATTTTTGAATTTGGAACTATAGTTCTTGTTGACATGGGTATAAAGGATTGCGATTTGGTTGTGTTTTCAGTTGTTTCAATCAAAGTTTGTTCTTCAGTCGTTGATGGTGCTTCTTGTGGTGGCACAGGTTGTTCATCTTCAGTGTCACTGTCTATCTCTTTCTCTAGCTCTGAAGTTAAAGGTTGTATAATGGAAGTAATTGAGGTTGCGTAGCTTGTAGAAATTACTGTGACTGTTGTTTTCTTTAATGTAACATTTTTCAGTTTCTTCTTGGTCTTTTGTGGTATATTCGATGACGTGGACTCCTGGGTGCTTGACGACAGAATCAATGAGCTTGCTGATTTCAGAATATCCTCGGTTGGAAAGGTGGTAGTAGAACTTTTGGATTCATAAGTTTCACTTGTGTCTGCACTTGTAGCAGTTGTTGAGGTGCTTGAAATCTCCAGAGAACGAACTAACGACTTCACTTCAGTAGTACTGGACTTCGATGTACTTTTTTTAGGAGCTCCAATTCTAAAATGGCCATCATTCTCAAAATTATACTTGAACTTGTTCTTCTTTTCAATTGAGGCTTGTGATGTGATCTCGAGAACGGAAGCTGTCTTTGAGAGAGTACTTGAAAAACTAATGGAAAAATTTCCCAAGAAGCCAGCCATGTTGGTAACATTTTGATTCTCTGTGCTATTTAAACCATAAATTGGAAAATTAGCTTGTTCCATTCCCTTTCTTGTCCTCGCATTACCTTGCTCTTCACCACTGGAATAATCGAAATCTTCAAATTCTTCTACATTGTATTCAGAATCGTTGGATAAATTGTTAAAATCATTAGACTTTGTAGTAATGTGATCACTGGTGGATTTGTTGAATCCCATGGAGTAGTTTCCCAAAGTATGACTAGGCTCTCCGGTTGTTGGATTTTGACGAAAGTAGCCAAATATAACATCATAAAATGAATCAGTCTTTTTCTCATTATCTGACTCCTCCCCACTACTACTGGACCCACTACCATCCTCTTGTTCACGATAATTGCCTCCACCTCCTCCTGCATATCTTTTGCTATCATCGTCTTCGTCAGAGCCCAGTGTGTCTGATTGTGATCTTGGAGGATCAAAAACTATATCATCTTCATCTGAATATCCTTCATATTCATATCTGTTTATATATTCGTCATGTTCGTCGTCATCATTGTCATCGGAACTATAGTCCTCCAATTCAATATTGGAATCTTGACCTGAATATTCTGTTTCATCCCCAGTGGAATAATCAAGGCCAGTCATAGTGTCATCTTTGATTGGTGGTTCTTCATTGATGCAAGTGTCGAGGATGTGAAATGGTGATGGACTTTGTGAAGGATCGGTAGAATTGACAATTAAGGAATAGTTACTTGCTGAGATAGGTAGAATTGTATTGCTTGAAAGTAATAAAATAGATACTATGAAATTCATAGTTGTGAGTTGACATTACTATTGTATTAAGCCTAAAGAATTTTTGCAATCGTTGATGAATTAAGCTGAACACAAACATATTTTTTTTTTCGCAGCAATTTTCGTGTTTGCTGCTTTAGTCTCATAAAGTATGGTGGATCTCTACAATATTTTATTGCAATTGAATATGGAAGGTTCTTATTTATTTCTATTTGCAGAACGCTTGTATTTCTTTGCCTTAAGGGACTTTATGGTATATGCTTTATAAGTAGGCGCCTCTTCCACCCTGTACCAAATATCCTCAATTGTGACTACTTCTTTCTTAAGAGTATAATGAATGAATTTAATTCTAGTCGCCCAGTGAAACAAATGTAGATTCTTACTAGCATAGGCTAAATTAGCAAATCCCATATATAGACCCAAATCCAAGCTTTTCAAGAATGGCATAATATCTTGAATGTTATTATCATTTTCCATATCGTTCTTCATCTTGAACAATTCTTCAGGCTTATAGCGACCACTGAGCATGCGGCGTACCCTTCTGTTATAGTCATAGAGAGTGTCAATAATTGCATGATTGCATTGAATAAGCTTTATGACACTTTTATAGACCTCCGACAAGTTTCTATAGATTTCCCAATCGACGTATGATAAAACTCGCATATAGATTTGTCCTCTGACACGCACAGCATAGTCGTATGCGAATTTACCCTTAAATACAGTATCTCCTTCTCTGATTGAGAAATCTTTATGAAAACTATCGTCTTTTATAAACCCTTCGAATCCTTGCAAGTCTGAAAATAACTCATCGAATACTTTGTGCCACCTCAAACAAGTTTCCATATTTAACTTGCCCAATTCTCTAAATCTCTCGGAATAAACGTCAATAACAGATTTTGTTAATAGAGTGATGGCACTGTCTATAATACGTTCTTCCAATTCAGTGGGAGTAGCAGAATCATCCATTCCGTCCGCATTCTCGCCTGAGAATATCTTTCTAAAGAATCTGTAAGGGCTTCTGTATCTGGCTCCATCTGCCCAGTCCTTGTCTATGTCCCTCAATAAAGCAAAATACCGCCAAATACTAAATCAAAATCAATCAGAAACTATTCGAGGACGATGATTCAACTTCTAATGTACGAGTATCTGAAAAAGAAGTTTGCCTCTGACGCGTCCGTGTTGTTTCGTTACTACTGTAGATGCTGGCTTAGATACTAAAGATGAAATTTAATATCGATCACAGATCTATTTAGAAATTGTAACCCTTGTATTGTTAAAAGGCTTTCTCAGATCATATATAATATAACTCAACTTTGGGATCCAGTATCAGTTAAGAAAAGTGATACTTTGAAGTCTCAACAAGAAAAAATTTTCGCGTTCTACTTCCATGTTCGTTCTTTCTTAGTTAGGTCAAAATCAAAGAGTTCAATATATGCAGTTCCAAATTTGGAACAATCAACCCCCTTAATTCACATGTCACGAACTCGGGGACCTTTCTATTCAGCCATGTCAATCAAAAGGTATCAGCTCTTAAAGAATCTCGTTTAATATTATATAGCCAACTGTTTAGGATATTTTTAATCCAGTTTGGGTATGATTTTGTGATCTATGCGACACCCCCCAGAACTTTTGAATTTGTACATCGTCCCTGGGTGGAGGATAAAATAAGGATCGCAAGAACAATTGCCAATAACATAAATTTTAATATCTAAGCCATAGTTGGTCACAATTTAGGTAGGAGCAAGGGGTCAAGGCGTAAGAATAAGTTTCTAAGTTAAGGTATTTATAAACGTATCAAACCCTTGATGTCAAGGCGTACGTAAATCAAAAAAAGAAGCTTTAAAGAGCCTTGTCCCTAAATCAAGAACTGATCGTATGATGTGTAATTTGCGCGATTTAAAGAATGACTATCAAAAAGGGAATAAGAGGAGATTAGAACGAATGTAAATATGCACCCCCATTTGCATATGCCTTTTTTTGAATGGGTTAAGGTTTTATATCGCAGTGACTTATTTTTAGGTTTCCTTCTCTTCAACCAAAGTCAGCCGCCCCCGGACTTTGTCATTGTAACGCAGAAGGTATTAGAATGTGCTGCAACGTAACTTCGCTTAATGCGACTATTATTATTATTTTTTTTGTTTGGCTGGTTTCAACATCTAATTCACGTGGTTTTACTTACACTCAACAACCAACGATTGACTGTTGGTCATCACGACCGAGGCATCGACTAATTCATAAGCCAAACAAAGTGGAGGGGACTAAGTTTTGACTGAAATCCTGTACTCCTACTTGAATTGTTCTTTTGAAATTCCCCCGAGACTTGCAAAATAAAAACAATTTTTTATTTTAAACTTTTCGTGATGAAAAATTTCAAGCGCCAGGTTACAATTTTTCGAATTTTCTTGGTTATGAAAACAAAAGTACAAAGTTAAAAGGTTATAATTTAATTTTTTATTCAATATAAATATCGAATGTTCATTTTATATCTCCTATCCATATCACCTGTATAAAATAACCGTAAGGTTTTGATTGTGCATCTTTGAGTAATCAATTTTAATTTCCTTAAAAAGTTCTAGACTTCGTATAAAATAAAATTGGCTGCAACAATAATCGAAAACATTTTAAATAAAAATAAAAAATAAAAAAATAAAAAAATAAAATAAAATAAAATAAAAAGATAAGAAAAAAATAAAAAATTATTTAAATTAAATAAGCATTCCTTATTTAACAAATTACCTTAAAACCTAAATGAAACCTCCTTCTTCTTCTTCGTGTCATACCATATCATCCGCTTTTGAAATATAAAATTGATACTTAAAACATATAAGAACAAATAAGATTTTCCCGCCAACAAAATTGACTTTTCATATCCCAAATTACTCAAATGTTTTCCTGCCAAACGCAACAGAATCCTTCGAGTCATTTGCGACATCCCAGTTCACATATTTTTAAGGACGACATAATCATCCCCAGATCTTGCTTATCAGCTTATCCCACATTATCACAACCATATATAAATACTACCTTGACTAGTCCCAAGGATGATGTCATCGTTTCCTCGAGTTCAACCATTTCAAAACCTTCTGTCGTGACTTCAGAATATGTTAAGGACATTCCTTCCCCAAATATAGGTTCTGACCAAGAATTATACCCCGTAAAATTGTCCACGACGCGTTCTTCTGATAATTTTCCTTGTGAAGCAGGGGATTGTGGTTGGGCACCAGAAGAAGAATTTAATAGTTATAACCAAAAATGGTTTGAGACGTTCAATCTAAAATTAAACCATAAAAATACCAACCTTTTCATTATAGATACTATGGAACATTTGGAAGAGTTATTGTATTATTATTATCATTTACAAAATGAATTTAATTTTGGGTATTCTTCTCAGGTGTTTCCTTATCTTCTCGGACTAGACAATTTCCAACAGTGCAACTACTTTATCGATTATTCTGATGTCGCGTCTTATAAAGAAAAGCTACGGAAGATTGTCTCGAATAATATTATGTTCATAAAGAATGATGGTATTACTGATGTCCCTGAGTTGTTGAATACTGTCAATATGGAGAGATTTTTGTCCTTCACTCGAGGGAAGTGTGACAAACTAGATTTTAATATAACACCCCAATTTGAAGGTGAATTAAATTGCAGAAACTTTAGAGACCAGATACGACTTATGGCACCCTTATCCCATTTTTTCGTATATAATTATTCTTGCAAACCAAATGCAGACCTAACTGATATACTTGAAAAGATTGTATCCAAAGATAAATTCATCTACTCAATAGAGATCAATGACAATTGGTGGGGCAAATTGGACAAATACTATTTTGACGACGATGGAGATGAAGAGCAAATATACGACAACCCCTTAATCGATGAGATACTAGGAGACGCTGCTCCAGCATATTCTCCAAATCGTGATTCCTTTCCCTGCAAATTTCTCCAATATGAACAAAATTTAGTATGGAGATTGAATTCAAGAAAATGGATATTGGATAATAAGATATGTATAGGAAATATCCACGACTTCAATAATATACCCACCACCTCACATGAATTTAAATTGATAATTAACTGCCTGTTGGATGCAGACCTTCCAAGTGTCAAAACAGTCAGCACTATTTGGAATGATTTTTTGTTGGAGAATAATGAGAACACTTACTATTTGGAATTCCCAAGCTCAGGAAGATTCAATCCTCTATTCTTATCAGATGAATCTGTGATGGTTATTTTGAATGTATTAAAATTGATAGAAAAGATTAGTAGACTGCATAAAGTATTTATCTTTTCTTATGATGGGTTCACTGGATCTTCGGTGTTGGCAATTGCAGTAGCACAAGTGGTACTTAAAAAATCTTTGGAAGAAGCAGTTATAGAACTTTCATTATCCCCAGCCAAGCTATATTTCTTCAAGTCCGACATGTCTTTCCTCCATTACTTTGAATTCTTGATTGATTATTTGGTGCGGTATTCCATACCCGAGTTTTCTACGATAATTCCTCAGGAAGCATTGGACTTTATGGAAGCAAACAAACAGTACTTAAGAAAGACTAACAAATATGATTGGTTTTCCGTTAATGAAGATAACAATTTCCCAACTAGGGTATTTGATAATGTTTACCTTGGGTCCCATAATCATGCAAGTTCAAAAACCATTCTTGAAACTTTGAATATCACTCATGTAATATCAATAGGTGTACTTCCAGATTGGTGGCTGTCACTTGAAAAACAAGCTAGTTTTGACTATGAAGGATCCCATTCCAAACATAAGATCAAACCAATATATACCTTTAATGAAAATAGATCCAAGATATATGAGGTAGATTTAAGTGGATTCAAACTACCAAAACGTATTTCCAAACTCAAATCATTAATCTATATTCATAATTTCAACGACGACGGTAAGGATTCAATCTTACCTCTACTAATTGATGCCCCTGTTTTCATCCAGGAAAAAATCCTACTTGGACCCAATAAAAACAATTATCAATCCCAAGCAAGAACATTAATCCATTGCAAGATTGGTGTGTCTAGATCGGCTTCTATCATGATTGCAAGTCTAATGAAACAATTCCGACTTTCGTTGATTCAAGCATATATGGCCCTAAGAGTATTAAGATTTAATATTATCGTACAACCAAATTTGAAATTATTTCATGATTTATATCTTTATGAATCGTATCTAGGAGTCTTGGAACAGAATAAAGGAATCAAAAAGTGGAATTGGGAATGTGTTTGTCGTGAAGTGCAATATTTGAATGATCATTATTTATAAGTTTTGACTTTTGATTATAGAACTCCACCAAAAAAAGTTATCCAGCTTCTTTTCAATAGTTTATTTATTTAATTTTATAGATATTAATAATACTTTAGGGTATTTGAAGGGATTATTTGATGATGGTGTGATGTAAAGGTGTCAAAAATGGTTGCAAAAAAATATTTGCCTCCTGCCAGAATTGAACTAGCGACCTTTGCATTACAAGTGCAACGCTCTACCACTAAGCTAAGGAGGCAAATTCCTTTCCGGTTTTTTTTTGAATTGGGTCTTAACTTCTGTTTCAAGTCACGTGATTCAATTTTTATAGCTTTGTATTTATTGTATTTGTAATGAAATCCGAAAGTAATCGATATCAAAAGGATTGCGAGAATGTCTAATTAAGTTAAGCTTGGATATAATATCATAATTTAGGTTCTGTGTATTTGTATGTAATTTTGCAATTTTTGGACCGAAACCTCGTTTTTGACGGTCAAAACTGATAGCAAAATCTTGTTACAACTTAAGCCGGCTTTAGAAGTAATCATTAATATCTGTTTCTTTCCTTTGAAACAATCAGTATTTATCATCTCAGGGACATTTCACTCACCCAGGATAAATTCTGGTGCTCTCTAATTGACCAAGAATACTGATTTTGCAACCCAAGTTGATCACGTGATCACACCGGAATTCCAAAGTTTTTGAATTTCTTAGTGAAAATTTTGGGAAATCCAATTTTCATAACTTTAAATCAACTTATTCTTTCATTTAAACAACATCATCAACCTAATATGTCGAGAAATTCAGTCAAGAGAGTGGTCAATGCAAGTATGTAGAACTCAATTGATAATATGAAAAGAGTAGAAAGTACTAACAGATACTCTATCAGTTCAAAAATTTTATCCGATATCACTAGCTGACAAGACATGGGATAATACAGGATTATTACTCGATGCAAGTTATGAAGACAGTTCCGAAGTATCAACAACACCAATTAAGGTCCTTTTAACTATAGATTTAACTCAATCAGTTGCTGACGAAGCTGTTTCGAAAAAGGCAAATGTAATAATGGCATATCATCCATTTATTTTCAGAGGTTTAAAATCAATCACAACCGTTGACCCTCAACAACGTTCTTTAATCAAATTGATTCAGAATAACATTAGTGTGTATTCCCCACATACGGCAGTAGACAGCGCTCGAGGAGGAGTGAATGATTTTCTCGTAGAAGGAATAACTAATGGAGCAAAAGTAGAATCATCCCTTCCAATTGAACAAGATGCAAATGAATCCGAATGCGGAATGGGAAGGTTGGTGACATTAGGTGAATCTAAGACATTAGCGGAGCTTGTGAAGAATGCGAAAGCTAGTCTTGGATTGAAATATGTTCAAGTTGTCCAATCCAGTTCTGATCAAGCAATTAAAACGATTGCAGTTTGTGCTGGATCTGGAGGTGGGGTTTTTAAAGGAGTAAGAGCAGATTTATATTATACGGGTGAATTATCACATCATGAAGCTTTATATTTTAAAGAATCTGGATCGTCTGTGATCTGTTGTAATCATTCCAATACTGAAAGGGCATTTTTAAAAGTCATGAAGCAACAATTACAGGAAGAGCTTGGCGATTCTGCTGAAATTGTCATCAGTGAAACTGATAAAGATCCATTTGAAAATTGGTAGCTTAAGTAGTCGTCTAGAAGTGAATGTTCTAATTTCCCGCTTTTTCAAATTCTTGTAGTCTCTCGTGAGTACCCTATACATAGGGTAGAATCGTCCCCCCAATTGGCTGTTTGTATTGCAGAGCATTTCAATGTAGTTTTATCTCATCTCATTTTTTGTTTGGACTGAACACTCCCCACTGCGATCCCCCCACACACAAAGTGAAAAAAAAATTATTCTCCCCCCTTATCAGTAGAATTGAATCATAACTCATCTTCTTCTCTTTACACATCCAACAACCTTAAGATCAAATCAATAGAAGAGATATCCAAATGGAATTTACAACAACAAATCAAAACCCACCAAGCTTACATATAAATAGTCTCACTGGGTCTATTCCTGCATTCAACGTCAAATCAACCATCGTTCCCTGCAAGGGTACTCCATATGTATTTCTTTATGGAGGATTCGATGATTCAGATGCACTTGACAGTAATGTCTACTTGCTTAATGTCGAGACTATGAAATGGGAGATTGATGACAAATGCTCAGGTCTCTATCGAGAAGGTCATCTGGCAATATATATTGGCAATGGAAATATTCTTGTATTTGGTGGACTTCCCTTTGAAGATGAAATACCTTCTGATGATGAGCTTGGAATAGAGAGAAATCTAAGAGGGAATGCCACAACCGCAACAGGTAGACCCACCTCGATAACTGCTTCAACATCCCAGAATTTCCGAAGAGATAATCTTATGATGATTTATAATGTCTTTGATAGAAAATGGATTGGTCCCCCAGATTTCGCACTTGAGAACGCTCCCACACCAAGATCAAGACATGCATGTTGTCTTAGTCAAGATGGATCTAAGTTATATATAAGTGGAGGAATGATGAAATCCAAACCATTGGATGATCTTTACTGTTATGACTTGGCACTGGGAGTTTGGACTGGTCCTGTTCAATTTGTCTCAAGATTTGATCATACAATGATGATCTATAATGATAGAATATTTCTATTTGGAGGGATTGATAAGGATATGAATCATGTTAAATCAGTTATCTATTATTCATTCAAAACCAAGACTATTGGAGAAATAAGCATCTTCCCAAGATTAGATTACATAGATCTACGGAATCAAGAAGATGAACTTGGCGGAGGCAGTCTCGATATATCTGATCGTGATAGAATTTATATCAATTCTGGGATTAATCCAGCATTATGCCTCATGGTTTGCTTACCCACTTGGAATAGTACCAGTAGTGGGGTTGATATTTCATACTTGAATCTAGATGACTTTGATTCTCAGACATTGTTTAATCCTCATAATTTACGTGAATATTTCAAAAGACTGCATCAGCAAGATATTGGTGTCCTTACATGGAGATGTGCATGTGTCAATCAAGAAGGGAAGTTGTATTTGTTTGGGAAACAAGAAAGACCAGTGACTCAAGGGTCAGAATTCTCAACAACGGAATTGGATTCATTCCAAAATACATCCAGAATTGATGACGATGAAATTATTGCCAATAAATTAGAATACCTTTTGGAAATTGATCTATCTGATTTTGGAATCCCATCCTATGAACAAGTACTAGCAAGGAAGTTAGCGTTAGGTAACGGTGGACTAGCTAATGATTTCAGAAGAATGTTGCTACAACACGAATATACCGACTTTGAGATTATTGCCTTAAGCAATGAAGATGATCGCCATAAGTATCAATATACCGGGAATGAAATTTCAAAAGGAACTAATTTTAAATCTATACCAGTCCATAAGATGATACTTTTAGCAAGATGGCCCCATTTCCAAAGGGTCATTTCAGTGGGTATGAATGAAACGATAGAAAACAAGATGTTTATTCCAGAACCAGTTCATTGGATAAAGGGCCTAATTTACTATTTTTACGTCGGAAGTGTTGAGTTTGACATAGAATTTATAGAAAAGGAATTTACAATTGTTGATTATTCAGGTTTACTCACATTGGCTAATTTATATGAATTATCTGAATTGAAAGTAATCACATTAAATAAGTTATTTAAGATGTTTGACAATTTTAAAGAATCATTCTTAGTGGATCAAAAATCTGATGCCAATGTTTCTATGCTATTAAAAATTTGGCGAGATTTATCATATTCCAATGAAACAGTATTCCTAATCAAAATAATTGATTTGATTAAATTACATTGGAACCTAATTACCAGATCTTCAGCATTCTCGTCCATGTCCAAACAAGAAATTGTCAAACTATGCCAAGATTCAAGTGACGTACCAATCCAAGATCGATCACCAGTAGGAAGTGTGTCAATACCTAGTCCTTCAACTCGAAATTCTATAGAGATCGAACAACAAGTTTCGGTTCCGGCTACACCCACACGCAATGCTCATTCTCCATTTGTAATTTCTCCAATTCCACAACCAAATTTTGGTGGTTTATCAGATTGATCAAATAAATAGCTTCCTAATTATTTATTTATGCATATAGAAAAAAAAATCAATAAACTATGTACATATATCAAATCCTTCCTTCTAACTTCCACCTCCAAATAAATTATTCCATCCATCTTGGATCACATTTCCCAACTCCTCTATTCCATCTTGAACCCCATGCAACACGTCTTCTACAATTTCGCCAAAATTCTCATGTACTTTCGTAGTGGTCGTAGCTGTAGCCGTAGCAGTTGTTACTGAAATAGGTGCTGGAGTTGGGGCGGGAGTTTTCACTTCCGTATGAGTTTCGAAATCCGTTGGTTTGGGCAATGCCGCCGTGGTTAAAGAACTAATTGTCGATTCTTCCTCTATCATCGATTTCAAAGGATCGTTATTCGTATTTGCGGCAGGTTGTTCTATTTGATCGTGGTTTTTTCTCCAGAGTAGATCATATGTAGCATTACTTTTCACGATATGTTCAACGTGATAATCCAAATCGGGGAATATGAGTCCATCTTCCCAAGACGAGGGTAATGTTTGTTTCATTATTGAACCCGTATGACTACCATTGTTTGGAGATGGGGAAATATTCAATGATTCGCAGATTATGTTATATACTTCTGTATTTGCGAATGGTAATACTTTTCCACCTTTGTCTAATCTCTGTTTGAAATATGGACCAGTTCCTAAAAAGAGAGCTCTCATTAATAGGTGTGTATTGTTGTATCCATGCACACCCTTTGGCTTATAATCTCCACCATTGTCTTTCATTTGTTTGTGTGTGGTTACGGAATATCCTACATCCGGGATAAGCCAAATTGGAGCAAGTCGATAATTATACATATGGGCGTTGAGTTTACCACCAAATTGCCATTCTTTGGGGAGGTCCTCCACTTTATACAAGTGATAGTTAGATGCAAGCTTTGGATCTAACGTGGCTAGTTTATCATTTATTTCCTTATATATTCCATCCACCGATTCAGTCTCTTTTGGTCTTAATCCAAACAACGGCCATCCATCAATATGTTCAATCCTATTCAAATCAATCAAATCATCAAGATACAACAATCTCTCATTTGAAGTAGGTGCCATTCCATGATCACTCACAATTATCAAATTCACAATATGAGCTAAATTCCTAGCCAGGATTTCTTTCTGCATCAAATCAACAAAATTATCAACATACGTCAATGCTCCAGTCAAATTCAGTCCCAGAATTCCATATTTATGTCCAAATTGATCAATTGTAGGCACATATGTCAAGATCAATTCCGGTCTCGTATCAATATCCCGATCTATCCACCCCATAACTCTATCGATTTTGGAAGATAAGAGTTCCGACCCATTATATCTATCAAAATCATCCTTTGGACCAATTGTGGGTACTTCCGATCCGGGCCACATATGTACGGCTGGCTTCACACCCTGATTACTGGCAGTCTTCCAGATTGGATCACCTCCTTGCCAGAATTCAGGATCTAGAGCCCCGAATTTGGGATTAGTGTTGACGAATGGTTTGTTGAGCTTAGGGTCAAAGAAGGTATTGCCTACTATACCGTGTTCGGAAGGATAGAGCCCCGTGACGAGGGTCCAGTGGTTGGGAAATGTCAGCGAGGGGAAACTGGGTGTCATATATGGTGCACCATATTCGTGTACCATGAGGTTGTGTAGGGTAGGTGTGTCTTCTGAATTGATGTAGTGAGGGTGGAAACCGTCAAGGGAGACGACTATGGTTGTTGGGTAGAAATTATGAGTTGAATTTGATAAGATCTGTTTATTACGGGATCGGAATAAATCTGCGTATGAATCATTCTTGAATGCTAATAATGTAAATATTGCAACTCCAAGAATAAGAAACACTCCTAGTATTGTTCTGTTTCTGATTTGCTTCTCTAATAACTTAATACGATAATCTCGGGCATTAATGGGTGGTTCAATTGCTTCATCTGATTCGTTGGGTGTTACTTCTTCATCAGTGATTTCAAAGCTATCGGCATTTCTATCACGCTGGAGCATTTCATATTGGTTACTACGATGACTATCTCTAAAGAAGAAAGATCTTAGTTTCTGGAATGGTCTATTATCTTGTTGTGAATTCATTTGATCTTCATAATCTAGACTCAGTAAGAAGTCATCCCCAGTGTTACCATTAGCGCTTCTTGTTTGTTCTTGAAATATTATGTCATCTTCGGCATCATCCATATCAGTTATCGGTACATCTACTGCATGTGGAGTATAATTAACTGACATCTTTTCACTGTTGTCTCTTTTTGTCTTCCCTGGAATTGGCTGTGTTAATTTGATAATGGAAAAAGAAATCGGTTCTAAATTTAAATTCTTTTTTTTTGCTCACTGTAACCTCAAGACCGCGTGGTAGCGATATGGGAGGCGAGATGGAGGAGAGCGAGTGAACTGATGCGATAAAGAGGAAACTTCAAACGAATCCACCAACGGCTCCGGCGCCAACCAGATCCCCCGATGTTGGAACTTGTAGAATGTAATACAACATCGTGCCAGTTGTAAAAGAAATTGCTACGAGTGATTTATAAAAGTTAAATTTTTTGAAACATGAAATCGTTTAAACCTGTTTTTGATTCACTATAGACAAAAAAATATACAACAATAAAGAACTAAATGATTTTTAATCACATATTTTTATAAATAAACCCTTTAAAAAATCTATGCAATGCAAACTCTACAATAATTGACTGAGTGACCGTACTAACTTAGAAGACATCACCTTGGTCGAACATAGCATCAGCAACCTTGATGAAACCAGCAATGTTAGCACCCTTTAATAAGGATGGTAAGACATCAGCATTCTTTTCAGTAGAATATCTGACAGCAGTTTCGTAACAGTTGTCGAAACAAGTGTACATAATGTCCTTTAATTTAGCATCAACTTCTTCACTAGTCCATTGAACTCTTTGGGAGTTTTGAGCCATTTCTAAACCAGAGACAGCAACACCACCACAGTTAGCAGCTTTACCTGGAGCGTACCAGACACCGTTTGCTCTGTTAGCTTCAAAGACTTCGATAGCTTCCTTGGTAGAACCCATATTAGAACCTTCGGCAATGAATTTACAGCCAGCTTCAACTAATGCCTTAGCTTCTTCACCAGAAACTTCGTTTTGGGTAGCAGATGGTAAAGCAACATCAACGGAACCAACCTTGGTCCATGGTCTAACACCAGCTAAGTATTCAACAGCGTTTTCGTTGGAGAAGACAGAAGCAGATTCTTGGATAATTTGTTCTAAAGATTTGAACTTAAGTTTAGCAGCGGCAATAGCAGCAACTTGTTCCTTGGTAATACCATTCTTGGAGATGATAGCACCCTTGGAGTCAGATAAAGAGACAACAATACCACCTAATTCAATAACCTTTAAGGCAGCGTATTGAGCAACATTACCAGAACCAGAGATGGCAACTCTCTTACCTTCGAAAGTTTCCTTACCTTGAGTAGCCTTTTCAATCATCTTTTCAACGTAGTAAACGCAACCGTAACCAGTAGCTTCTGGTCTGATTAAAGAACCACCCCAAGTTAAACCCTTACCGGTTAAAACACCGTGCCAGTTGTTTTGCATGTGTTTGTAAGCACCATAAAGGAAACCGATTTCACGACCACCAACACCGATATCACCAGCTGGGACATCAGTGTCTGGACCAATGTGTCTAGCTAATTGTCTCATGAAAGAAACACAGAATCTTCTGATTTCAGAATCAGTTCTACCCTTTGGGTTGAAATCAGAACCACCTTTACCACCACCCATGGATAAACCAGTTAAAGCATTCTTGAAGATTTGTTCAAAACCTAAGAACTTTAAGATGGATAAGTTGACAGATGGGTGGAATCTTAAACCACCCTTGTATGGACCTAAAGCAGAGTTAAATTGAACTCTGAAACCGTTGTTAACTTCGATTTCACCCTTGTCGTTTTCCCAAGAAACTCTGAATTGGATAATTCTTTCTGGGATAGAAGCAACTGGAATAACCTTCTTATATTCTGGGTGTTCAGTGAATAAAGTAGAGTCTTCGACAGCAGAGACTAATTCGTCGTAAGCTTGTTGGAATTCTGGTTCGTGAGGTAAGACCATTTTGTATGTATGTGTATAATATGAAAAAGTGTAGATGATAAGAAAAGAAAAAAAAATTATAACTTTTAAGAATTTCAATCCAAAAGGGGGATTTCTAAATGTATTTATACTTGAGTGACTTGGGAATAATCATTCCAAAATGAAGGTTAACGCATTTTTTGCAAATATTTAACATAAGTTGATTACCTAATCAAAATTTGTATCCCGATGATTCAACCAAAATATTTTTTGCAATTTAAACTTTTATTTTTTAATTAATTTTTTTTTATTCGAGAAATTTCTTTTATTTCTTGATAAGAAATATTAAATCAACCAATCAAATCATCGGACACGTCTGATACGGTATGTAACACGTAAAAAAATATCTGAGAAATAATCCATGTCACATGACTTTAAAACGACTCAATTTCCGCATTCCGATCTTATTCCTCCGAAATTTACCGATCGATCGTTATTACAATTTGCGGTTCACTTGTTCTTAGTAACAAAACCGGCCCTATTTGCGCAATCGAATAGAGTACTGGGAGAACCGTGGTTTGAAAAACATACTGGTAAGAGATGTAAGGAGTGACTTTGGTCTATAAGCACTGGGGTGGTTGCACGCCCATCCTCGAGGTGACCTGTTGTGTAACGGCGATACCTTGCGCTTGTCATTGGATATAGAAACCAATACTTGCGCTTATCTTTCTAGAGTCAAAATTACTCTATCTATATGCTTCAAGCGACACAAAAGAAGGTGTACGTGACGTTTCTGACTACTTTTCCTTCAGATCTGCAATCAATTAGGCACATTTTTGCACTGCTTTTGCGTGAAACTGGGGAATAACTATCCCGATAACAAATGTAAAAGGCTGCAAATATTAATATTAAGCATATTATTTTAGGTTTCCCAGAATGTTTGACGTGCTAATTTACAGGTTTGTAATAATTTTATTGGATAAAGATAAATTTTTCATTCATAGTAGATTAAATTGTATTTTTTTTTTGGTTATAAATTTTTTTTATTGTTTTTATTTCAACGGAAATGCCTTTCCCATTCAAAGATTTTTTTTTTATCAAGAGCCAATGAGAAATTTGTCAGGGTTCCGTTTTTACCCTTAATGACATAATTATTTATTGCAACCAACAAGTTTTTTAATCTTGGCCTTTCTTGTGAGGTGAGGCTAAGAAGAAGTTCCTGAATTTTGACTCAAAAACGATTTGTTTCTTGGTATCAGATGAGTCAAATTGTAAATGAAAGTAAGTATACGCATGTTAATATTCACACTTATTATTACTGGTTATAGATATTATTAAACTTTTCTAGATCTGTCTCGTTAAGATCGACGGTTTTTCAAAAGCCTCAGCTGATAAGCTAGTACGGTGAAAAATAAACAACCATGCCCCACACTCACGAATACTCAATGAACTACCTACTTGTTACTATACCTCTCTCATATTCTAATCCCCTCCCCGAAATACTCACTGATTGTTTTAAATAAGCTCCGAGCTTGGTTGCAGCTTCAACTGGGAATCGGTTCCCTTCCAAAAAAAATTCTTGTCGTCGTTTTAAAATTAAATGAGGCCATTTTTTTGCACCCAATTTGACCCGGGAAACTTCCATCTTGCTTTCGACAAGTTTAAATTTCCAGTATATCAAACGTAATTGAAAAGTGACGAGTAGACTCTACATTCTGATAGGATATCCCAATCAGATTAGAGATACGCACTTACATTTCCATACTTCATTACTAGCTTATCTCACATGATTTCTTTTTTTTTTTAGTAAAGTAACTCAAGCCACCAGTTTGCAAATTGCTTTTCACAGGCAAATTTTTCAAAATACGATTCGGTAATAATATCTTATCATCTTTTTGGTGGCTTGAATCAGTCCAGGATTTCTTTTTATAACTCGGTAATTATTCTATTTCACCGAAATTTTTTTCTAGTAGTACTAAGATGCAAACGCACTTTACACACGACAGTGTGGGACTTTTGCAAATCGTGAGTACCCCCATTAAACTTTCGGATACTCATCCAAGTGTCCATACCCACTAAACGCCCCTTGACGGCAATGGTCATATTCCAAAATGTTTGCTCGACTCTTTTTTTCTTTTTGATGAAGTTGAATTTTTCACACAACCATTTTGATAGTGATAATTAATTGGCAAAAAAATACTTCATATATTTTCTAAGTTATTCCTTTAGAACAATAGATCAAATTTGTAATTTTTTTATATTCCCCACCATAAGCGTTATCTATCTTTTTCATTGGACAGCAGGTCCAAAGCTTTTGAATCAAGAATTATGACTCAAGTGGGCTTTGATTTTTCAAAAATCCGCACTTTGTTTTATAGGGGAAATATTAGAGTGAACAATTTTTATCACCGAATGAACTCGGCACAGAACTCTAAAACCAAACAGATAACAATGTTAGCTGACTTACTGATTTATTGGAGAGTAAATTTATCCCCAACACCAAATTTCCATTGCTGTTCCCTTCTAGAAAGAGATACAGGAAATACTGGTGGTTCAAGATCTCTAACTTAGAAATGCCCTGTGAATCTGTGAAGATCGTAGACTTGGATGATCCCCAGACTTGTCTATACTAGGGACCTCAACCCAGAGGCAATTTACTCTTCCAATGGAATACATACTGTGGATAGGTTTACTAGCACGCAGTTCTTTCTCTCATTCCCTGCGTATTTGTCTAAAAAATGTTTTCTCTAATTTAATTGGCTTACTATCAAGAAGGTGCTGGCTCGAGGATCTCAACACTCAACTATGCACACACCTATTAAGAATCGGCACTCTTCATCCAAGAAGATGGTCTTCAAATTTTCAATTACAAGAAAGGCGATGTCATATTGATTCAACCAAACTTGTGCGTGTCGTACCAAAGTAGTAATGTGTTGCTACGATCCGAAAAGCTTCTATGGTTGCAAAAGTTCGTTTTTTCCCCTGGCACTTTAAACTTGTCTTAGTGGATTCAACTTAGCAACACATCAAAGTTTAACACTAGCCAAGCTATATCCCTCTAAATTTCAAGTCCTTTTCATTCCAAATAATTTAGAAACATTACATAAACTTCGAAATCCAGGTCTTTATTGTAATAGGATTGTTCTAACTCTTCTGTTGTGCTGTAAAACTTTAACTTTGCTGTGTAACGAGGGAGAGCGCAATCCAACAAAAAAAATATACACACATCATCCTTCTTGTGTTGCCACATATTTTTACAACCAATTTGTTTCCTTTTATCAATTCATCAGTAGAGACAGACACAACAATCAATTCATCAATCAATTCATCAATCCAATGTTTGAATCATTAGTAGCCAATTTACTAAATAGATTCTTAGGATCATATCTAGAAAATTTTGATCCAAAACAATTAAATATTGGAATATGGGGTGGAGATGTGAAACTTAAGAATTTAAGATTAAAGAAGGAAAGTTTAGATAGTTTTAAATTGCCAATTGATGTTAAGTTTGGACATCTTGGAGAGTTGACATTACAAATTCCATGGTCTAATCTTAAATCGAAACCTGTCAGAATCATAATTGAAGATTTGTATATATTGGCATCCCCTATAATATTAGAAAATGATGATGATGAGGAAGAAGAAATACGAGCTCAGAATTTGAAGAGAGAAAGATTGAGTCAATTAGAAACTAGCTTAGAAGCACAACAGCAGAATAAGGATTTAGCTGATGAATTGTCAGGGAATGAATCATTTACTGAATCTTTGATTACCAAGATTGTTGATAATTTACAAGTTACTATAAAGAATATTCATATTCGATATGAGGATGATAGCGTATTGGCAGAAACTCCTTATGCTATTGGATTAACATTACAAGAATTATCAGCAGTATCTACTGATGAAAAATGGGAACCTTCTTTTATTTCAATAACTAAAGCACTTACTCATAAATTGTTAACTTTAAAGAATTTGTCATGTTATATGAACACCAAATTGACATCAACTACTTCAATATATACAGAGGATAAATCCCGATTATTAAGATCTTTTAAGAAAGGAATTGAATATGATGATGATATAACCATAGAATATCTTCTTAAGCCAGTATCAGGAAGTGGGAAATTAACAGTTCATAAACCAGGTACAACAGAAACTATCCCGCACATTAAAGCAGACTTATTCTTTGATGAATTCGGAGTAGAATTAAACTCTCAACAATATCAAGATATGTTATGGACTGCATCAAAGTTCCATTGGTATATGAGAACATTTAAATTCAGGAAATTACGACCTAAATTATCACCAAACGAGGCTCCACGTGCATGGTTTCAATATGCAGCCAAAGCAGTATATGACGAGATTCATGAAAGAAATTATAAATGGAGTTGGGATTATTTTGCCAAAAGAAGAGATCAAAGAATAGCTTATAAGAGATTATGGAAATTGAAGTTGAGTGGGAAATTAACACATTCTAAAGAAATCGAAGAATTAGAAGATTTGGAGTGGGATTTACCATTTGAAGATATAAAGTTTTATAGATCATTGACTAGAAATGAGTTGAGAGCAGAAAGACAAGACGTTTCGTTATTTCATACTGGTTCAACAGACAGCACAAATTCAAACACACAAGAAAATAATTCTGGTGGTGGTTGGTTTTCTGGTTGGTGGTCTTCAGTACCTCCATCAACGGATGCAGAATTAGAAAAGCACGAGAAATTCGAAAAAGAGACTGATCCTTCTAAAGATCCAGAAAAATTGGGATTAGCATTAACTAAAGAACAAAAGAAGGCTCTCTTCGAAGCAATAGACTATGATGAAAACCAAGAATTGGCAAATATTATAGATATTCCTAAAGATTGGGTAAAGATGGAAATTTCAGCTCAATTAAATAAAGGGGGATTGACTATTAAACAACCAAATTCTAACTTGGCCGAAATTATATTCGAAGGTTGTCGAACACAAATATATGAACGTCCTGATTCATTCCTTACTCGATTTCAAATTGATGAATTTAGGGTTGAAGATGGAACTGGAACTACTTTATACAAACACATTGTTAGTGTGAAACAAGCACATTCTCACCTTCATGAAGATACTGTGTCTATAGATGCTTCAATTGAAGAAGATCCATTTTTCCAAATATCATTTGAAAATAATCCACTTGATGGATCTGCCGATTCAATATTATTAGGGAAATTGAAATCAATGACTATTTTCTATAATCCAAAATTCATCCAAGAAATTATAAAGTTTTTCACCCCTCCTAAGATTCATCTTGATACAGTCGGAGCTATAATGAATGCAGCTGAGGCAACAGTGGAAGGATTAACTAGTCAAACTAGAATGGGATTAGAATATGCATTAGAAGAACATAAAACTATAAATGTGAAATTAGATTTACAGGCACCATTGGTGATTATGCCATTAGATCCATCAAGTTTCAAATCTCCAGTTGCAATATTAGATGCTGGTCATATAAGTGTGATAAGTGATCTTGTGGATAAGGATAGGATTCAAGAAGTTAAAGAGAAGGAAAGTTATACTGCAGATGATTGGAAGACATTACAAGATTTAATGTATGATCAATTTCAACTTACACTTGAAGATGCACAATTTTTAGTTGGACCCAATATTAAGTCAACAATGGAACAATTGCATTCTCAAGAAAATATACCAAAGAACAAACTGGCAATGATGTTGGATAAATTTAATTTTCAATTTTTACTTGGGGTTTCGATTTTACCTGATGCAACCAATTTAGCAAGGTTTAAGATTAGTGGTCATGTTCCGGATGTGAATATAGCAATCAATGATTTTCAATATAAAACGGTTCTTCAAATCCTTGAAAATGCAATTCCAAGCACAGAAATGGAAGAAAGTGAAACTCTGTTGGGTGTGTTTGATTCACTTGTAGGAAATTTGAATAAAAATGGAGATATTAATGTGGAAGAAGAATTTGAAAAATCGGTGAAGAAGTTAGTTACAGATCCTAATAGTCAACAACGTCTACTTGAGTTTGATTTTTCAGTTGGGTCAGTACATGCTTCTCTTTCTAGATGTATCGATGGTGTTACTTTGGAAGCTGAACCTTTGGTGGATTTAATTGGTGATTCATTAACTTTGCATTTCCATAGAACAATAAATGATATGCATGTTGATTTATACTTGCTGGATATTAATCTTGTGGATTATATTGAAAAATCAGGAATTCCAGAATTTCATAATTTGATATCTTCATTACCATCAAGAAGTGGACAATCAAAACATTTGCTCGAAGTTAGTTATGATAGAATACAAAGACTTGCGGAATTTAATGGGAAAGAAATTGAAGTATTTGATCAAGATATAAAGATCCAACTTGCAACTGTGAAATTTATTGTCTCGAGAAAGTCAATTTTAAGTCTTTTGAATTTTGTTTTGAATACATTTACAGATCCTGTTGCTGCAGCACCACCGGTAATTGAATTGAATCAGGCATCTATAGAAGATGGAGTTGGACCAGAAAAGATTAACGTGGATATAAGTCTCGACAGTATTATTTTAGTTTTGAATGAAGATAGTATGAAGTTGGCTACTATTGAATTAAGTCTGGCTCATTTTGATGTGTTGGTATTACCTGAATTATTGGATGTGAAAGGGAAATTGGGTGCATTTACGGTGCTTGATGAGATTAACCAGGGATCACCTCCAGATTCACCATTAAGGAATTTAATTCACATGAAAGGAAATAATTTGGCTGAATTTTCTTATATAATGTATGATCCACTCACTAATAAAAGGCCAATCTCTTCAATTATTGATATCAAAACTGGGGCAATGACAATTAATTTTGTGGAAAGTTCATTCAATCGAATTTTGGCTTATTTGAATCAATTCCTTAGAATGAAGGCTATATATGATAGTGCTAGAGAGGCTGCTATTAATCAAGTTGCTCAAATTCAAGATATAAATACTATTAAATTTAATCTATTGGTAGAAGCTCCAACGATTGTTTTTCCTTCATTTATGAATGGGTTTGAGAAATGTAATAAGTTAGTGGCTAACTTGGGTGAAATTTATGCATACAATGAATTTAAAGATTTAGCAAATTGCATTGAATTTGGAATTAGGAATGTTAGTCTCATGTCTCAATTATATTTTGAATCAGTTGAACAAAAGGCAAAAATAGTCCAAGGGTTAGATATTGCATTTGATGTAAAGTATATCGCTGAATATGTACCAGAGACTCCTTCATTTGTTGTTAATGGAAAAACTCCCGAATTGAATTTGAGCTTGACAGAATTACAAGCAAAGATTTTAATTCAACTTTCAGAGTCTATAACAAGAGCTTTTACATTTGAAGAAAATGAAAATTTGGAAGATATTGAAGAAGAGGCTGCATTTGCCAACGAAGTACTCAAACATAATACTCAATTAGTTCAAGGTGAACAACAAAACACTGAAAATGAGAATTTCAAAGACGCAAATGAGACTATCATTTCGCCTGATCATAAATTGTTGCTGTTAAACTTTGAAATACCGCGTGTTTCCCTAGTGATTTTTAATGGTACATCTGGAGTTGTTGATTTGGATCCAAGAAGGTTGTCTTCATTTACGGTCAACAAGGTTACATTAGAGCTAGACATGAACCAAGAAACTCATTTGAATGCAAATTTAACTGTGAAATCATTTGTCGTGGAAGATGTCAGAAAGGATACAACGAGTAAATTTCCGATCCTTATACCAGCTGCAGAAGGAGTTGAGAATCAGTTTGTTTTACAGGCAACAACAGAAGGTGCAAAAGATCGTAAGCATATGACAGTGTTATTGAAAGTGGAAAAACCGAAGACAATCCTTGCACTTGATTATATATTTGAATTGCTGACCTTTTTCAATAAAGCTATGCCACAACCTACGGAGAAAGAAGTGTTACCTGAACATTACGCAGCACTGAAGAGTTCAAAGAGCTTTCATTCGAGACATGATCAGAGAAGAAAATCAGTATCATCTATGATAAGTCAACTATCATCCCCATCGCTGGCTCCTGCAGCGGAAATGACTATCGGATATTCCTTAAACATCATTGAACCATCTGTAATCTTGCTTGCAGATGATGCGAGAGAGGACACAGAGGCAGTTGTATTCAAGACTGAGCAAATATTGATAGCAAGTCAGAACATTATCTCATTAGCTGCTAATAATATTGGAATGTATTTAACGCAGATGAATGACTTTGACACTACAACGTATAGAATAATTGATGATTACTCCATATCATTTTCCTATGATTCCCGCGGTTCTACGCCTACTAATGTTGTTGCTAATATACAAGCTTCTGTTGATGCATTGGTACTTAGAGTGTCACTTCGTGACATTAGACTTGCTTTGAATATTCTAAATCGTGCCAATCATCTATATTCAAAAGCTCAAGGAATAGAGCTGAGTTCGAGTGACGAGGGAGATAATAAACTTTCTGTGGAATTTAAGAGACGATTATCTCAATATGCTCCAAGTATTGTATCTACCCTTAGCCATGATGAGTCTTTGCATAGAGAGGAGGTGCAGAAGGTAGTCGATGTTTTGAAGAATGAAGAAATGAATGTCGCAATTGGTGGTGTGAGATTTGTTTTAATCGGGGATGTTTCTGAATTGCCGGTACTTGATATAAATGTGAAACCATTTGAAGTACATGCTGCCAACTGGTCAACCAATCTTACTGCAGTGGTACACTTTGAACAGTATGTGAATATATTTAATTACTCAAGATCATCCTGGGAACCATTGGTTGAACCTTGGCCCATTTCAGTTTATGTATCCAAAGCCGAACATCCGAAACCAAAGTTGCTTATCGAAGCGGTATCAAAACAACTTTCTGAAATAACTGTAACATCAAGATCTGTTGCCTTATTATCACAAATTTCCGACTTGCTTACAACAGATCAAAAATTAAAACCAAGGGGTCAAGACAATCCATATGTAATTGTTAATGAAACTGGATATGATTTACAGATTTGGTCAGAAGATGATGATGTGGTAGGAAGTAAGAAAGAAGTGAAATCAAATGAAAGTGTGCAGTGGGCATTTGAGGATTGGAGAAAGATTCGTGAAAATTTAGATGCGGATAATGCAGGAAGACTAGGAATTTCATTTGTGGATTCACCTTATGAAGATTTACGGAATGTTTCTGCAACAAATGAGGGTGAGAATTTACATATATTATATCCTCCTATAGATGGAGTACACAATAGGTTGTCGGTGGAGACTATTTTAAGGGAGGATAACATCAAAGAAATTAAACTCAAATCAACTGTAGTGGTGGAAAACGACGCGGATATTCCTATAGAGGTAGAAATAACTTATGGTGTTCTGAAGAAGTCACAGATAATTATACAATCAAAGAAATGTCAAGCATTGCCAATTGATCTGGTCTATACTGGAATGGTTAGAGTTCGTCCTCATATTCATACACCTTATGGATGGTCCGATGAGTCACTTTATTGGAAGGATCTTTTGAAAGGGGGTGCTTCTTTGAGGTGTCCTGCACAAACTAGAGACGATTCGTCTGTTTATTATTTCCAAACCGAGGCAGCTTTTAATAAAGAAGAGTTATTAGGTAGAATATATCCTCATTTGCATTTGGTTATCTCAAGTCCATTAGAAATTGAAAATTTGTTGCCATATGATATCGATTATAGATTGTATGATAAAAATTCTAAGCGAGATTGGATAGGACTGATTAAGAAAGGTGTAAAGAGTTATGTTCATGTTGTTAGTTTGGATAATTTGTTATTATTAAGTGTTGTTCCTCGTGACAGTGGATATGAAAGATCTGAATTTGCAATCATAAATCGTCCCCACCTGAGTGAATTTAAAAGAGAAAATGTTATAACGTTGAGAGATAAGCAAAACAATATTTTAAAGTTGCGTATTTATTACCCAAGAAAGAAGCAGGATAGTTCAAGTTTAAAGATTGTGTTGTATTCACCTTATGTCATCGTTAATAAGTCCAAATTAAATCTAGTGGTAAACGAAAGTGGAAGCACAAACAAGGTATATCTTCCAGGTAAGTCAGTGTCAAACAAGCAAGCTCCCATTATGTTTTCATTTGATAGATTTGGGGATAGAAAAAACAGAGCAAAGATTAGAGCTGAGAATTCAATGTGGTCTGAACAGATGAGTTTTGATGCAATTGGTCAGTCAAGTGAAGTGAAGTTGAGAATGATGGCTAAACAAGTTGAAGATAACTTAGGTGTGACTATACTGGAAGGTGAAGGAAAATACAACTTGTCAAAGGTGGTCACCGTTGCACCTCGTTATGTTTTGATAAATAAACTTGATGACGAATTATGTATTGTTGAAAGTGGAACTACAAAGCAACAAAATTTAAGTCCAGGACAATTATTGCCATTTTATGGTTTAAGATCTATAGATAATAGGAGTATTTTGGTTAAATTTTCTCATGGATCAAAATCTTTTTCACCTGCATTCGGTATTGATGATGTTGGACAATTGTTTATCAAGGTTTTTAAGAATAATATTGGACAAGTGTTAGTGAAAGTTAATATATTATTAGAAAATGGAACAATATATATCAGTTTAGAGAATGGAAACAATGAATGGCCCTTTTCAATTAGAAATTTCACAGACGAAGAGATTTACATTTATCAAAATGATCCAAATATAAATGCTACTGGAGAACAAGTTAGACATGACACACCTTACAAGCCAATTTACTATAAAGTTCCTGCCAAAAGTGTGATGCCTTACGCATATGATTACCCTAATGCTATTATAAAGGAGCTTATTGTTAGAGCTCATGGAAGAGAGCGTGCTGTTAATTTAGCAGAAATTGGAAATTTGAAACCATTTAGATTACCGCCAACTGTTGATGCCCAGCAAACTATTGTTGATCTTAATGTGGTTGCAGATGGACCCACCCAATCGTTAGTCATAACAAAATATGATCCAGCTAAAAGTCTTTATAAATTACAGGCAGGAGGAGCATCATCTTCAACTGCAAATGTTTCTACCACTAATGGATACTTTAAACCTGTGGAAGCTACTGAGAATTATCATACCAAGATAGTCACGAAATTTGAAGGGTTTGGAATCTCATTGGTGAATACGAAGAACCAAGAATTGTGTTATATTACATTGAAAGGATTAGAGTTGAGATACAATGAATCAGATTTATACCAAACTTTTAGTATGAAATTAAAATGGATACAAATAGATAATCAATTATATGGAGGTATTTTCCCAATAATTTTGTATCCAAGTGTTATTCCAAAGGCTGGTAACGAATTGAGTAATCACCCTGCGTTTTCTACCTCGGTTTGTAGGGTCAAAGGTGACTCTCATGGGGTTATGTTTATAAAGTATGCCACGATTTTGTTGCAAGAAATGACATTTGAAATAGATGAAGACTTTTTATTTGCATTGTTAGAATTTTCAAAATTCCCAGGAGCAGCATGGAACAAACAACATATAGATAGATTATGTGAAGATGGCAGAGAGATTAAGGAACCAGAAAGACTTGCTGAAAGTAATGATGTTTATTTTGAAGCTTTGCATTTACAACCAATCAAAGCTAATATATCATTTGTCAGAACCGAAAGAATAAATGCTGAAGATAAAGGGTCTTCCCAGAATACCTTGATGTTTTTCTTTAATGTTTTGACAATGGCAATTGGAAATATTAATGATGCACCTATTAAATTAAATGCTTTATTTATTGAGAATATAAGAGTTCCAATTCCGATATTGATGGATTCAGTACAAATTCATTATAGTCAGGCCTTCTTTTATCAATTACATAATATTTTAGGGTCAGCTGACTTTTTGGGTAATCCAGTTGGGTTATTTAATCAAATTTCTTCCGGAGTGCTTGATATTTTTTATGAACCATATCAAGGGTTTGTTTTGAATGATAATCCACAAGAATTAGGAATTGGCATTGCAAAAGGTGGATTAAGTTTCTTAAAGAAATCAGTGTTTGGATTTTCAGATTCCTTAGCTAAAGTTACTGGATCTATTGCAAAAGGGTTAACTGTTGCCACTATGGATCAAAAGTTCCAAGAAAGACGTAGATTAAATACCAAGAGAAATAAACCCAAGCATGCCTTATATGGGTTTGCATCTGGGGCCAATTCATTTATTGATTCAATTGCATCTGGTGTTACTGGTGTAGCTACTGCTCCAATTGAAGGTGCTGCCGAAGAAGGGGCAGTTGGATTCTTTAAAGGTCTTGGAAAAGGTGTGATTGGATTACCTACTAAAGCAGCAATTGGGATTTTTGATTTAGCATCGAATGTCAGTGAAGGGATTAAGAATACCACTACTGTATTTGATAATGCTGAATTGGATAAAGTTAGATTACCAAGATTTATACCTCCAAATTCTATTATTAAGCCATATTCTGAACGAGAAGCGAAAGGACAATTTTGGATGCATAACATTGATGGTGGGATTTTTTATAATGAAACATATGTGGCTCATTTGGTGCTTGCAGGAGATGAGATGGCTGTTTTGGTAACATATAAGAAGATATTATTGTTTGATATTACCGAATTGAAAAGAAAATGGATGATTAACTTTGATCAAATTAAATCCATTAGTGTTGAACCAACTGGGTTATTAATTGAATTGAAAACAAGAAGAGGTCCATTTATTCCAATTCCTGATAAATCCAATAGAAATTTCTTGTATTCGAAGATTGCAATTGCTGTTCAAGAATTCAACAAGCATTGTCAAGTAGTTCTTTAGATTGTAAAGTGGTTTAGTATTTAATTATTATTAGTATTATTATTGTTAGTGTATTTACAGAAAAGAATGAATAGATTGTATTGTATTTAGATATCTTGTGCTACCAATTGTATTCCCAATTGGTATATGTTTGTAGGAATTCTTCTGGAGTCACCTCTTGTTGAGCTTGTAATCTATCTTTTTTTGCAACTGCATATCCATCAATAGCCTGGCCTGGTTGCTCTTGATCCAAAATGTCTCAGAATTGTGGGAGCCAAACCATCTTGTTGGAAAGCGAAGATTTAATTTATGCGATTTCCGCGATAATAATTTCTCTATTTCCGTTGTAGAAAACAAAATCGCGCTGAACCCTGAATAGGAAAGAGTGAGATCCAATAAACTCTTGATTTCATTTCTCCACCAAAATCATTACGTTCTACAAGACTGCTCTAAAGTAAAAAATGGCAGCAGGTGATTCTCAATTGCTTATTGTCAAATTGGCACGACTCCTAAATGTCGATGATTTAGATCCAACAACAATTCAATTATGTGTGAGACTTCTTGATGAAGGAATTGATCCAAAGGTCCTTGCCAAACAAATACAAGAAATAAGTAAAGAGAAAGTTAACTAATTAATTAATAATATTACAAATTGGTTTTATAAATCTATGAAAATCCTCCCTTCTTTTTCCGTTTCTTCTTACGTTGTGAAGCACTAATTGGTCTTGATTGAGAATACATTTGTGATTGTGAAAATGGTGTTTGTGATTGTGAATAATTCGTCGACATTTGGCTGTTTTGTGATTCAGGAAATATGGACTGTGAAGAATTGAATCCGGAAGGTTGTGGTTGACTGAGAATAGATGTTTGTTTTTGTGAAGCTCCAAGAGTTGGCATAGTGGAATATGTGTCATAAAGTACATCCTGAGACTCTTCCTGAGATGCACTGATTTCAGGAGTATCCCATTCTTCGAGTATTGATTGAACAAACTTCGGTGATTTTTTAATTGATTCATCATATTGATTTTTGAAATTATTAGACGAATTTTGTAGTTGACATTTGATTAAAGATGTTCCAAGTAATGTAGACATAGCTATTTTTGAATAAACATTATTATACTTTTTGAATCTGTCATCCTGATAGTATATTTTCTGTACGTGTTCCGCAATATCAGTTATATGAGTTTTCGCTGTATTATCACTATTGTCTATGATAAATGGACTGCGTTTTATAAATGAATTATTGATTAAACTAACCATCTTGATATCATCTTTCGGTAACGTCTCTTCAAATTGCGCGATCATATCATCTAATTCCAATAAATCATGCACTGAAAGAGGAGGTTCTTTTTCACAAAATTCATAAAGTGAAATGTATCCATCCTTTGCTTTTTCAGGGTTCTCATTTAACGTACTCAAAGCTTGATCTAATCCATTAGCGTACCTAAGAACATCTTCCATCATTTGGGATTCACTAGGTTCTTCATTTGAAAAGTTTTTAGTTAATTCTTTAACAAGATTGTGAATTCTCTTTTTAGATAATCCCTTAGTATTTGTCTGATTTTCCATTACCGTTTCATCTGAAATATCATCGATTTCCATCGAACTCGGTTCAACAAAAGAACCAACCGAACCCATAGTCAAACGTCTAACATGTACTGCCAAACTCGTTGAAAGTTCAAATAAATTGAAATTACCTTGTTCTGCTTCAACTAAACTGACCTGTCGTAAATCACTATGATTGAACCCCTTGGTCATATAATATGGATCTAATAAACTGCATGGTTTCCCATCCATGAATCCAAAAGTATATATCATAATCATGGGATTTATTTGGGAATAAATCATAATGATAATAGTCTCATCTCTAACCACGGTGATGTTGAATTTTAGGGATGGATCTCTGTCATCCAAGAAATGTTTCCATGAAAGTTGTCTAGTGAAATTTCCTTGGGATAAATCAAACCAGATTAATTCTTTTGAAGTTAATAGAAACGCCGAAGAAGAGCTCTGTTGGTGTATTATTTTGAAGTCTCGTATCCTGGACCAGGTATTCGATGTGACCAAGATTTGTTTGGCAAGGGTTTCTGCGGTAATTGTATATTGAGATATTTTAGATCTAGTTAATACTAGAAGATGATTTGAATTATGGATCCAGAAGATTTTCTTCCAGGATGAAATCTCACTTACATCTGAAACTGGATTAATTTGATTATTGAGATTCAATTTCTTGATACCTGAAAGTGTTTTGGTTATGTTCCAGATTGCAAAATTTCCATTCATATCAACAACTGCAAATTGTCTGATTGAAATTGGGTTAAATTTAACGTCTGCAAATTGATTGCCTTCCAACTCATTCGTTTTAACTTCTCCAATTATACGTAGTTCTATATCTAATGACGCATCAAGATCCATTGTCTCTGCAGATTTGGTGCATGTAAGTACATATACTCGTGCTGTGGTTCGTATTAAGATTAACGTAGCTGTTGTTGCCTCGGTTTGACTACCTGTAATTATTTCAATTTGTCGTATTGGATCAGAAAAGTTAACCTGTCGTCTTTTGGAAAGTTTATTTAAATTGCGTTTATCATAAATACAAAGATTCAAAATAGTCATTGATTCTCCACTAACAAAAGCCATAGCATCAACTGTAATGTATGTTCTCTTCTTGACAAGTAAATCAAACAAGACAAACAAATCTCCATAGTTTGGATCATACGCAATATTCGAAGTCAATGTCTTTGATTCTATTAAAAATGACAGGACCAAATCCAGAGGTATATATCCACTAAGTTCATCATTCCCTTTTCTTTGGGAGGGTTTATTGGGTATTCGAGGCAGTTGTAATCGATTGTATATATTTGAATTATTAGTGAAATTTGAAGTCAGTGGTGGTATGAGCTGAGTTGCATCTTGTTCTGAACTTTCTTCTTCTATTGGTCGTAGTTGCTTTGAGGGATCGTGTTGTCTGGCAAACTGATATGATGGTTCTATTAGCAGCAGGTCATCACTAGTTGTTTCTGTAGTATCTTTGGTAGAATCTAAAGATATGGTTGCATTTCCTGATACTCCATAACTTAGTCGTACTCCTAGCCCCTTCTTATGTGGCCACATTGAATGTGTATATGGTTCTTCTTCTACTTCTTCTGTTGTTTGGGTTGTTCAATTTGGCTGTAAATTTAGATGAGGTTAAAAAAAAGGTCTAGAACAAATTGATTTTGTTCGCGTGGTTGCCAGACTGGAAATTTAATTCCACCGAGAAATCCAAATTCATTCTTCTTCTTCTTTGGCTACCACAATTGATCCTTCAATTGACTTAAAGGTAGAGCAAATAGAACTTAAACAATGTATAAATCATGGTGGGTATTCTTACCCCTTATGCTTTGTCTACTCGCCAATGCTAACAACGTGTATTTCAACATGGATGAAGACAACTTGGAAGACGAAGAATTCTTCCTCAATGAAAATGCCGATTTAGCAACCCGTTATTCGAAAATGGCAAACGATTCCTTGTTATGGGGTCCTTATAGATCATCCTTATACTTTGGCATAAGACCAAGACTTCCTCGTTCCTTACTTTCAGGTCTTATGTGGTTCTCAATGGATGATTATAATGGCGTGGGTAAGATTCGTCATTTTTATGAACAACATGATAATATGAAACATGCGAATTGGGTTTCTTATGATCCAAGAATTGGTGGGAGACAGATTATAGATGATCATGAATGTCATGTTAAGTTAACATTTGACTTTGTCAAGAGTGCAGATGGACATTCTTGGGGAGTTAAGATTAGATCAGATCCACATCCGGGATATGAAAATGTCAAGATTTCATTTGTGTGGTATTCAGGATTAGAAGGAGAGGATAAAAAGTCACCTCTGAAGAATCAAAGAAGTGGATATTTGAATATTGAGAATAAGCGGAATGTACTTGGATATGAAGGAGTAGTTACTCTTTTCGGTATCTCAGAAGAATTGGGTGCATTTGATTTAAAAATCAATGATGGACCAAAAACTAATAAGCATCCCAAGGGTAACAGTTCCCATCCTGAATTAGACCCATCCAAGTCCCATCACTATAGTTTAACCGTACCTGATGACAATGTATGGAAAGCTAAAGAGATTTTTGTCACCATGCTTCAAGAATCAGTTAAAAAATTGGTTGAAGAATTGAATGGAATAGAAACTATTCCACCTGAAAATTTGTACATATTAAGAGATTTAAATGATTTTGAAGGAAATCTCCACTTCGTTCAAAAGATATATCAAGGAAAATGTGAATTTGATGTAGTTTATACCAATTCAATGTCTCCACGTACCGAAATCATCACTTTTGAAAACATCAACGAAAAATCCCAACAGATCTTAGTTCAATTCGATATAAAATTCAAAGAACATTTCCAACTTAGTCCACCATTTACCAATTCCCCAAAGCATCAAAAATTCGGTAAAGAAGTCTTATCAGGTCTCTTGGGTGGTATTTCATATTTCTATGGTGATCATTTAGTCGACAGAGACACCGTATTCGATGAAGACTCCTTCGAATCCCACGACCTCCATGGACAACTTGAAGGACCCCATGAACTCTTCACCCTCGTCCCATCTCGACCATTCTTCCCTCGTGGATTCTTATGGGATGAAGGATTCCACTTATTACCCCTCCTCAACTATGACTCCGACCTAGTCCTCGACATCACCAAATCATGGATGAACCTAATCGATTCCGACGGTTGGATTGCCCGTGAACAAATCTTAGGTCCAGAACTGAGACTGCGTGTTCCGGTTGAATTCCAAGTCCAGAGTCCACAAATCGTCAATCCACCAACCCTTACACTCGCCCTCACTTATTTATTAGATAAAATTCATGGATATGGTGATCTCAGTGAACCCATTATTATCGATGATCAGCTCAATCGAGAAAATCTCGGCAGGTTCGTATTGCATCATCCTGATGTATTGACTAATTATACCCGAGAAGTATATCCCAAACTCCAGGCTCATTTTGAGATGTTTCGCCGGACACAACAGGGATATATTGACGAATTTGACAGGGGGACTAATCCGGAAGCATATAGATGGCGAGGAAGGACTGTGACGCATTGTCTTGCCAGTGGGTTGGATGACTATCCTAGGGCATTGCCTGCTGATGTGGCGGAATTGAATGTGGATTTACTTTCTTGGATTGGGATTATGAGTAGGTCGATGGGGATGATGGCGGAGATATTGGGGATAGAGAAGGATGTGGTCAAATATAAGAAGATCGAAGCTGATATTGTTGAAAATCTTGAAAAGTTGCATTGGTCAGAAGAGAAAAAGACATATTGTGATGTGTCGGTGAATGAAGATGATGAAGATATTCATGTTTGTCATAAAGGATATATTTCCCTTTTCCCATTCTTAACCAAATTGATCCCTGAAGATCATGTGGAGAAGTTGGGTGCGATTATTGATTTAATTGCCGATGCAGAAGAATTATGGACTGAGTTTGGGATCAGATCATTATCGAAATCAGATGAGATGTATAAAACCGGAGAAGATTATTGGAGATCACCAATTTGGATAAATATAAACTATCTAATCTTGGAATCTATTCAATATTATCATGCTCAAAGTGCAACTCATATGTCACTGGAATTAAGAGAAAAGTTCGCAAAGACATATCATGATTTACGTTTGAATTTGGTGAATAATATTGTTGACCAATGGGAAAAGACTGGATTTATTTGGGAACAGTATAATGATGAGACTGGGAGTGCACAGGGAGCCAAGAATTTCTTGGGTTGGTCATCGGCAGTGTTGTTAATGATGAAAATGCCTGAAAATCTCTAGAGATAAATTTATAGAGTTTTATACATTTTTTAGTTTTTATGTTATTATTATCACTACAAAAAGTTTTTCATAATCTAGATACTATATACTAAACAGCGTCTCTCTTTCACATTTACTTTGAAGGATCAGCTTCAAATCTTAAATCCCAACCAATTTGTTCACCTAATACAGGTAAAACCTCAGCCACGGATTGAACATCCTTATCCCCTCTACCAGAAACATTAATCACAATATGTTGATCCTTAGCCATGGTCTTTGCAAGTTCAACCCCACCATAAATGGCATGAGAAGATTCCAAAGCAGGAATAATACCTTCTAATTGTGACAACAACTTGAAACCTTGTAAAGCTTGAGCATCAGTCGCAGCGATAAATTCAGCACGACCAGTAGCTTTCCAAAATGCCAATTCTGGACCAACACCAGGATAATCCAACCCAGCAGAAACGGAATGAGTATCAAACACTTGTCCATCTTGATCTTGTAACACATATGTCTTAACCCCATGGAAAACACCTGGAATACCAGCAGTTAAAGTGGCGGAATGACGGGCGGTATCTAACCCGTCCCCACCGGCTTCTACACCCAACATCTTAACTTCGGTATCTTTTTCAAATGGAGAAAACATCCCTGTTGAATTTGATCCACCACCAACACAGGCCACAACGGCATTTGGTAATTTTCCATCATTTAATTCTTGGAATTGTTGTTTTGTTTCTTGTCCGATAACACTTTGGAAAGTACGGACTAAGATTGGGTATGGATGAGGTCCAATTGCAGAACCAACAACATAATGAGTGGTTTGTAAATTAGAAACCCAATATCTGAAAGCTTCACTAGTTGCATCTCTTAAAGTTTGAGTACCATTTTTGACAGCAACAACTTTTGCCCCCAAGATTCTCATTCTGAAAACATTTAGAGCTTGACGTCTAACATCTTCAGCTCCCATGAAAACAGTACATTCTAACCCGAATTTAGCACATGCAGTAGCGGTAGCAACCCCATGTTGACCAGCACCGGTTTCGGCAATGATTTTGGACTTACCTAATCTCTTGGCAATTAAAACTTGGGCTAAGGCATTGTTAATTTTGTGGGAACCAGTATGATTTAAATCTTCTCTCTTTAACCAGATTTGGGCCCCACCGGCATATTCGGTTAATCTTTCGGCCTTATGTAAGGAAGATGGTCTACCGATATAAGTGAATAAAGCTCGGAATTCTTTCCAGAATTCTGGATCAGCAACAGCTTCTTCAAATCCTTTTTCTAATTCGGCTAAACAGGTATGTAAAGCCTCAGGAACATATTGACCCCCGAAATCACCGAATCTTGGATTAAATTTATGAGATTCTTCAAGCATTGGTTTGGTTTGTACGGATAAATTAGATTCACTTCTTTGGAATGCTGTTGGAGCATTTGCTTTAAAATCATCACCAAGAATAGATCTGACGTAATCATATGCGACTTTACCTCTTTGACCTGGTTGAGCTTCACTAACCAAAGTTATAATTTTAGATCCAATGACGACCCCATCGGCAGATTCACCAACAGCTAAGAATTGTTCTCTATTGGAAACACCGAATCCAACCGCAAGTGGGATATCTTCACCAGCATTTTTTCTAACACGAGCACATAATTCATCAATACCGGCTGAAACAGTCTTTGACGCACCAGTGGTACCCATTTTAGAAACAACATAGATGAAAGAATCAGCAATACTACCCAAGACTCTCAAACGTTCATTAGTAGTTGCTGGGGCAACTAAAGGAACATATGAGACACCATTAGTGGCACAAGTACTTCTAAATTTAATAGCATCTTCAGGTGGTAAATCAACAACAAGGAACCCATTTGCACCTGCATTAGCAGCATCTTCAATTAATTTTTCTTCACCATATTTTAAAATTGGATTATAATAACCCATTAAAATGATTGGGATGGTAACACCTTGAGCTCTGGCATCTCTAACCATTTGTAAACATTTAACTACTGAAACACCGTTATTTAATGCGACAGTGTTGGCAGCTTGAATGGTAGGACCATCAGCAATAGGATCGGAGAATGGGACACCTAATTCGATGATATCTACCCCGGCATCTTGCATACCTTTGAGGATGGGGATGGTATCATCAACAGTTGGGAAACCAGCAGTAATGAAGTTGATTAAGGCATTACGACCTTCTTGTTTGCATCTTTGGAATGTTTCTCTTAATGATTCAGACATATTGGAAGATGTATTGATTGACTTGTTGTCGGTATAAGATAAAAGATAAAAAGATAAAAGAAAGTGAGATCTAATGGAATATTTATATTTATTTGCAACACCCCAACAAAAAAAGATTTTTTTCAAATAACAATGGAGAAAAAATTAAATTTTTGATTTAAAAAAAAAGAAATGAGTCAGTGTAGGGTAACCCCCCAGATTTTTAAATTAAATTAACTTTATAACAAGCAAGTAATTAATACAAAGAAGCAACTAATTAATTTACGTAAAATAACATACAAGTAAGAATGCGGAGTAGCGTTTCAGAAAATCTTTCAAATAAATTAATCGTCTAAAATTATTACATTACACTACTTGCTAATTAATTAACTATAAAATACACATTTCAATCATATTCGTATCAACGATACAATTGTAACTAAAAAAGTTGAAATCACGTGCCAAGACCAAACATATAGGGAGGGGCGGCAAGAAAGCAATCTCCTCTATATGATAATCGGTTGATTTGAATTGGTACCCATATTCTTACTATTAGCTCCAGTGGTTGCTGCTGTCTTCTTAACTGAGTTAGCTCTCTTTTTTATATTACCACCAGTTCCATTAACTATTGGACCATTGTTAGGATTTGATTGAAATGTAGGAGGATTCCCATTGGGAATAATTGGAGTAGATTTACTATTTAAAGTAGGTGTATTATTAGTAGTATTATTAGCCGTTGGAGTTCTTGAATTCCTTGTATTTGGAGGTGGTGCCTCGACATCATGACCTAATTTAATTTGAGCAAGATTTATAATTGGTAATAATTTATTATATTTATCACAATATTCTTTAATACTAGTTTGAACTGTTTTTAATCTCAGGATAACTATACGATAATATTCTTGTTGAGATTGATTAGGTGGGATTGATGCTAATGCTTTTAAGAATAACGACATGTCGTTTTTAAGAATATTGATTTCGGCTTTTAATCGATCTATTTCATCATAGATTAGATTGGCATCTATTTTACCGGAGGTTATATCATCGATTTTAATTGATTCCGGAAGTCTATTTAGTTGTTCGTTGTTCATTTGATATGGTTGTATCTGTGATCAAAATGATTTATGTAGTATATATAATGTGTGTATGTATGTTCTATTTCTATATTGATCCTAATGACCTGATGTAACAAAGTAAGTCTTGACNTTATGTAGTATATATAATGTGTGTATGTATGTTCTATTTCTATATTGATCCTAATGACCTGATGTAACAAAGTAAGTCTTGACTTTTTTTTTTCTATTTTTTTCCACACACCAGTTTTTCTACTCCACAATTCTTACCCTTTAAAAGCTTGATCTACATCCCCAAGCAGTGCAATTAATTGTATGTATCTATAAAATATATAATTATATATATAACTATGAATCTATGTCACTGACTTCTTATAGCACGTCGTTCTCTAATTATCACCATATCATCTTTTAATTTCCAGTCAGCACCATATTTCTCTATCAAATCATCAACCTTAATTCCCAGTGGTAATAATCTCTCCAATTCCAGTTTAGCAATTGTATAATATGTTTGATTAAACTGATCTATAAACAATTTAATCATTCTAGTTAATCCCATTGCCATCATAGAAGTCATAGAACTATCCAGTTGTAATTCATAGATCCTGAACCATCGATACCAATCGTCATCAATCCAAGATCGTATCATATCAAATATCATCGATTTCTTGGGTATATATTCAAAATATAATCGTACGGCTTTGGAAATCTCTTCGGTCTTATGAATATGATGTAGGATTAATAATGTGGCCACTTCTTCAATTTCATCGGTTGATAATTGAAGTTCTTCCCTGTTCTCTAATAGATATAATATACTGGGGATATATGTTCGAAAATCCCCCACAATTGCTGCTATTCGTAATGAAAAGAAAAACACTCGTTTACAAAATTCATTCGGAGTAGAATATAATAATGCTTCTCGTAGTTTTCGTGTTTGTAATAGGATAGAATCTATTGTTATCTTTTGTGGAGTTGTTGTATCTTTCTCCACTGATTCAGCACTCTTCATATCATTTTCAGTAACAACTTTATTGAATTCCTTTTGGAGAACACTGGTTGAATTCAGATTACAATAATTTATAAAATCGGCTATAATTTCTGAAAATAATTCTTGCTGTGCCTCTTCATTATTCTGTAAATAGCTTTCACCTCGACTAACGAATCCATGTTCATGTTTGCTAGGAGTTGGAGGAGTTGCGAATCTAGCTTGTCGTTTTGCAAGTATTGACAATTCTTCTTCACTCTTACCTGGAGACTCTTTAATCTGTTTTTGTTTCAATCGATGAGGAGGAGTATATGTCTTCTTCTTGGTATTACCATTGTTGTCCTTACTGTTAGTGTTCCTGTCCTTACTGTTAGTGTTCCTGTCCTTACTGTTACTCTTCCTGTCCTTTTCTTTCCATGGCAGTTTTGATTTAGAACGAAATGTTCGTTTATATTCCGGTGGAGTACTTTGAAGTACCTTATCAGTAGTACCACCCCCTTCTCCTCTAGCAGTTGAATGATCTGATGATGATGGAGTTGAAGACAGAGTAATTGGGGGTGATTCAGATGGTTCTTTTGGTTTCTTGGGGGGTTGAGCTCCCCTTCGTTTGCCTATAAACATTTATCGTATAAAAAAGAGAGAGAGAGAATTGGTTGTAAAAAAAATTAACTCGAGATCATTAAATATTTTGATTCTTGCAACACTTCAGTATTTTACTTAAGGACTTTAGATCTCGAGTGTTGGAAGCTGTTTGAATTATAGAGAATGATAAACTCATTAATATTCAATACATCCAAATTAGATTGATGTTCAAATATTACTGGTTTGTCCTTTCTATGATATCTTGCCCGCTTTGAGAGATAGAGAAGTTCCAGAATAAATTGATGTCGTAGAAGATTCCCACATCTTTTGTAGTTCCTGACAAATATATATCAAACTGTTCAATTAATAAAGTGTCGATATAGATAGATAGATAGATAGATATATCTTATATATAAATTTAGTATACAAATAAAGATGAAGAAGAAGGGCTTTGCTGATTATTTAGCAGCCAATAATTGAGTAAATTCTTGAATATCAATTTCTCCATCATTATTAGTATCAGCTTCTTTAATCATTTGATCAACATCAGCATCACTCAATTTTTCACCAATAGAAGTTAAAACATGTCTTAATTCAGCAGCACTAATCTTACCATCACCATTTCTATCAAATACTTTAAAAGCTTCAGCAATTTCAGCTTCAGAATCAGTATCTTTCATTTTTCTAGCCATCATGGTTAAGAATTCTGGGAAATCAATTGATCCATCTGAATTAACATCAACTTCATTTATCATGTCAGTTAATTCACTTTCACTTGGGTTTTGACCTAATGATCTCATAACGGTACCTAATTCTTTAGTAGTGATTTTTCCATCGCTATCTTTGTCAAATAAAGAAAAAGCTTCTTTGAATTCAGCAATTTGTTGTTCTGATAATTTTTCAGCCTATTAAAATTCAATTGTTAGTATTAAAAATCTACAACGTGTTTCATGAGATCATTTTTAAATGAATACGATAGAACTAAAAACAATGCCCAGTTTAAGAATCCAAGTGGGAATCTCATTAACCGGTCTGTCTATCTCTTGTTTATCGATCACATTGTACAATTTCAAATAACATACCATTGTGTGTGTGTTAATCTTATAATGAAAGAGAGAAAGAGAGAAAGAGAGAACGAAATGAATAAATTATGAAAATGCGTGTGGGTGTGATAATTTTGTATTTTTTTTATAAATAGAAACTTTTGAAAGAAAAAAAAAATGTCATTCTGTTTTAAAGTTTCAAAATACATTTACGATAATAACAATTGGTAAATATTACACGACTATTTAGCATATGATATGACCTACAAAACCAATGTTTAAGTTGTACAAAGGCAAATGCTGTTAGCCTTGATAAATCGGTAAATAGTTAGAAGTATTTATCAGCGAATGTGAGGGACGTCGAGCATGTTTAACGAAGTGAAATTCACTAAGCCTTGCATCGCTCGCGCGAGTGTTGAACACCGGCAAATTCACTAAACTTGTAGGAGTGGTCGCTTTTGAAATCTAAAGCTATCCAACACCAACTTACTACTGGGTATGATGAATATGAAAAGAAAACTCCTATAAAAACTGAGGGATTTTCCATCAAGGTTAAATCTAGCGAAAACTCATGAAAATTACTCTCCTAAAAGACAAAGCCACTTTTGCTAACCACAAACATAGGAACAATTTCGATTCAATTAGGACCGACTTGGGAATAATACATGAGGGCACAGTTTTCCGACTACAGTCTTACCTCTGTCAACAACTACATTGAATCTTGTCACAATTCAATTCCGTTCAGATTTGTGAAAGACTCCATGTAGTTGTTATCACGAATCAGACTGTAGTCTGTGTGCTAGTTGCATATTCATGTAAGTTGATTGAAAAGAAGTAAAACTTTATTCACGGCAATCTTCCTCAGTACTACCGTAAATGGCGTAAGTGTTAAGTCTGGATGAACAATAACGTATCTTTTGTCAATTGAATCCTTGTGGTTCCAGAGGAAAGGGAACATAATAAAAGAAAAAGTGGTAGCTGGTGAAAAAATTGAAAATTAAAGACAAAACTTTAATTTTTTCACCCGACGTTCGGTGTAATCATCATCATGCTGCGTAAATATCGTCACTATTCCAAACTGTAATAAATTCATTGATTTCGCCTGCCTATGACATCATCAGTTCTTATTTACAACTCATTTCAGCTTATTCTACTAAAGAACAAGAGATAACTTATGAATGATGAATTAGATAAGACACACGAATCACAACCAGACAACAATTATCAAGACTTTCTTAGGTCTTTAGATAATGAAGAATTATTAACTCATATTAGTCAACTATCATCGCTTACTCATCATCTGCAAAATCCTCTCAAACAACCATCTTTTCAAGAAGTTTCTACCCCAAAAGCGCTAAAACAAGTTTCATTCACAAGCGTAGCAAGTTCTGATCCATTCGATGATGGTCTAGATGATATCTTATTAAAAGTCGACGCGTCTGGACATCTCCAGAATTCATTTGCTGAACGCGCACTACCACCAATCACTAATGAGGAACCTCCTCACATTCCTGATGAAGAGAGCGATAATAATAATGATGATGACAAGACAGAAGAGAGTATTGGTAAATTACATGAATTTGGAGACTATGGAACCTATTTCCATTCCAAGCATCTAAAACAACAAAAACAAGATCTCGATTATCTCAAATGGGAAAAACAACGAAGGAGATTACAAAATATCCCCAGTCAGAATACTAAACCGATTTTTGAAGGTTGTGTAATATTTGTGAATGGACATACCCTGCCTTCAATAAATGAGATTCATAGATTGGTTATATTACACGGTGGGAAATTTATTAGTTTTTTGTTTAATAAATCTGCTGCTACTCATATTATTTGTGATCGATTGACTCCCAGGAAAAGTATAGAATTTAAGAATTGTCGGGTTGTGAAGGCGAAATGGATAGTTGATTGTGTCGAGAAACAAGAGTTACTAGATTGGCAAGAATATAGATTGATCCTGGAAGTGTCGTATGATCAAACCCGATTAGGATTTCAGAGATTGCAACAACCCGATTCAGCCCCTGGTCCCCAGCAAATGCAGCAGATCGAAGAAAACCAAGCTAATGATACGGATGAAGACGGATTAGAAGAGGAACATGAGGATGAGGAAATCCTTTCACCCCTTCTATCGCAAAGCGATCAAATCCTAAACCGACTGCAACAATTAGAAAATCAAGAAGGTAAAGAAAACGAGGAGGAGGACGTGTTAGTAACTCTAGAAGCAGAGCCAAAAGAAGTCAAAGGAGTTCATAAAGTCAATAATAAATACGTTTTAGATTGTCGACACCCAGATTTCTTACCCAAATTCTTTGCCAACTCAAGATTACATCACTTAAGTACCTGGAAAGCCGATCTCCGATTGAAATTTCTACGAAAAATCATTCATGAACGCAAGCATCGACCACAACAACCAATATCATCACCTCAGAAAAATGTGAACCCGTTCTTAGACCCCAATCACCAACGAGAAAAGCTTATAATGCATATCGATTTCGATTGTTTTTTCGCAACCGCTTCATGCTTGAATCGCCCCGATTTAGATATTAATAAAGACCCAATTGCCGTTAGTCATGGTGGGAAAACTTCCGATATTGCAAGTTGTAATTATGTTGCTCGAAGTTATGGAATCAAGAATGGTATCTGGCTCGGAGGTGCAAAGCAAAAATGTCCGGATTTAGTATTGTTGGATTATGATTTTGCTGCATATGAGAAATATTCTGGAGAATTTTATAATTATTTGGTATCCAGTGATATCTTTGATACGATTTTCCCGGTTCTGATAGATGAAGTATTAGTCGATGCTAGTTCGTATTGTTTGGATCCTGCTAAAGATACGGTCCAGGTTGTGAATGAATTATGTGCCAGGATTCGGGAGGATATTTTCAAAATCACAAAATGTTCCGTAAGTGTAGGTGTATCATCAAATGTCCTATTGGCCAAACTTGCATTACGTAAAGCAAAACCGGACGGATATTATTATCTTCATGAAAATATCAGCCAATTCTTGGAATCTGTTCCAGTAAGAGACTTACCAGGCATGGGAGCAAGTCTAGTTGAGAAATTATCAAACGAAATCCAATCATCTACCGCGAACCCGCCAACATTAAAAGACCTACTCCCCTTTTCCAGATCCCGATTAATGACCCTATTTGGAGAAAAAACCGGCACAAAACTCTATCAGTATGCCCGAGGCATCGACCACACCAGTATCGAAATAGATTCCTCCAGCAATCCAGAATCAGTCCTCGGCAGGAAATCAGTCTCAGTAGATGTCAATTTCGGTATTCGTCTAGACACAATCCAAGAACTTGATGATTTCTTAATGAGACTCGCTCGGGAATTATACACCAGACTAATCAATCTCGGAATCTGTGGATCTGGAATCACCCTCAAATTGGCCAAACGTGCCCCAAAAGCCCCCGTCAATCCTCCGAAGTTTTTAGGTATGGGATGGTGTGAATATGTGAACAAATCGGCTCGGTTGGGTGTGCCGACGAATGATTGGGGTGTGATTGGGGCGGAAGTTAAGGTACTTTATAGAATGATGAATGTGCCGGTGAAGGAGTTGAGAGGGATAGCGATTACGATTACGAGACTTAGGGATGTTGAGAGTGTGAAGGAGTCTAGACAGATGAGACTACCGTTTAATCAGATTACAAGCGCGAAAGAACTGGGGAATGTTGGCGATCAGATTAGGGAGGAGTTTGAGAAGGAGGATAAGAAGAGGAAGAGGTTGGTTACTCCAGCCACGTCACCTTTGAAAGTCCAGAAGACGGATCGGGTTGTGTTTGCGAAAGAGCAATGGGAGAAATATCAGAATCAGAAACGAATAGGCGATCCGGTGTCAGGTCATTTTCATGATATTAGTGCGATAGACTGGGAAGTTTTTGAATCGTTACCTGATGAGATTAAAAGAGAGGTTGAACATGAATTAAGCCGTAGAGGGTTGTTATCTGATACGAAACCAACCAAACTGCGGGCTCCACCTAACAGTAAAGTCTATTTACAACAATTACTACCTACACAATCAGGAAGTGCACCTAAATTTGTTCGGGTCATTGAATCACCCAAGAAGAAATCCCCTCAGAAACGAACCAGATCAGCAACTACCCTGCCTGTGAAACAACTTCCACCTGCTTATGAAGAATCACAATCGTATGATTCAGCGATCTTGGATGAACTTCCGTCTTCGGTACGTGCTTCCGTCATGAAAGATATTGCATATAAGAAGAAAATAAAGAAATTTGATCTAGTTCCAGTTCGTGATAAGATTGCGAGAAAGTTTGAACAATCAAAAACCATCGTTTCCGAAATCACAAAGGAATGGATTTCGGACCAACCGAAATTAACTGAACTTCCATTATTCTTGAACCAAAAACTCACCGCACGTGAGCTTGATCAGAATCTACGTGATTGGGTTAAGACTTCATTAGATCAATGTGGTCCTCATCAAGATGATGTGAATTATTTTATGGAATATATGAAGGCGATGTTGGTGCAAGATGATCTTTGTCAATGTTTACTTATGGTGCGTACGATCAATAAGGCATTGGAGTATCATAAGTCGATTATACCGTTTACTAGTCACGGGGAAGAAGAATTGTCATTGTTAGAACAGGGAATTGAAGATTGGCATCGACAGTTGGATGGTAAGATTATTCCTGCAATTAAACAATACTGTGCGGCTCATAATTTGACTCTCAAATGGTAGCTCCACGTAACTGAAATTTTTAAATTTTTCAATTTTGTTTATGATTTATAGATTTATAGATGTAATGTTATGTGTGGAATGAGAAAGATTCTCTTAACTTCATCTGATGATCTATCACGAATAATTGATTTACTTCCTTCCAACAAGGGACGACAGTCTTTAGTCACATCATTAATAAAGGCATATAAATTAAATCAGTTGGCATCAGAAATAATCAAGGTTCATAAAGTCACTCGTCGAGATTTGGAACTGTATCATGACTCCGGGTTTGTGAAACAATTGCTTATTCCCAGAGAAGAATTGGATCAGAGTATTGAGGAATACCGAACAGTGAAGCAATTAGTGAAGAAAGCTGTTTTTGGAGATTTTCCTGACTTGTCTTCCAAGAGTTTGCCGGAAGACGTATCTGATGAGGAAGAGGATGACGAGGATGAAAGTGACGAAGGTGATGATGAGTCCAAGGAAGAGGATAATGAAGATGATGAATCTACTGTATACACAAAAGACTTGTTTTACGGCCTAAGCCATGATTGTTATCCATTCCCATTCATGAAGACCTATGTCAACCTCACAGCAGCATCCAGTATAGCCGCAGCCCATGCCCTAATCCGAGAGTCTAGCATCGAAACCCAACCAATTGCGATCAATTGGTACGGAGGAAGGCATCATTGTACGAAAAGAAAAGCAGCTGGGTTCTGTTATGTGAATGATATAATCCTTGCTATAGGAACCCTTCGAAAACGATTTTCTAAAGTATTTTATCTAGATCTTGATTTGCACCATGGCGATGGAGTGGAGAGGGGATATGAATTTTCGAAAAAAGTGGCCACTTGTTCTATACATCGATATGATATTGGGTTTTATCCAGGTACGGGATCATTAGAATCTTCGAGTGACTGTACGTACAACATACCGACCCATCGTGGATTAGGGGATGCGGGGATGTTGTTTATCATTCGAGAAATTGTTGCTCTGTTGATTGAGAATTTCGAACCTAAGTGTATTGTTATTCAAGCAGGTTGTGATGGACTTGGTACTGATGAACACAATGAATGGAATATGACTTTTGAGGGATATTGGATGGCTATTGAATTGATAATAGAGACGTTTAACCTTCCTGTCGTGGTCTTGGGAGGTGGTGGATATAATCATACTGAAACTGCAAAGTGCTGGACTTATTTAACCGCGAAATTACTAAATCAGGATACAAATACTTGGGATATAATCCCGGAACATCGATATTTAGATCAATACGAGAAGGATGGATACCAATTTTGGACGGATGAAAATTCTCACCCCAAGAAGATGAAAGATGAAAACGACGACAATTATCTACAATCATTAAAGTCTTATTTATTATCTATAAAGAGAGCGGACTAATTAAGTTCATATTCAAACTTCTTCTTCAATACTGTCCGCCAATTTTGGTCCCATCTCAACCCACTTTCTTCCATGGCACCTTGTTTTATAGTAGCTAACAATTCAGAATCGGTCATTGTCTGTACTAAGAGGTTATACATTTCCGCTTCAGTATTCTTATTATCTGTAATTAACCCATTGACGTTTTGCTTTACCAATTCGCCAATTGCAGGGAATGAAAGTGAAATGACCGGTATTCCACACCCAAAGAAATCCACAATTTTCATAGGTAAATCAATACCACTAGATGATGTATGCAACGAGACACCCAAATCTGCTAAGGAGAGAATTATGGGATATTCTTCTGCTGTTAGCCATGCAGATTTAATAATGACTTTGCTAGGGGAGAAATCAAGATCTTTGACGGTCTGCAAGAATTGGGATTTTAAGGGACCTTTTCCTGTTACTATCAAGAACACTGGTGGGACATTTTTTGTATTTTCGTATTGTTTTAATGCATTTAATAAGATGTTAAAATCTTCATCTGGTGTAAATGAAGTTGAACTTGCTAATATTTTGTAGTTTTCGACATTTTCTATTTGGTTAAATAATTCGTGTGATTGTAAAAATTCAGGTTTGGAAATTGGCAATTCTTGTAATGGCTTGAATTGATCTCCTGGTCTATCATATAATGTTACAATATTTGATTTTTTAAATCCAAATTCTTCAATTAAGAACTTCTTCATTTGCTTTGTTACTGTGACATTTAAATTTGCAAATTTCCCTAAAAACATTTCATAAAATCTGACTAATCTTACAATTGGATGTCTTTCATTCTTATATCTTAAATTCAAAATTGAGTAATTCAAATTATGCCAATCTATAATTAACTCTGTATTTCTGCTGAATAATTTGATAAATACAATAATGAGGAACAACAAAGGGACAGAAGGGGGATTTTGGATCAAAATATAATCAATTCCTCTAAATTGCAATAATAATTGAAAAAGCTGATAAAATTGAATGAAAATCTTCTTACCAGCAAACACCAAATATGGTAACCCAGTAGAATTCTTAATAACTTTAATCTCACAAATATCAATATTCATATCATCAATAACATGTACAGGTGGCTCGGTTTCCAAATATCCACATAAATTAACGTCATAATTCAATTTCGAGAATGAGGAAGCATGATAGCACATCCGTGGCGAATGGCCGAGATCACCAAGAACAAATATCCCAATTGATCTTCGTTTTCCAGGTTTGGATTTTGGTGTGGATAATAAAGGTAGAAGCTTATATGCAATTATTGGAAGACATAAATATAAGCCAACCAAGCACCATAACCATGGACCTGAATAGTCCCATATATGATCAAATCCCTTGTATTCTATAAATCCGGCCATTTGACACCCTGCTTGATGCCCTAAAAGAAAGAGCCTTTGGTAATTGATTGTTCGTTCCTTGAAAAATCAAAAACACAGAAAATCTTCCTGCGTATAAGCGCAGTTCTGTCACGTGATAAACGTGTGATTTCCGGTCTGCATATAATCTGTCTTGTAAGATTGTTTGGAAATGGTTGCAAATAATTGAAAGAGAAAGTCCTCAAACTAGAATGTGAGCCTTGTAAATGATACCTGAGTGAAAACCTTCTTTGTCTCGCTAATCCCAGAATCTTCTGGTTGAATTATGAAGTATCTTTTAACGTATCGTATGAACCCAAAGGAAGTAGAAATTTACATTGAAAATTTGTTAAATATCAGCCAAAATATAACGTATCAATAAGTCTATCGAATTAAACAAAGAAATACAATTTCATATTAAGTTCAGATACCGACTTAAAGAGCCTAATCGAAGTATTCGAAGAGAATTTGCAGTTGGTGCTGATTGAAATCACTCCATGCAACCCCATTTATTCACCACTTAGAATTCCAGAATTTTTTTCCTTATATCCAGTCTGGCATTATGTCCCAGAAACCAAGACAAATACAGAGATTAGAAGAATTTGTGTAGTAGCTTCACCTACACAGAGTTTATCCTTCACCGGGGACGATTAATTATTGCATAACAAAAAGAAATCGAATTTAGAAGTGGGATCAAACAAGATTCTCGAATTTGATCATTTTTTAAGCTTCATAGAAGTAAAATAGGCCTTTTTTACCCAACGAAAAGCACCAAAATCCTGAAATTACGTCCAATCTCCACTCTCTTCATTTCAAACTGGCAAAAATAGCTAAAATTGTAAAAAAATTAAATCATTTCGACAACTGCAGGACTCGAACCTGCGCGGGCATAGCCCAAAAGATTTCAAGTCTTTCTCCTTAACCGCTCGGACAAGTTGCCTGATTTTTTTCAATTTTTTTTTCGGGGTGCCAGGCGATTCTGATTTCTGATTACATATTTCCCATTTTTAGAGCTTTAAATGCAACAATATGGTCTTTTAAACGATGGACATATGATATAGGGTGCATGAAGATCCCCAGAAATAATGAGACTCTTTGTCTTTTTTTGTTGTGAGGACTTGGAGCTATTCTGCAATTGACACTTGTGTTCACGAATGAAATACACAAGCAAAGTGACAAAAGAATGTCTGCCGCAACTTATGTAAATGAAAAGCTTCCTTGGAGTGATAATTCATTTTACAAACTGAATATGTTTAAGAATGATACTCAAAATAGATGCCATTGAATATTGTATATGAAAAGAACAAATATGAATGAAAACTTATTTTAAGGAGAAATCTTTTTTCTTTCGTGTATTTATATGTGAGCTATAATTTATGGGGTTGCTAAATATTTTTAAGAAAGATAAAATGAAAACTGATGACCATACCATCGTCATCATCATCACAACCCCTTAATTTCATTTTCTTTAAACAATTTGCAGTAAATATATAGAGAGCGATTATATTGTAAGTATGAGGAAATTTAGGAATGTAATGCATCTACTCTTTTTTCTTCATATAAATTACAATCTGCTTGTTTAGTTCTTAGACACATGTTACTACAACATACAGAAAGGAATAATTATTATTATAATGTAAAGGGAAAACACACCAGGAAAGTCCTTATTTCAACAACAGTAGACCTTAATGGGCAAGTGAATAGAGGCAATTATTAAGAAACTTGAGAGAATAAGATACCCATTTTGAATAAAGCGGACCGTGGGCTTGACTTAGGTGGGTGGGAGGAGTCCTTAACAACCGTTGAAACCAAAAACTATTATATAAAAGAATATTCTATCGAGGAACAAGCGAACGTGTTCAATAGGTCAAAAATTTCCCGTTCTTCAAGTGTTTTCCGCAAGCCTTTATACCTTGCATCTTTAAAGAAAGTATTCCAATCAATGTAGCTTTGCGAATTAGTTTCATCTAATGGTGGTAATCCTTGAATGGCATCATTAATCCCCGCATCCATATGTGAGTCTAATTCTTTAATATGATAATTTGAGCGTGTTAAATAGAACCATCCATCTAACCAAAAACGTTCCAGTTTACTGAAAATGGGCGATAATATTGCCAACGCCTGGTGATTTTTGGGTTTTCCTTGTGCCACAAGGGCAGGTACCTTAATTATGTACCAAATTGATAACAAGGAACATGATGAATTGCCCTATCCAGATCAAGGAGACATTGAATTTTATTTCTAAAAACCACGGGTCCCCAATTATCACAAAGCAACAGATTGGTATTAACCCACGATTCGACAACAAAGTATTGAGTGTTCCAGCAAATGCTGTGCTTGCCTTCCAGAAAGTTGGTTTGCTAAATTAAGGAGTCCAACTCTGCCTTGGGAGTTATTACTATTAATAGACCGTCACCAACTCCTTTCAAGAAAGACAAAAGTACGCTTTAGTTTGATAAGTTGAAGATTCCAAGTGGACAGCATACTGGGATTGATCGGGAAAGAAATATTAAAGCCTCCAGTTCGATGTGTGAATTGGAATCCCAAATTAAAGCGTTGATTTTGGAAGGAATTAAATGGGATTAATAGTTCTACGTTCTCAAAGTGGGGTTGGACACTTAAATGTGGATCAATTTACTGGTTGTAAAGCAGAACACATTTCGTTGTACTCCAACAAATTGGTATTTCTAAAATCCCCAGAATATGAATCTACGGTAGGCGAGGTTGCAAGAAATGAGAACATTTGGACATCAACCCCCTCTTTCCATAACGCTAATGGAATATTATAAATGTTTAAATAAAAGACACTATTATTACTATCACTATTTACCGGACTCCTAAACGGCCCAACATATACATATCAAGCCGACGGATTAAGTTGCCTAGTATGTCCATCTTAGTATCTTTAGATCTATCAAATAAATGTGCTTATAATCGAACAAACCTAACGGAGCTTGTGGTATCAGAAAGCTAATAGGAAAAAACTATAGGAATCGATTTTCGCTCAGCTTTGGTAAGAATGGAAGTAGCTACAGCTTGTAAATTTTACCCTGTTTATCTATGGAGCCTTTACCACAAGGATTTTATTAGCTAGAATTGGGATGTACACTAGGAAGTATGTTGGTTGACCGTAGCCGTTGAACAAATGCTGTGCAATATAAGAAGACGAGTCCTCAAAATAGGAAAACGAACGGGCAGATGACCCACCGGCAAAGTATCAAGAAACTGATGAACCCTTGTCTTTCAATACTGTGGATACCGATTATCCGAATTTGTAAAAAGTTGTAACATTTTTGCCCGTGTGCCCCCGAAATGTGCTTTTAAATTTAGAAAAATCGAATCCACAGCTTCAAGGGTGAGCTTGGCACTTATTGATTCGAAAACGACGACCAATGGCATCTTTCAGGTTGGTTTGATATTCTGTATCCAGCATTGGATATAATTCATCATAGTCGTATAATTGTTTAAAACTGTTGGAGTTTAGGCAAAATTAGTAAATAACTACTTACAATATTTCTTAGTTACGTTATTTGCACAGAGGTTGAATAATGTAGCCATTCCTCCGATATATTTCGTGTACGATTCACAATACAAAATAAAATCCACAATGTCATCTGATGCACGTTGTGCGTGGAATTGTGCATCCACTTATCAAAGTTCATTGGCCCCGCAGTATTGTATTCAAAGTGTGCCGCTCCACTTAATTTTTCTTCAATTCTAGTGAGATATTAGAATCTGCATGGCCATAGGAAGGTTTCTGGTTGAAATTTGCAACCTTTAAAATCCATTTTTTCATTTTACGTTATAATTCCATTTATTACTTTTAAATAGACATAGAGTAGAGAGAAAATATGAGTGCTACGCTCTGGCGGGTAGTATGTGACATATTTCATTGTTCGTTGATTTGGAACTTACCAATATTTTGTATAATGCGAAGCGTTTGCTGCGAGAGTACAAGCTCTTCAATACTTATATTAAGCTGGTTTATGGCATTTGGCATTTGCGACGGTTTGAGTCCTCGGAACCACGTTTACTTACGGAATCTGAAGTCGGTGATTGGTCTTCTCAACTACGGGACCTTAATTTCTTTTAAAGGTTATGTATGATTTTTTTTGTTGGTTGTTCTGAAGGTATTGTATATAACTCAAAATAGCCTACAAAAAAAATCATACATAAAGTTTTAAAAGAAGTTAAGGTTGTCGAGAAGACCAATAACGAACTTCAGACTCCGTAAGTAACCGTGGTTCCGAGAACCCATACCGTTGCAAAAGCCAAAGACCATAAACTAATTTGATATAAGTGTTAAAGAGCTTGTACTCTCGCAGCAAACGCTTAGCATTGTACATAATATTGGTAAGTTCCAAATCAAACGAACAGATATATTTCAATAAATGTCTCGCTTTTAAAAACAAAAAAAGTTGTTAGAGACAAATAATGAGTCATGGAGTTAAAAAAAAGATGGCTTTATTAATCTCTAGACATCCAAAAATATGAAAATATGACGTCAGCACCATTTACAGTATAAAGTTGTGCAACGAACTGACCGGGACGTGCAGGCGAAAAGTACACCAGGATGGATAGAGTAAGCTTAAAGAATTGAGAACTATATGTGGCTTAGGTTTTGTATTTCATCAATATAGTGACAGATACAAGAGAATTCTATTGTTTGATAATCTAGAGAATTTAAGCCAAACATTGACAAGTTAGCCGAATTAACTATACGGTATCTTTAATTTATAATTAGCTGACTAAAAACTATAAGCCAAGAACTTACAAGGATGTTTTAGTAATTGCAAATATTGTGACGTCCACAGACAATATCTGTCATTTAGCCTAATCACTTAATCAAGAAAAAAATTAATTGTGATTTTTCGCAGCCACACTTTTTATATTTTCTTGTCTTGGTGGGATTTAGTAAAGTTGCAAATTTTTAATCTTGCAGCCACAGTACATGCAACCACACTTCAAGAAAACCTTGATATTGAAGCCAAAATGGTAGGCAACCTATTGCAAATCAAGCTTTTTCTTAACTTAGTCTCTTGGTTAATCTAACCCGCAAATTAGACAATGAAGCATTTCTACAACGAATTAAGCCGCTACTATTGAGTATCCACGGCACCCACAATGAGTGGAGATGCACCATTATAAATATAATGGATTCGCTACTTCTTAACCCAATTTGACTAACATTTCATTAACAAACCAAGAACAAACGTGCTATTGAACATGTCCTTAGAGAGAACGATCTCAGCCAAGAGTCAAAATCTCGATTCTTCAAGCAAGAAAGATATCCCCGAATATCATATTACATCCGTTGAATCGAATTCTTCAACTGAAAGCGATCTATTGGTCAAAAATCCCTTCTTAGATCCTAAAGTAGAAGAATATTATCGTGAATTATACTCATCTTCAAAATATGAATGTTATAAAGCATTTGATCCACAATTTGAATGGACAGAAGAAGAAGAAAAGAAAATTCTCAAAAAATTGGACATTAGAGTTGCTCTAGCTGCATGTGTTATGTTTATTGGATTACAAGTTGATAGAGGGAATTTAGCCCAAGCTGTCACTGATAATTTATTGGATGATTTAGGTATGACTACAAATCATTATAATACTGGGAATACGATATTTTATGTATCCTTTTTATTAGCTGAGATTCCTTCTCAATTAATTTCAAAGGCACTTGGTCCGGATATTTTCATTCCAATCCAAATATGTTTGTGGAGCGTGGTTGCTACTTGTCAAGCTGCTTTAAATGGTCCTGTATCTTTCTATATAACTCGTTGTTTGATTGGAACTTTAGAAGGTGGATTTATTGCTGACTTGGTTTTATGGTTGAGTTATTTCTTCAAGAGTAAGGAATTACCAATTAGATTATCCTGGTTCTGGACGACATTATCCTGTGTCCAGATTGGTACTTCATTACTTGCATTTGGTATATTGAGAATGAGAGGTGTTGGAGGATTGGAAGGTTGGAGATGGTTATTTCTTATTGAAGGACTTTTCACATTAGCCATTGGTATTTCCGCCTTTTATATGATGGTACCTTCTGCTGTTCAGACAAAAAATTGGATGCATCCAAAAGGCTGGTTTACTGAAAGAGAAGAAAAGATTGTTGTTAACAGAATTTTAAGAGATGATCCAAATAAAGGTTCGATGCATAATCGTCAAGGTCTTACTCCAAAGATGTTATTGAAAAGTTTAATGGATTATCATCTTTGGCCAATCTTTATTATTGGTCTTACTGCATTGATTGGATTAGGTACCTTCACTTCATATTTCGGTCTTTTGAATAGACAATTGGGATTTTCAGTATTTGAAACCAATCTTTTAACTATACCTCAAGCTGTGCTTCATATTATTCTCTTATTATGGATCACTTGGTTTTCAGAACGGATTAATGAGAGAGCATTAGTATGTCTTATTGCTCCTATTTGGGCTACACCATTAATGGCCATGATTAGATGGTGGCCAGGATCAGGAGTAAAAGTCTGGCCCTCCTATGTGTTGAATTCATTGTATTTAGGACAACCGTACATTCATGCAATTTGTGTTTCTTGGGTATCGAGAAATTCCAATTCAGTTAGAGCAAGATCAATCAGTTCAGCGTTGTATAATATGTTTGCTCAATTAGGTAGTATAATTGCTCAGAATATCTATAGGGCGGATGATTTACCATTATATCGTCGTGGTAATATGCAATTGTTCTTTATCACAGTTGCTTTGATTCCTATTTTGTTGTTGACTAAATTCTACTATGTCAGTCAGAATAGGAAAAGAGATAAAGTATGGAATGCTATGACTGAAGAAGAAAAGGATTACTATAGAAAGAATACCACTGATGATGGATCTGCAAGATTAGATTTTAGATTTGATCACTAGACACTTCTTTACTTTTTACGTATGTGCCTCTCTACACATAAATAAATTTTCAAAGTCAACGTTTAACCTCCTCTCAACAGAAAATATCCAACGAAGAGACGAGCTAGGCTCAACCTTCCTTCAAAGCCGTCCTGCCTAGTCTTGTATAAACATTTTAGAGAAAAATCAAAGTACCATATCTAACTAGCACCAAATTGAAAAAATCGATACATCCAATACCACTCCCTACAAAATCCGGGGTGCTATATTATTGTCTATTCAACATTTAACATTTTCAGTTGTCTAGTAGAAAATTTAGTGTTTTGTGTAATAAAACATCTAGAATCGTTTAACTAATTATTAAAGTTGCTAATTTAATAAACTATTAATCAGGGTACATTGATGTACGAAGGAGTAGAGAGTCAAATTGGCAGTTAATTAGTAGGAAAGAGAGAGAGTGAAAAAATAAAGTTACATTTTATGAGCCGTCTTTTCCATTTTCAATTAAAACGATTGGGTGAATAATTAAACTGTTAAGGATAAATTATATATCAATAAATAATTGTTAATTTCATTATCTACAGTAGATAGTCATCTCTATTGGTTGTACTATTTAAATGGTTAATTCATTCTCTTCTGTCTTTTTAAGTAAAATTCACTCTTCTGGTTTAGGCTGATCAGACTTTCTGTATTGTCGCCAATCAATCAGTCAACTGATTTTTGATTTTGTTGCCAAAAAAAAAAGACAAGAAAAAAAAAATCAACACTAAAAAATAAAAATCAAAACAAACCCATTTTTTTTTACAACCACCAAACTCAACGATCTTTACTCTAGCAAGTCTATTCGTATATATATATAACATCACTTTATATACTACTACTACTTGATATCTATAGTAACAATCGATTATGTCATCAACAGAGAAGTCTTCAGGATCTTCTTCTGCTCCTGGTGGTACTACTGGTAGTAATTCCAGAGAAGATATACGAGGACAATTATCTGATATTCAAAAGAGATTATTTGGAAAGAAATCCCAGGGAAAATTATCCAAATCTACACCTACTTTATCAGGTACTCCTACTCCACCTACTAGTGAACATGATTTGTTAACTCAACCACCAACATCTGGTTCTTCCACTACTAGATCACCTACTAGTAGTTCAATGAGTACTCGTCTGAGAAGATCTTTAGTACCAATGGTACCTCAACAACCTCCAAGTCTTGGACCAGAATCAAAAGGTAATGATATGAATTTTGTAGTTGGATTAAGTGAAAACTTGTTAACTGAATGTCGTAGATTAAATTCTGAAAATACTAAAGTTAAATCAAAATTGAAAGCTGCTTTAGAAGAAATTCAATTATTTAAAGATGAAATTTTTCAATTGAAAAATTATAATGATTTTCAAGTTAATGCTGAAAAGGATTTAAAAGATAGGAATTGGGAATTGGAATCAACTGTCATAAGTTTAAAAGATCAAATAACTCATTTAAGAGATTCAAATGATAAATTAACCACTGAAAATGAAAAATTACTGAATGAAGTTACCACCTTAAATAAAGAACAAGATAAATTGGAATTAGCAAATGAATCCTTAGTGAAAAATTTAGATTCCTTAAAACGAGAATACAAGAATCAAGTTACAACATTAAATGAACGTATTGAGAATCTTAATGATGAAAATGACCAATTGCATTTACGACTAACCGCGTCTACAGTATCAATTGATTCAACAAAAGAAGGAGAATCTTTAGATAAATCAATTAAAGACTCAGAAGAGATAAACGATGAAGATGTTACTGATTTTGACTCAATGTTATTGGATTTAGAACCACATACCATGCCAGACTCAGATCCATCCAATCCACAGTTAGAAATTGAAACTTTAAGATCTACATTACAACATTCCAATAGAACAATTGCAAAATTAAGATCATCAATGCTTAAATTAAGAAAAGAAGAACTTCAAACTTCTAGAGGAGGTTCCCCATTCAAGAAATTAAGACAACCTAAATCAAGAAATGATGCATTAACTAGTCAACAACTTCAACAACAACAACTGCATTCCAATAGAAGTTCTACGATTTCTCCATCTAAGCGTGATTCCAGATTTATTGTTGTGGATGACGATCTCTCATTTGGTTCTGAATTCCCAACTGAAGGTGGTCAATGGGAAGATTTTATTGCCGATGTAGAAACTTCACCTTCCAAGAAGAAAAAGAGGAAGTCTGCTGAACCACAAGAACATCATGTTCCGCAACTTGTACAATCAGATTCCGAAGAAGAAGAAGCTACTGAAACTGCTACTATTGAACAAAGGACATTATCTAAAGAATTGGATCTTTCATTCGAGCAACAATTAGAACAATATACGAAATCAAAGAACTTGGTGTTGATTTCATTTGATGAATTACAGACATTAAAGAACAATAATATCATGACATTATCTGATGACAAGATTCTTGACTCAGCAAAGGAAAAGGGATATCATATTTTGACAAAGAGTGAATATGAAGACTTGATGAATGAAGAGGAAATGAAGAAGAAATTGGAAGGAAAGGGTTTAGTTACATTACCACAAGATGAATTTGAAAAATTCAAGAATCCAACAATTGAATTCCTTAGTGATAAAGCTTCAGAAATGGACTTTAAATTACTCAAACAATCAGAAATTGATGAATTAAATGAACAATCTCGTGGATATAATAACCCTACTGAATCTTATTTGGTTTCAAAATTACAGAATTTTAATTTGTTCCCAGTTACAGAAGCAGAACTTAAAGAATATCATTATTTGGCGGCAGAGCATGAAAAACCAACCAAGGCATATTTGACAGACAAGGCGAATGCATTAGGATTAATTGTTTCATCAGCCCAATTGTATGATACTTTGGAAAAGAATGCCAATGAACCATCTTATGAACATATTGTTGAAAAGGCAAAGAGTCAAAACTTTCAAGTTATTCCTCAAGATGAATTTGAAAAATTAACGAATCCAACATTAGACGAGATTACTTCTCATGCAACAGAAAGATTCAATTCTAAGGTGGTTGCAAATGAGCAATTTGAAGAATTAGTAAATCCATCAATTGACGCAATTAAACAACATGCCGACAAACACAATATGACAGTCATCCCAATTGAACAATATACCCAACTTGAACAATCCATTGCTAAACCATCTTTGGAATATTTGGAAACTCATGCAGCTGATTATAATCATCGACTCATAAATGAAGAAGAACTTGAAAAGTTGAATAAATTGGCCAATGAACCAAGTTTATCTCATATCAAATTACATGCCGACAAGAATGATTTGGTTACTTTATCAAAATCAGAATTCACTCAATTGTTCAAAGATGCCAATGAACCAAATATGGAACATCTTACTACCAAGGCTGGCGAAAAGGGTTTTGTGGTTATTAAGAATGTTGAATATGATGAATTGAAACAAACGATTGATACCCCTTCAATTGATTATATTAAACAAAAGTCTGGTGAATTGAATCAAGCTGTCATTCCTAAGGAAGAATATGAAAGTTTAGGTCAGCTTGCACATAAGCCAACGTTGGAACAAATTACCAATCATGCCAGAGAATTGAATTATGAAGTTGTAAACAAGGAAGAATTGGATAATTTGAATAAGAATGCAAATGAACCATCTTTGGAATATCTTGAATCAAAAGCAACAAATATGAATCATGTGATTGTGAATAAGGATGAATATTCTACATTGACCAACTTGGCTTATTCTCCAAATGTTGATCACATTGTTTCGGTTGCCGAAAAATTAGATCATAAAGTCGTACCTACATCTGAATATGTTTCCATATCTGAACAAGCAACAAATCCAACAATTGAACAATTGCAAACCAAGGCAGCTGATAAAGGATATAAAGTCATTCATGAAGATGAATACAATAATATTTCCTCTTTGGCCAATGATCCTTCATTAGAACATATCCAGAATAAAGCAGAATCTTTGTTCCAACATGTCATAGTTCCAAATGAAGAATGGAATCAAATCAATTCACGTGCAAATGAACCATCCTTAGATCACATAGTTTCGAAAGCATTGGTATTAAATCAAGTTGTAATTCCACAATCAGAATTATCAGAATTGAAGGAATTAGCATATGAACCAAGTATCGACCATCTTCGTTCATTGGCTGAAAAGAAGGATTGTAAAGTTGTTTCAAATGAAGAGTATGCAAACTTGGATAAATTGGCAAATGATCCAGATATTGATAGAATCACAGAATTGGCAATTGCAAAAGATCATGTAGTTATGACAGACGATCAATACAATGATATGAGAAATGTGGTTAGTAACCCATCTATTGAATATCTTGCTCAAAAAGCTGGTGAATTGGGACAATCGATTATCAAGACTGAAGAATTGGATGAATTGAAGAGAATTATTGACGATCCTGCTAGAGAACATCTTGAAGCAAAGGCAGCTGCTTTTGGTTGTAAACTTATCGACAATGAGCAATTAGCAAAATTGGAACACAAGGCATATAATCCAGATTTGGAATTGATTAAATCACATGCTGGTAAATTAGGTTATGAAGTTGTTTCAAATGAAGAATTATCCAACTTGAACAAATTGGCTAATGAACCTGATTTGGACCATGTTGTTAATAAATCAAAGGCATTAGGATATATTCCAATTCCAGAAGATGAGCATGCAGCATTATTGAATTTAGCCAACGAACCACCACAAGAACATATCGAATCCAAAGCACAAGCATTGGGATTAGTCACAATCCGCAAGGAAACGTTTGATGACATGAATAAGACCATTAATGAACCAGCTTGGGAATTCCTTACTCAAAAAGCAGCCGATCTCCATTATTCAGTTGTGATCAATAAACCAGAATATGAGAATTTGAAACAAGCCGCTGATAATCCAACCATTGACCAATTGAAATCCAAAGCAACAGCTCTTGACCATGTAATTGTCCCAACTGCAGAATTAAACGATTTACATAATTTAATTGATAATCCACTGAAGGAATACATGAATGAAAAACTGGAAAGTATGGGATTCAAACTAATGGAAAGACAAGAATATAATAATTTATCTGAATTAGCCAACAATCCTGCCCAATCTCATATTAGAAATAAAGCAATTGCGTTAGGTATGACGTTAATTTCTGCCAAGGAATTGAATCAATTGAAACGTAGCCGTGATGACCCATCTGTTGAATATTTGGAAAGTAAAGCAAAGGAAAAACAATTGTCTATAATGCCAGAAGAAGAATTGGAGAAGTTGAAACATACTATTGATGAACCAAGTTTGCAACATTTGGAACAGAAGGCAAGTGCTAATGGTCGTGTATTGGTTGAAAATGAAAAAATTGAAACTATGAAGAAGAATATTGATGAACCAACTAGTGATTATTTGAGAGAGAAGAGTTCTGCTCAAGGACTTGAATTAATTCCTGTGAACGAATTGTTGAAGTTGAGACATGACTTGGATGAACCTAGTGTTGAATATTTACAAGAAAAAGCCCATGTTCAAAAGATGGAATTGATTAATGTTAGAGAATTGGCCAATTTGAAGAATTCTGTTGAAAATCCAAGTGTTGATTATTTGAAAGAAAAGGCTCATTCGAAGGACATGGAATTGGTTAATATTGCCGAATTGTCAAGAATGAAATTGGATATTGAAGAACCATCTGTTGATTATTTATCTACTAAAGCAGAATCTCAAGGATTGAATTTGATCAAGATTGACGAATTATCTAAGTTGAGAAACGATATTGAAGATCCTAGTGTCGAATACTTGAAAGAGAAGAGTCGCGCAAAGCATTTGTAATTGATTAATGTGAATGATTTATCTGAAATGAGAAACAGTATTGATCAACCATCAAGAGAATATTTGTCCAACAAGGCCCAAGATCAAGGACTCGAAGTTATTGAATCCAATGAATTATCGAATATGAGACATGAAATTGAACAACCATCAGTTAAATATTTGAAATCAAAGGCTCACAACGTTGGAATGGATTTAATTGCATCAGAAGAATTATCAAGTTTGAAAGCTACTATTGATTCTCCAAGTTTAGAATTCCTTGAACTGAAAGCAGCTCAAAAGGATATGAAATTACTCAATATCAATGAATTAGAACATTTAAAGAAATTGGCTGAGGATCCAGAAATTGATCATATTGAGAAATTCGCTACCAAGAAGGATTTAGTGGTGTTACCTTTAGTTCAACATCAAGAATTAATTGAAAAGCTGGCCAATCCCGACCAAACTCACATTGAAAATGTCGCTTCCAAGAGAGATTTATCTGTAATTCCATTAGTTTCATATAAAGAACTTGTTGAAAAGTCCGAAAATCCAGATATTCCACATATTGAAGAAGTAGCAGCCAAGAGAAATTGCAAAGTAGTACCAAATTATGACTATGATAAATTAGTTGCATCTGCTGAAATTGTCAAGAATCCACCAGCTGAATTCATCAAGTCTCATGGAGCTGAATTGGGTTTCAAAGTGATTGCTATTGACGAATTTAATGAATTATCACACTTAGAAGGTCATGCAAAGGAACATGGACAAACTCTTATTTCCAATGAAGAATATAAGGAATTAATGGTCAAGGCAAACAAATCGTTAGATGAAATGGCGGAAGAGAATCAAATGATTGTTCTTGATAAGAATTCATTCGAAGAATTAAGTTCGAAGGCTAATAAGAGTTTGAATGAGTTTGCGGAAGAAAGTGGAATGGTTGTCTTGGAAAAGGATAAACATGCAGAATTGGTAAATAAGGCTAATAAGACTTTGGATGAAATTGCTGCAGAAAGCAATTTGGTAATGCTTCCAGAAGCTGCATACGAAGATTTATCAAAGAAAGCTAACAGAACTGTAGACGATTTAGCTGAAGAAGGTGGAAAGATTGCAGTGGATAAGACTCAGTATGAACAATTGGTTGTTAAAGCAAACAAATCTTTGGATGAATTAGCAGAAGAGAATGGAAAGATTTCAGTAGATAAAGATTTCCATCAAGAATTGGTAAGCAAGGCAAATAGGTCGTTGGATGAATTTGCAGAAGAATCAGGAAAGGTAGCCATCGATAAGAATGAGCATCAAAATCTTATTGTTCAAGCTGAAAAATCCTTGGAAGAATTAGCTGAAGAAGTCCAAAAGGTTGTTCTTACAAAGAGCGATCACGAAGAATTGTTGACTAGAGCAAACAAGAGTCTTGAAGATCATGCAATGGAAAGCGGAATGATTGCTATTCTGAACGATGATTATGAAACCTTGGTATCCAAGTCAAATAGAACTATTGAACAATTAGCTGAAGAGAGTCACATGATTGCACTTAGTAACGAAGATCACACTGACTTAGTCAACAGAGCGAACAAATCCTTACAGGAAATGGCACAAGAGAACAATATGATTTTGTTGAACAAAGAAGAATACGAAGATCTTATCAGAAAGGTTGATAAGACATTCGATGAACATGCAGCAGAAAGAGGAATGGCAATCATTTCAGTTGATCAACACAAGAAATTGGAAGAGACTGCTGGCAGATCATTGGAAGTTCATGCAGATGAAGAAGGCAAATGTGTTATTTCCAAAGACGAATTATCATCATTCAAAGAACAGATTGAGAATCCTACTTTAGAATATTTGAAGGAATGTTGCAGAAGACATTTGAAGACACTTGTACTGGAAGAAGAATACGAATTACTCCAACTGAAGGCAAACCAACCAATAGAAGAGAAGGCAGAAGAAGCTGGCTTAAAGGTTATTCCAATCCAAGAATTGAAAGACCTTGAAAGAAAGATTGAATCTCCAGATATTGAATATATCAAATCCAAGGCATCTGGTTTCGGCTACGAAACTGTTGATAGCGAAGAATACAGCAAGCTTGTTGCTTATTTCCATAAACCAGTTGAAGAGATTGCAAAGGAAGCCAACTTAGTTCCGCTTGAAAAAGAGAAATATGACGATTTGATTGAAAAGGCAGAAACTCCATCGTTAGACCATATCCACACAATTGCATCAATACACAATCATGTTGCCATTCCAAAAGAAGAGTATGATCACCTTAATTCTAGTATCAAATCACCAGATTTGTCATTCATTGAAGAAAAAGCACGCGATCACGAACGTGTCGTTGTTCCAGTTAGTGAGTACAGAAAATTGGTTGAAGACATTCAAGAACCAATCGAACAGAAGGCTGCCAAGAAGAATATGACATTGATACCAATTGCTGATCTTCAAGGTTTGAAATCAAAATTAGATTCACCCGATTTGGATTATTTGAGAGATAAAGCTAGACAATTAGAGTCAGTGGTTGTACCAGAATCAGAATTTAACTCATTGACCAAGTTAGCAAACGAGAGTTTAGAAGAAAGGGCAGAAAAATCAGGAATGCGTGCAATTGAACAAGAGAAATTAGATACTTTAGAAAGAGCTATTGAAAATCCATCTGTTGAGTTCTTGAAAGAAAAGGCATCTAGTCATGGTTTGGAAGTTATTGCTGTTGATGAAGTTTCGAAATTAAGACAAGAATCCTCTGATCCATCTATTGAACAAATAGTTGCTCACGCAGAAAGGAAAGAACATGTTGTCGTTCCAAAAGAAGAATTTATGAATATGGAACATAGAGCTAATAAACCAATCGAGGAAAAAGCATCAGAAGCCTCGTTGAAACTTATGACTGTAGATGAATACAATGAATTGGAAAGGTTAGCAAAGGAATCTTTGGAAGAAAGAGCTGCAAAGGGAAAGAAGCAAGTTGTTGACAACGATGAATTGAATAGATTGCAACAAATCTCTACAAATCCAACAATTGATCAAATTATGGCTTTTGCCAATGCTAAACAGCACATTGTTATTTCTGAAGATGTTTACACTGAAATGCAACAAGAATTAGATCGTTCATTGGAAGATAAGGCTCATTCTAAGGGTTTGAAGGTGGTTCCAGTTGGAGTATTCACTGACTTATCTAAGCATCATGAATCACCATCTTTTGAATTCCTTAAGGATAAATCGCAAAATGCTGGTTATGAGATGGTCTCCAAGAAAGATTTTGAAAACTTATCAAACGCTGCAAATGAATCACTTGAAGTGAAAGCAGCAAAGGAAAACAAAGTGGCAATTCCAAAGAGTGAATATGAGGAAAGTGTTGTGAACCCAAGCATTGAAAAATTGAAGGAATATGCACAACGTAATGACCATGTTATTATCCCTGTATCTGACTTCAATGGATTAGAATCCCTTGCAAAGGAATCAATATACGACAAGGCTGAGAAAGAGAATGTGAGGGTTTTATCATTGACTGAATATGACGACTTGAATGATAGAGTAGCTCATCCACCCTTAGATCTTGTTTCTAAGATTGCTGAAGAAAATGATCAATTGGTAATTTCAAAATATCAATATGATGAATTGAGAAACCTTGCAAATGAAACTGTTGAGGATAAACTAGTCGGAACCGATTTGAAATTATTGAAGGTTAGTGAATATGATGAATTATTAGTTAAGGCACATAAGCCATCTATCGAACATATTGAAAAGAATGCTGCTGCAATTGGCTTCTCTGTTGTAGCTGCTGACGAACTCACCGATTTGAAGAGAAAGGCTATGGAGTCGCTTGAAGAAAAAGCATCTGCATCAGGATTTGTGGTTGTGAATAAATCAGAGTATGAGTTAATTCAATCAGAATTGGATAAATCTTTGGAAGATAGAGCAGCTGAGGGTAACTATGTTTTGGTAAATAAGAATGAGCTTGAAGAATTACGTTATAATAGTGGACAATCATTGGAAGAAAGAGCTAAAATGGAAGGAATGATTGTTATGACCACAGATGAATTTAATGATTTATTCGATTCGAATGCTACATTAGAGAGAAGAGTTAAAGAATTGGAAATTTCCGGTGACGAGAAACAGATTTCAAGAATTAAGAAGGAGTTGGCAAATGTTGGTTATTTTGTATTACCTATTAGTGAATATAATAAATTACAAGAAGGCAACAACAAATCATCAGAAGAGGAGAAATTTGAAGATGTTGAACCATCATTTATTTTGACTCCTGAAGAATTGCAAAATTCAGCTCTGAGAATGGATATGGTTATTATGACAAAGGAAGAATATGCCGAATTATCTCAAGTTGACCAACAGAAGATAGAAGAATATGCAAAGAATTCTTCACTTGTATTGGTACCAGAAGTTGAAATTCTCAAATTGAAGCAAACATTGGCAGAAAAAGATTCCGAAATCCATCAATTGAAGAATCAAGTTGGTAATGAAATTTCAAAGGAAGCTGTTATTAATAAACTGGATGAATTTGGGTTAGTCTTTTTAGAGAAGGATGAATACCATGAATTGAAGTCACTTTCTATGACCTCCAAACATCCAATTAATGATGAATCAGAATTAGAAACTAAGGCACGCGAACTCAACAAGGTTATTATTGACAGAGATGAATATGAAGAATTAGAATATGCCATTGAAGCCCTTAATGATAGAGAAAGAATCGCCGATGCTGCTAAGACATTAGGATTATTGGCTATACCAGAAACTGCATATGTTGCAACCACAACTCATCCAAAACCAGAAACAACACCTACTGTAAAGGTTGTTCCAACCAGTTATTTCAATCAATTGTTGAAATTGAAAACATCATCACTTGAGAAAGCTTCTGATGAAACTTTCAAGAAACATGCCGAGGCTCGTGGATTTATTCATAAAGATGATGTTCCTGCACCAGCACCAGCACCACCAATTAAACATGAACTTGATACCATTAGGGAACGTCATAGTACATCCGATCTGAACGTTTCAAGATACATACCACCACAACCTCAAAGAAATGCACCATCATCACCAGAAAGTCCTATTGTTGCCAGAAAAGGAGGTTTGAGTCGTCTTCCACAAACTTCAACTGTTAGATCAGATTTGTCGGGACATTTATCACCTTCGTCTGGAAGTATCAATGATTCATTAAAATCCAATGCCATGTTTTCAATTGCTACTGATGTATCACTTACTGATAAAGTTATGATTCCTGCAATTACACAAGTTATGATTGGAGAATATCTATTCAAATATTATAGGAAATTGGGTGCATTTAGTGCTATTTCAGATACTAGACATGAAAGATATTTCTGGGTCCATCCATATTCATTGACACTTTATTGGTCTGAGAATAATCCAGTATTGGCAATTTCTGGTCTGATTAAGACTCGTTCTGCAGCAATTGTGAAAGTTGAGAGTGTAGATGATAATAATCCATTACCTACTGGATTATATTTCAAGAGTATTGTGGTTCATTCTACAGATGGTAAGAAGATTAAGATTACTTGTGCAACTAGACAACGTCATAATATATGGTATAATGCCTTACGTTATTTGATTAGTAGAAATTTGGATGAATTGACCGTTGATGAAGAAGTAAATGCTGATGAATTGAAATCATTTGATGAAACCCTGCCAAGATCAGAATCACTGAGGAATTTACAAAGTTTGATGGAAACTGGTGATCGTCGTGCTTTCCCAAGACCACCTTCGAAGAGAATGAGTAGCCTGGTTGGGAATTTAAGAGATGGATCAACAGGAGGATCAGGAGCTGGTGGAAGTAGTTCAAGGAGAGTATCTAGATTTAGTTCTGGGAGAAAGTGAGAGGTAGTTTGATTTTTGTGAGAGACATTTTTAGTTTTTAACATTTACGCTTTATTTTGTTATGCGTTTTATAATTTTGTTTAATATGTATATATATTTTAATATGACGATTATTCTATTTAATAAATAAGTATATTAATTAATTAAATGATAAATTAATCTATGATAATATGCAAAAATATGAGTGAAATGACGTAACGAAATTTAGCTATCCTTTTCATTAAATTGAAACTTCAAAGGTGAAGCCATAGGTAATACTGAAGAAGGCGAAGCAAGACGAAGGGGTTTTATTCTTTTATTTTCAGTCTTCCTTCCATACCAACATGATTGCCCAATAGTTAAAATCAGCACCAAGATAATTGATAATATACTCACCGAGAAAGTAATCTTAAAAATTGAATTATAACATTGATTGCCCAACATACAAACTAACCCACCAGCGGCACTTGTCCCCGCGGCGGCATCATTTGTATTGCTGGCACTTGAAATTGATTTTGAATCGTATATTTTCCCAAACAAACTGGTGAAATAATAACTTGGGAAAATTGGGGCCAAAGCGACAATCCCCCAATTATATGAAAAATTATCCATGCCAAACATATCACCAACTATAGTTGGCATGATACAAAATGTAAACCCATAGAATAATCCAGTCAATAATGAATCCACGGGTAATTTTGCATAATTCTTAATATGGAAACTTAATAATTGCGTAATTGTCATACCTATTGATGGGAAGAACAAAAGCCAAGTTCTAGGTAATCCAAATGATTGAGTGATGAAATCTCCAAGTATACCAGAAAGAATCCGCCCTACACAATTTGCAATTGATAATAGACCAACTTGAAATTGTTGATCGTGTTGAATTACAGTTTCGGTTTCTTCGATTGAGATTGGGGTGATATCGACTCCATTTCTGATTGTATAACTGACTAATGCTTTGACCATATATCCGACTGAATAGATATACATTTGTCCCAAAGAAGCTAAAGTTCCTGTTATGGCGAAAATTAACCAGAATTTTGGATTATAGAATAAATTTGTTGATTTCAGATGTGATGACGATGATGATAAAGGATCAGTTGGTTTATATTCTGATTTGATTGATCTTTTTGGTTTATGTTCATAATCGGCCATGATGACACTTGGGGCGCAAATAATTAATATAATAATAATTGAATATCCCACAAATCCCAAGAAATTAGAAGTATCACCAGGATAAAATACCGAAGCGATAACTGAATAAAATAATGCACTTAATCCATATAATGCCAATGGTAATGATGTTGCCACACCTCTCATACTTGGGAAAGTAATAGCACAACATTTAAGACATGAAGAATTAATAAAAGTTGATCCTAATCCAATTGCAAATATGAATGAACCAGACATGGATAAATCTGAATATGAATTATCAAATTGTCGTTTCATTCCAAAATATCCACCCACAATTAATAACCCACCAATTGCTAATGAGACTGTATAACCTCTTTTATCAACCACTGATCCTGCAATTGGACCAGCAATTGCAACCCCAATTGTACCCAATAGGGCGATGAATGATGAATCAGATGCAGAATAATGAAGTCGTTGGGCAAGTTGGGGACTGTATGATGAATATAAATATAAGGTACCACATGTTAATCCTAAGAATGTACATGATAATAGTACAAATACTCGTTGTGATGTTGTTGAAACCATGTTTTGTACTTCTCGTATTTTGTTTGTAAAAAAAAAATCTATGCTGTGTGAACTATTAAATGAAAAAGATAAAGACAACCGATGGAATGGGTATTAGTAGTAGCTGTAAAGTAAAAGTAGTATTTGGACGAGGTTGGATATATGTAAAAATGAATGTAAATATCACCCAAAGGGACTTCTGAAACGTTGAATTGCTATTAATAAGTCGTAAATGCAAAAAGAGGGATTTCTTTTGAAAACGGAATATAAATAAAAAAAAGCCAACAAGTTTAAGTTTTTTTTTGAACACAACTCTAAAACTTCGATGATACACCACTTCTGGTTTGTGCCACCTCACTAAATAATTTAAAATTTAAAACAAAAACACACACAAAAGTTACGATTATCTTCTTCTTCTTGCGCTGGGAAATTAAAGAACAATTGAAATTCCAGTGGCTTTTTGTGATCTCTTTTAAGTTTCTTTTTATTTTCATTTTTCCCTTTTGGTTAAACAAAGATAAAAATAGCAACGTAAAAGCAAAATAAAATAAAATAGTATCTGTGTCCCCGTACCTTGAAAAAAAGCAATACCAAACAATATAAAATAAATTTATTAATTACGCGACTTAACATCCATAAACAATAAAAAAACACCAAAATTTAAACGAATCAATTAAGCAAAAAAATAATTCAATTGGTTATGAACAATCAAGGTTGGATAATTAACCATGTTCCACCCCCCTCTTCCCCCCTTTCTGAATGTGTCAATTTACAACAGAAACTTCAAAGAATTATGATATTCAAGTTCTTCTCGATCAACCCCCAATTCATCCTATTCGCAATGTTAGTATGGCCATTGTAGACCGGCGTTTAGAAGAAACATACCATTAGTTTGTCCAAATCATCATTACATTCACCAATTGTAGAAATAAAGTTATTAAACTAGAACTTGATGTTAGTGAAATCAAATATTCTCTAAAAAGAGCCGAGTGTACATACCATTTCTTTCCTTTGTTTTCTCATTTTCATCAATTTATTGTGATATTGTTTAAATGAATCTAAATTGTCATTGTTCACGTTAAATTCAATCTTTTGCAATTGTTGGTCTAGGTTATCAATTTGTTTGTTTGAATTTTCGATTGATTCAAGAAGTTCTATATCTGTTGGCGTTGAGTTAACTATTTGTAATTCTATCAATCCGTTAGTATAAATACCCACCTGACTATAACCCGATAAGACACATACGTTGTTTCGTTTGTTGAACATCTCGATTTAATTGTTTTACATTCTCTTCCAATTCCTGATATCTTTCCAAAGAAGTGCATGAATCTTCACCAGTAAGTTGTTTATAAACATAATAAGTAGATTTCCCAATAACTCTAGTAACCAACTCCCCTTCAGCCACCAATGAATCAAGTATAGATGTAAGATTATTCTTATTATATTTATTATGTAAATTCAATTGAATATCTTTGATTGAATAAGGTCTGTATTGTTGTTTCATATAAGATTTGACAAATGAATTATCATCTTGCTGTTGTTGTTCTTGTTCGTCGTCAATTTCTTGAGATACTGGTGTTGATGGAGCTGCTGGTATTATTTCTTGTTTGACTATTCTTCTTTTTCTCCTAACTGGTGACATTGTAGTTTAGTGCAAGGATGATGATGGTGTTGTTGATGTTGTTGTTGTTGTTGTTGTTGTTGTTGTTGGAAACCAAACTTGATTTTTTTTGCAACCAAAAATTCTATTATTTGCGTGGGGGATTCCTGTGGGGGATATCTGTCTCAAGATTACACAGGAAAGGATTGCAATATACAGAATACGGGTCATTTGAAAGCGTAAAACTTTAACAACAATCACTCAAAGTGTCATATCTATTACTTCAAGAGAGAAAGAGACATTATTAGAATCTTTTGATACCCTTATCCGTGTCCTCCGAACAACTCATACTTCATTTAGCCTTGTTTGACATGCAACAGATGAAAAGAACATCACCAGACACCACTATGAACCTAATATACTCTCAAAGAAATCCAAGAGGGTTTAAATCATCAAAGATTTACCTTAATTATACTTACTGCTAATAATAATAGTTCTAGAATCTGACTCTGTCAGATCTTCCTACTAATTAAACAATCTTCTTTCGCATTCTTCTGCTGTCAAGTGAAACACACCAAAAAAAAATCAGGGGTAACAAAATTGAAGTTTTTTACAACCAACTCAAATCAAACACACACATCTTCATATAACTACAAGGAACATTAGTAAGAGTACTATTAACAATGACGTCAATACCTCAAGAGAAAATAGATCATTTGATTTTAAATTATTTTATTCAAGAAGGATATCAACAAGCAGCTATCAGTTTTGCTCAAGAATTAAATATAGACATAAATAATCGATCAGTATCCCCCCAGAAAACTCAACAACAACAACAACAGCAACATCTTCTTAATCATCAACACCATCCATTCATAAATCAATTAAACAATTTAAGTAAACTAAATGAAGATGAATTTTCCAGTGTAGTTATGGATTATTTTAAGTCTGATAATCTTGAAAATAGTAGAGGGACCATCGTTGCACCTGTTCCTGTTGGTAGTGGTACTGGAAGTACTGGTTCTGATAATGTAGGTACGAAACTTATCTCAGGATATTCAACCATTATCCAAAGACAAGAAATCAAGATGTTGATTCTAAAAGGACAAGTCACAGAAGCAATCAAAAAGATTAGTGAATATTTCCCCACGATTTTAGATTTAAATAATTTATTACATTTTAAATTATTAAGATTGAATTTAATTGAAATGATTCGAAATCATAAATTAACAACCAGTACTATACAAACTGAAGATGAAAGGAAATTTTTAGATGATATATTATCATTTGTTCGAGAAAATTTAATTAATAAAGTATCGAATTCATTTAAATTATTAAAAGAATTAGAAATAACTATGAGTTTATTATGTTTTAATTTCGATCCAAATATTAAGAATATTCAAGATCAAAAAGATTTACCTGAAGAATTAAGATCGTTGTTTAATTTATCATTAAGGAATCAATGTTATAGATTAGTGAATCGAGCCATATTGAATCTTTATGATAATGAAAACATTAATAATAATAGTAGTAGTACAAGTGGAGGGAATAAATTACTTGCTGCAGATGATGATGATAATGATAATCGATTTATTGACGAGATTATGGGTGTATCTCATGAAGATCAACGAAAGAAAGATATTATGCAGATTTATAAAGGACCTAAATTTGTTGAGTTTGATTTATCTAATTTAGAACATAGTCCTGTGGGTAGTAGTGGTACCGCTCGTGGAGACGAGGAAGATGATGAAGATGAGGATGAGGATGATATGGATATGAGTACTATTGAATATAATATTAATTCTCATAATGCGGCAATTAATCAAATCTTGAATCCAAATGATACTAATCAAAATCAAAATAATAATGATAAAGATGGAATTGAAGATGAAATAAGTAAATTACAAACATTATCATTAGAATCTAAATTAGAAAGAGTGGTTAAACTCTGGACAATAACTGAACAAAGGTTATTAGATTTGAATATAATTAAAGAGAAACGATATATTTTGAATGAGGAGTAGACCTACATGTGCAAGTATGAGGTTATAAAATGCATAAAAATTCTAAATCTATATATATAAGGTACACACACTATCAGTTTTTAAATAACAATTACACAATCAATAACATTACCAGTTTCAATATTACATTTACTTAAATAATTCAAATCTTGATCTTGTCGAACTTCATCATTTTTATTATTAAAAACCAATACATTTCGTATTGTTAAATCATGACAATGATATTCTTTATATAAATCAGATTCACGAAATAAATTCAATGTCTTGGTTCTTAAATGTTCAATAGTTGAACCAAATTCTGGTTCTTTATTCATTTCAAAATCTTCTGGACTAAATTCATAATAATATTTAATAAATTTATTTAATTTAAATATTTCTTCACTTAATAAATTTAATTTATTCCAATATAACGGATTATATTTTGATAATTGTTTCAATTGATAATATTCCAAAAGCTTGTTCTTATCTTGTTGTGATATTATATTCATTCTAACTGATAAATGAGCACAATGGATGGGCACTTCAGTAAATATATCTTTTGCATGATATTCCCATAATCCTAAATAAATCCCAGTCCAATAAATTGATTCATAACTAATTAATCCAATTACAATTATAACTAAAATTTCAGTTATAAATTTTGAAGTTGGATGAATTAATAAATTAGCTGTAAATGAATGTTGTTGTAATTGATATGTAAGATATTGATCAAATTTATAAAGCAATTCAATTGGACTGGTCATAGTTTGTACTTCTTAAAAGAAATAGATTAAATAGATAAAACGAGAATATTGATTCAACTTGTTTTTTTTTTTTTTCAATTTCCATAATTCGGAATTGAGGGTTTATATGTGTCGTAGAATAGCCCAGTGTCATAAAAAAGATCAAAACACGTGATATGAGACGGGTAGTTGGTTTGGTCATGTGACTTTAATTTGCGTCTTTTTTTTCCGCTTTAAAGAAAAATTATTAAAAAAAAAAAAGTTTTAAAAGTCCATCAAAATTCAATCATTCCACCATCTTAAGCATCACTGCAACATAGTAACAATGGATAATAGAAAAGTATATAAATCCTATAGAGATAAAGTAAAGACTCTAACACAGCCCTATTCAATCAGTAATAGGAAACTATCAACAAAAGTAAAAGGTTTATGGAACTCAATTAAATCATTATCTCAACCATCATCACCACCAACACCAACCACAACAGCCGCATCATCAATTGAACCATTTAAATTCCCGGAACCTCAAATTAGAATTCCTGGTTCCTTTCATGTGGACACTACTGAAACGGCAGTAGTAGATAAAGAAACAGACAAACAGGCGGACGATGATGCAAATACAATATTGTCCAATTTCTTTAAAGAAAAAGGTAATAAACCATTAACTGATATTGAATATGAAGGAGTAGTTTCCTTGCTTTCAAAATCTAAACAACAAGGTAAACCATTCAAAAGACCTCACAATATAGATAATGACGACGATACGATAGACAATAGTTTAGTATCCAATACCACCACCAATATCAACAAACGACAAAAATTCGATGCGTTTTCTACTCCCCAAAAGGCTACCCAAGAACAGCAACAACGACACACACTAAGATTAACCCCCAATGTAACTATAAATACTCCAGAATATAATCCAGTCTATCACACAATACATAATGATACTTTTGATCGTTCTTCAAATGCAAGTTTTATTTGTAATAGAAGTATTCCTTCAATCAAGAGAGTATATCAATTTTCGGGATTACCTTCACCTTATAGAACACGAATTAGGGCACCTTCTTTAACAATAGCAAAAAGAAAACATAGTAGACTTAATGATAAAGCCAACAAAACAATGAATAATATTAGTATGTTGGATAATAACAATAATAATACAAGTGGATTTACAGTACCTTCATCCACCACTTTTACAGGCATTAAACCATCTGCACCCACCAGTTCTGCTGCCAAGACATTATTATCAATCTTGGATGGAAAGGACGAACAACAGCCAACAACAACAACCATCACACATGAAAACAATAACAACTCAGTCGTTGATAAAACTGACAGGTTGAAATTATTTTCAAATCCATATTCATCATGTATAAGGCCAAAGAAATCTACCAAGGTTGATAAAGCAATCTCAACTGAACCATTAACCGCAGTAGCACCAATTGCGAATAAACCCATTTCGGTGACTGCTAGTGATATAGAGAAGACTATCTTATTTGATAAGTCCGAGCCATTGCCTTGTAGTACTACTAGTACCAGTGCTACCAATAAAACTGAAAAAACTAAGGAATCATTATTTGATAATATAGAAAAGAAGAAGGAGACTAATGGGGAAAAGGTAGATAAGTTAGTAGATGAGGTTGCCAAAAAGGATGGAGAAGAAAAGAAAAAGCCAAGTTCATTTTTAAGTAATAATAGCAAACCTTCTGCTGGATTCACTTTTGGTGCATTTAAAGCAACTACAACGAACCAACCAAAGACATCGGAACTTAATGGAAATAAATTTGGTTCATTTAGCGAGAAGGCAGATAATAACAAGAATAATACTAGCAAACCAGCATTTTCATTTGGGAATCAAAATAATAATAACATAAATAAAGAAATCGAGGTTGAGAAAACTCTCGAAAAGCCCAAGGCAATGGAAAAGAAACAATCAATTAGTTTTGGTTCTACTAATGGTGATTTAACCAAGCCATCGGTTGGTTCTTCCTTAGGATCATCTACAGGTACAGCCACAACTTCCAGTACAGAATTTCAATTTCCTGAGGTTGAAGTTGTTAAAGTTAGTTTAAATCAAGAAGAAGTTGAGAAATATAAGTCGATGTTCGAATTTTAGGTTGAACTGAACTGAACTGGACTATGGATCTGCGTTTGTTGTTGTGTATGTATGTATCTTATATAGCATTTTTAAAGTCGTCATCTTATTTTAAGTTTTTAATAGAAATTTCAATCTTTGGTGTACTGTGATACTCGTATAAACCATCTTCGTTTAGCCTAATTGTAAAATCACCACGCGAAAATGAAAATTTCCAGTGGGAAATAAAAAAAATACAACACGATAAAATCAACACCTCCTTCTCTTTATCTTTTCAATAATCAACAAAGAAAATGACCAAATCTCCTTTAAATTCAGTTTTATTGATAGGAGGATCCGGATTCTTAGGTCTTCATTTAATAGAACAATTTTATAGACATTGTCCAGACACAAAAATAACCGTATTTGATGTCCGTCCACTTCCTACCAAATTATCAAAATATTTCACCTTTCAACCAACCCAAATCAAATTCATTCAAGGTGATTTAACTTCCCCCACTGACGTAACATCCGCCATCACCGAATCTCAATGTGAGGTCATCGTTCATGCCGCTTCTCCAATGCATGGTCTTCCTCAAGAAATCTACGAAAAAGTAAATGTCGAAGGTACCAAGAATCTTATCCAAGTTGCAAAACAACAAAAAGTTAAAGCGTTAGTATATACTTCCTCCGCTGGGGTTATTTTCAACGGTCAAGATGTCCATAATGCCAACGAATCATGGCCATATCCCGAAGTACATATGGATGGATATAATGAAACCAAAGCCATTGCCGAACTGGCCGTCATGCAAGCCAATGACCCCCAACAAGGGTTTTTGACTGTTTGTTTAAGGCCAGCAGGGATTTTTGGCCCGGGTGATAGACAATTAGTACCGGGATTAAGAGCAAGTGCAAAACTTGGTCAATCGAAGTATCAACTTGGTGATAATAACAATTTATTTGATTGGACATTTGTAGGTAATGTTGCTGATGCTCATGTTTTGGCAGCTGAAAAGATTTTAGATCCTGAATTGGGGGCTAAGTTGGGTGGAGAGACTTTCTTTATTACGAATGATGCTCCGACATATTTTTGGACTTTAGCAAGAACTGTATGGAAGGAAGATGGATATATTGATAAATATTATATTAAATTGAGTCGTCCAGTTGCGATTTGTTTGGGATATGCTTCGGAATTCTTTTCCAAATTGGCAGGTAAAGAACCTGGGATTACTCCGTTTAGAGTTAAGGTTGTTTGTGCTACTAGATATCATAATATTTCTAAGGCTAAGACTATTTTGGGATATAAGCCTGCAGTTGATTTAGAGACTGGTATTAAATATACTTTAGATTGGATGAATGAAGACCTTTAAAGGGGAATTGTATTGTATATTGTTTGTAAAAATATATCTATATAGTCGATTTTAATTAATATATATAAATATACGTTATTAGTTTAATGCTACTAAGAAGCAAATGAAAAGAAGAATAAATGTAGTTGTAGCTGATGATCTAGAAACATTAGATCCATTATCCAGTTGAGAACCGGAAACATTCGTATTATTTGTAGAATTAACATGCTTAACCTTATTCTTGCTTGGCATATGTTCATCCTTGTCGTCTTCCTCCTCTTCTTTGTCTTTATGATCTTCATCTACCACTTCTTCTCCATCTAACAACAATTTAATCTTCTTATTTCTAAATGGTTCTGAAAATGTTGGTGGATTAGGCAACGAATCACTATACTCATCCTTCACTTTACTTTTAATCGAAGTCACTGCCGCCATCCCCAGCCCATCATTTCCAACATCCTTCAACCCATTCTTCTTCTTCCCATTCCCTTCACCCTCCTCTTCCTTTTCTTTTCCACTCACACCCTTGAATTTCTTCCTAAGTTTTCTACTCGTCTCATTATCTTCATCATCCTTCTTAAACGGCAAAGAACAAGCATTAATCTCACTCAATTCAGCACAATCATTCATCAAAACACTCAAGAAATTAGCCAGTGGATTCCCGGGACATAAATGATAACATTCCTGTTCAATACTTTGAAGTGCACAACATTCACATGCTAAATCATCAGCTCGGCATTCGTCTAAGCGGGATAATACATCGTTGCAACACCCAGATAGTTTAATTGGGTCGTTTGGATCACATTTGGTGAATGAACGGGGGTTGGGGTTGACGTAGGTTCCATATTCTGGGGCAAGGACTTGTCCGACTGAGGCGGCTGTTATTGTTGTTGCGAAAAGGGTGGATATTGGAATTAATAATATTGTGGAAATGGAGGGGGATAATCTTTGATTGTGGGGATGAAGAAGGAGAATCAATGAATATAATTTAAATATGAATGATAGCAGGATCATTGTATTTGAATGTTGAATATAAAAAGGGGATAATTCTATTTTGATAATTTGTGGTTGTGGAATAATTTATGGTTGCAAAAACAAACAAAAAGGGTTGCGAATTTTTTTAAAAGCAAAAGATGTTTTTGTAACTTCACAGAGATAAAAACAATAATGAGTGGGTCTTTACTTTTGAAAATAAAATTGGCTCAAGCCCGCAGTCGAACAAAGACTTGAAAGTACTTCATCTTTATATTCAGCCCAGCTAACCCCTTAGAACTCCTAAAGGACATCTTTGTATTTCTAAGGACTGTGCCAGTCCCACGTAAGTCCAATCTTCCGTAATGAATGGACTAAACTATTGAATTTAGTTTTAGACGAGCTTATTGGTAAGGTATTTGGATTATTTATACATTGTTGTCAAATACTTGACTGCAGAAATATTGGCTCTCCTGGTATTTAATTTCAGAGTTGTCACGGAAATGGAAAGAAGCTTGAACCGCTACCAAGCGACCACTACAAAATCAAATCTAACTTGTAAGCCATCTACAATACAGCATTACCGGTTTTCGAATCTTTTTCAAGCTAAAGATTGTATAAAAACAATAGTCAGCGCCAAAATTTCCTACTATACAGCTTAAACATCAGAACAGAAACCGTTGGCAGAGGGTTCCTGGACTTAAAAAAAAGAGTTTGGAACGCGTCTCAGATTGATTCGAAAAGAGATGACTTCAAACATATTATGTATCTATAATTAAAGCACTCCAATGCCTTGTGTTGTTTTTCTTTGTGGGATTTCGTCACATCATGAGAGATCGAAATAGAATCGAATTTCTTCTTTTCACTCAGCCTCCTCCATTTTTTTTTTTTTTTTTGCTTATTTTAAGAATTTAATGAACAGGAAAATAAAAAAATTAATTTAAATTTATTCCAAGATCAATCTACTCGAGTAAAATTTAACACGAAATTGATTATTTTTCTAAATGGATAAATTTATTCGTCTAAGCAACACCCCCTAAAACAATAAAATCAATTACTGTACAGATAGGGTTATACTCCGACACAAAGGCGTTAAGTTGCAAATACACATGACTGCTACCACCCTGAAATTGTATAGCTTAGAAACTAGTGACGATTAGTTCGGATGACATCATGGTTGCTTAATGAGAAAGCCCACGCCCCCTTCTAAATTCTTTTACACACTTAATAGATTCACTAATGTGGAAATAAAGCGTGTACTCACCAATCACGCATACAAATACGATCAATAGGTTGCATTCGTATGCAGTCTAATAATAAATCATCGTGAGTGTGAACTCCCTTTTGATACACAAAAATGGAACAGTTGCGTTTTCTTTCTGGGCACATATTTTGATGAAGTTTAAATTCAAACTCCAAGAAAAAAACCCTTACTAAAATTTTCGTGTTTTAATATTGATTTTCTTATTAAACGATGTTAAGAATATATAAATAGATCACCAAAGTAACCCCATGTTCTCTTTTATTCTGATTTTTCGTTTTGAATTTCGTTCTTCATCATTGTTCCTTTTAATTAGCCATTTTTATTTCTATCACTCGCTTAGAATTAAAAAACAAAGAAACGAGGCTTATTTCGTATACTTTATTCGCTAATAAATATTTTTATCATACATAAATCAAGAAGCGAAAAATTTCCTAAAAATATTTGAAACTTTTTGGTAAACAAAACAATCAGAAATAAAATAAACCCTAAAATCCAACAAAGCAAACAAGAAACTTCAAAACTACAATGAAATTATCTACTGTCGCAGCTAGTTTGATCTCATTATCTGCACCATTAGTCCATGCTAAATTTGCAACTACTCCAGAAATTGAAATTGTTGGAAACAAATTCTACTACAGTAATAATGGTACCCAATTCCTTATGAGAGGTATCGCCTACCAACAAAACGCAGCCAATGCCACAAATGGTCAACAATACGTAGACCCATTAGCTGATGAAGATGTATGTAAAAGAGACGTTGAATATTTCAAAGAATTAAATACAAACACATTAAGAGTTTATGCGGTTGATCCAACGATAGATCATGATCCATGTATGGAAATTTTTGCCAATGCTGGGATTTATATCATTGCTGATTTATCAGAACCATTATTATCAGTCAATAGAGAGGATCCAAGTTGGACTTTAGAATTATATCAAAGATATACTGATGTTGTGGATATGTTTGCCCCATATTCTAATGTTTTGGGATTCTTTGCTGGTAATGAAGTCACCAACGATGCTACCAATACTGATGCTTCTCCATTTGTCAAGGCTGCAGTTAGGGACACAAAAGCCTACATTCTGGCTCAAGGATACCGTGCTATCCCTGTTGGTTATTCTTCCAATGATGATGAAGAAACTAGAGTTGCCATTGCTGATTATTTTGCATGTGGTGATTTTGATGAAAGAGCTGATTTCTTTGGTATTAATATGTATGAATGGTGTGGTAGGTCAACATTCAGAGAATCAGGTTACGCTGATAGAACTGAAGATTTCCGTAATTTAACCATTCCTATCTTTTTCTCAGAATATGGATGTAATATAAACCGTCCTAGATTATTCCAAGAAGTTGGAACCCTTTATGGAGATGACATGACAGATATCTGGTCCGGTGGTATTGTTTACATGTTCCATGAAGAAGAAAATGACTATGGCTTAGTTGAAATTAATGGCGACAGAGTGGTAACCAATGGTGATTACGAAAACTACAGTTCTGAAATTAACAAGATTTCTCCAAATTTAGCTCACTCATCAACTGCCTCAGAAGCAGCTACAAGAACATTGGCTTGTCCTGCAAGTGATGCCCCAACCTGGAGAGCCTCTAGTGAATTACCGCCTACTCCAGATCGTGAATACTGTGACTGTGTTGCCGAACAAATGGAATGTGTGGTTAATGACAATGTCGATGCCGAAGACTATGGCGAATTATATGGAACTATATGTGGGTTGATTGACTGTTCAGACATTTCATCAAATGGTACTACTGGAGAATATGGACAATATTCATTCTGTTCACCTAAAGAAAAGTTATCATTTGTTTTAAATCAATACTACAGATTATATGATAGAGCTGAAGATGCATGTGATTTCGGTGGATCCGCAACTATTAATGAAAGTGCAAACACTGCTACTAGTTGTTCGGCAGGTAATCCATTCACAGCTGCTCCAAGAAGTAGAACTTCTTCTTCTAGTGAAACTGATGACTCTATTGAAACTGGTAATAGAGATAGTGCTGGTGTGGTTAATGCAAAGAGACTCTCTACATTTGAATTAGTTGGATTAACTGCTATCATCTCTGCTTTTGCAACTGGTGCAACTCTCATTTTCTTTGATTAGATTCTTAGTTCCTTTATCAATTAATTAATTTAGATGTTTTTATGTTTTTATAGGATATTATTATTATTATTATTGTCATTTTTGTAATGCTTAATTATTTAAAAAGATTATTATTAATTACACAATATAACTAAACTCTACCTAATTACGAATAGATTTAAAAATATGTTGAATGTCAGCTTTAGTGACATTATATTCGAAATCCCTATCAAAATCACGTCTCAAAATAGAATCCAACCTACGGAAATAGTCAACAAATACAGCACAAAGGTCATTCCATAACTTATCAACCATATCTTTCTCAACCATATCATTCCCAGTAATGAAATGTTTTTCGAACTTTTTGCTAATTTCCATGGCTTTCAATGAAATATCCTTTTGGGTATAATTGGCCAACATTGATTTAACGTATTTCTTATTGTATTTACCACTATGCATCTTCTCAAGTGCTTCGTAATTACTTACAAATTCAACCAATTTCCCGATATTCTTGTTTAATTGTTTTTGGAAATATTCCTTTTCAACTTGTTTAAAAATACTTTCCAATTTTTGAATCAATTTCTTAGTAGTATCATTTGTAGTATTTCCAAAATCTTGGAATTGTTGCAAAATATAAAAGATATTCTGTAATATACTGACATTTCTATATTCACGTTCTTTATCATCGAGATCATGATTCTTTAATAATGGATCTTCTCTCAAAAATAAATTAATTAAAGAATCGGAAATTTCTTCATATGCTTTATCTATCATATCTTTAACGGCAAGACCTCTAATGTCTCTATTATCTATTGAACTTTCCGTTATTAACAACACATAATTGATATTCTTAACTGATGATAATACTCCACATTTTGCAACTATAATTGAATTATTCAACAATTCAACTTGAGAATTGACAAATTTACGCCATGATGATTTATATTTATCATTCAATTTCTTAAGGAAATTTATCAATAAGAATTCTTGATTCTTAGCTTGAATATTGATAGTCGAATTTTCCAAATATAATAAAATAACCGGTATGTTTAATTCCACAGGATTAACCTTTTTCATAAATATATTATTAAAATTACCAAATATATTAGTCATATTACTAATCAAATCACTTGAATTATAATTCTTATCCACATTAACAGTATCAATATTTGGCAAATCATCAATCAATTTCCTCCTGTCATTAAATGGTTTCACTTGTAAATATTCCCCGAAATCATTCATGGTAGTACTATTATCATAATGGAAAAACATCCCAATGAAATATTGAACATATGAAATCACAAGTCTTGCATCTTCCACAATTGCAATAATTAATTTCGGATCATCAATTTCAGATCCACCTAATCCTGTGGTCATTTTTCTTCGAATGGTTTCTAATTTGTTCTTTTGGGTACCTCCTTCATTGTCATGTAATAATCCACCAAATTTGCCCATTTTTCTTGAAAGACGTAACGTCCTAGACTTTCTCAATGGTGTTCCATCCAAAGAATCACTCATGCTCATCGACAGAATGGAACTTGTCATGGATTGGACAAGTTCGTGATTTTGTTCTCCGAGATTAGCGTTCTGTTGTTGTGCCAACAAGATAGTTTGTAATTTTGATTTGATCCAGGACTCTAAAAATCCACTAAATAAGGAATTAACAAATTGAATCAAGTCTCTAAATTCACGTTCGGCAACTTCCTTAATAAAATAAGTCAACCCGGAATATACAATTAATCTGTTCAATGGAATCAATAAATTAGATGGTTGAAATCTAGTAAAATCTTCTGAACATTTCCTAATAATCGATTGGAATTCATCTCTGATAAATTGATTAAAATTCTTGACAAAATTTAAGTTAACCTTATCATATTTTGATTGATATTGTTGTAATGCCTTCATTGAATTCAATCCATCAGTTTGATCACTATCTGATCTTATCGTACTTATTGCATTATATAATTTTAGTAATTTCATCTCTAATGGTCCAACTAAACGTAAATCATCAAACGATTTAAAGTCAGAAATATCATCCAATTCTTCAATATTGACACTAACTTTATCCAAAATTGATTTCAAATCATTATATAACATTTTCTTATTGATAAACTTAACTTGTAACCCATGAGAATTTTCATCAATTAAATTAATCTCTGGAGTTAAAAATTTCAAATCAATTTCCATTTTTTGGAAAATTTGATTCAAATTCTCAACCTCTTCAATCGAGACGGTGATATCATTAGTTTGACTTTCTGATAAATTAACCGAAACTAATTCTTGTACAGCCAATTGTTTAACATTAGTTAATTCATTATTTAATTTCTTAATTAAAGATTCCGAATTATCTTTAACTGACCAACCTATTTCATCAAAAATTTCATCAACTTCAGGATCCTTTTCAATCTTATTTTCATCAATAGGCGAAACCCCTTCCATTTTCTTAACAATATTTAAACCGGGTTCAAGTGATGGCTCAGCTTCAATGTATTTATCATTAACAGTAATAGCTTTCCCATTCTCACCTTCAATTTTAAAAACTGGTAAACTATGATCAACAGATCCTTCTCTACCACCGCCAGCACTCAAACTCACATTGGACTTATTAATACTCGTATCTAACATCTTCTCAAGATCTTGTATCGATTGATTCATATCAAGTTGAGTTGACTCTGCCATAAATTGAGAAGCTCTAGGAGATTCACTCGCAAACTTTTTTAACAGCTGCTGTTGTTGCAGGGGACGCTTCTTTATGGATATACTTTGAGGGGCACTTGTTGGTTCGACATCACTATCATCGGTGATTTCTTCAATTCCAAAATCAGGAGTCATAGGTATTCTTGGAGGAATAGCATCTGAGAATTCCTTCAATGCATCCCCAGTTGATTGTTGTGGTTCGGGAGTTAATGAAAAACGCAGCAATCTTTCTTGTAAGATTCTTCCTGTCCGGGCAGCACTTTCTAATGATTCTGGGGCATCTCTGTCTTGCTCAATGGGTGTTTTGTCGGTATTGGAAACATAGTTCCTTAATGGTGATTCACGACTCTTGGTATCATACGATCTATCAACAGACTCTTTTGAACTAAACAGCTGATTACCACCACTTCCAATACTGCCACTTCTTGGATACATTGGTTGTGATCGTATTTGTTGTCTATTAGAGTCGAGACTAGGTTCTCTACTCTTGACTGGCTCCACATGCGCAACATTTCCTGGCCTATCCAGAGCTAATACCATCATTGGTTTCATTGGTAATTTCCCATTAGCTGTAAAGTCTATATCTTTATACATATCAGGTATCTGATTAGAATATTGACCGGGACCTACCTTTTTGTTACTGTCACTAATGGATCTTTGTACTGGAGTTGCAGGTAATTTAAAGTCGGCGACACTAAATCCTTGTAGTTGAGGATATTTACCAAATTGTTTGCCGTATGCTTCAGTAACCGAACGACAGAATTTCCAAACGGCATCTTTATCGCTATCATTTGTTTTCCAATAATAATCTTTATTCAATTGTAATATCATAGCGTCTGAATTCACTTTCTTAACTGCTTTCAATTCGTGAAGGTCCCAAGTTCTTCCAATTTGATAAATATCTTTAGGTGCATTGAATTTCCCCTTTTGAAGGGCAATCTCTCCTGAAGGTTTCGTACACAATACCAATACTCTTTCCTTTACGCTCCCTACTTGATTGATTCCAAGTTGAGGTGGAGGGGGTGCATTGGCATATTGTGAATATTCAAGAATTGAAATGTGAGTGTTGTAAATTAATGACGGAATTTGATTCCCTCGTCTTTCAACCGAACGTTTAGAATAACAATCACTAACCAATTTATCAGTGATCGTTTTCCTATTGACATCGTTGGTAGGTGTAGACGTCATTGGAGTATCTGATTTTCTGAGTGATCCAAGTAATGAACCATGTTGTCGTCCTATTGGAGGTTGTCTGGGGGGTTGTTGTGATTGTTGTGATTTTCTCTTTGGAGAATGCAATGAATTCCTTGAAAACAATGACATTGTTGTTTACCAATGTTGAATGGTTTGGATATGATTGAAAGGTATAGATACGAATTTTCTTTCCAAGTTGATTCCTGGTCTGGTGTTGTTCTTCTTGGGTGTGTGGTGTGTCTGTTGCAAAGAATTTTTCTACTGGTAAGGTTTGGTCGGCAATTTAATGACAAGGAATCTTTTTTCTGCTGTCGAATGTTTGGTGCGAATTGAATGACCAACAGATTGTACTGAAACAGAGATATAGAGAGCGATATAGAGCAATTATGAGTGTGAAGTAAGAGTAGAGTGATTTGATGTTCTATAGCTATTACTTCTAATATACATATTAAAGCATATAAATATAAACTAGAAGTACGCTTCTACTTCTTTTTGCCTTTTCCTCCTTTCTTTTTCTTCTTAGGATTAGTGGATTTAGAATGATTCTCCTTCTTTTCATCATCTTGTTCTTCATGTTCTTCATGCTCGGGGGATTCTTCTTCCTCATCTTCACCTTCCGCCTCTAGGTCTGCTACAACTGGCTCTTCTACTTTTTCTTGTTGCTCTTTAGGTGTTGATTCTATCTTCTTAGTCTCCTTACTGGCCTTCTTTACTTGCTTCTTATCATCAAGTGATTCCTCTGATTTTCCAACAAAATAATCCCAGAATTCAGCCAAATCCTTTTCTCTACCTTCCATAGCATTAAGTCTTCTTCTCAAAGCTTCATTAAAACAAATATCTTGAGCAGTAGGGAAGAAAGTTTGAACCCAACCTTTTTTATAGGTTTCACATTCTTGAACAATTTCCTTCAATTCCAATTCTTGAAATTTAGCTTGAATTTCAAATTGTTTAAAGATATCATCACCAATTAACCCCAGTTGATATAATTTATTAAAAATTGGTTCATTTTCTTTTAATTTCATTGATCTTCTAATTGCTTCGACTGCTCTTCTTAATAATGCAGCTTTCATTACCTTTTCATGTGGTCTTTGTTCCTTAGGAAGATCTTTATTGATATACTGAGCTTTTAATTCTTGATATAACATTGCATTATAGTTTTCTTTAAATAATGGAGTAACTTTGGTCAATGACGCCAATCTTCTTTTTCTATAATTAATTGAAAATGCAATAAAAATGGTTAAAACAACACCAACATAAATTAAAGGAGTGAATACGGAAATCTTAACGATTTCTGGTTCAGGAATAGCAGTCTCTTCAGCCATGACTTCCTGTTTGTGTTTAAAGTATTTCTATGGAATGGAGGAAGAAGACGCAGGATTCTGGTTGTTGAATATTTTTTTCTACTTTTAGATCTAGGACACGTAATTAATTTGTTAGCTCTCTCTCTCTCTCTTTTGCCTATATGCAGTACAATCCTGGTGATTTCAACATGTTTGGATGATCATAGTTGTTTGGCAATGATGGTCATTTTGTCAATATCAATAGACTATTTAATGATGATGCAGCTTCTGTACTACTTGCAATAAATAACTTATTTAAATCTTTATATTATCCATTGTTGGGTCTTGCAATTGGGTCTTGCAACCAATTTTTGCAGTCATTTCTTAATTGTTGTACTGTTCCACTCTTAAACCCCTATTTTGATTCCTTTTCTATTTCAGCTTTCCTTTTATCTCTTATAAGCTGATAACGAGTGGTATACCTCGTATTTGAACGTCATTGAATCTCCCCAATGAATCACAAAAGAGCTGGGAAGTTTTTGTTGATGTTTTTTTTTACCTCGGTGGTATTGTGCGGGTAATCATCACCAAAGTGTAATTAAGAAAATACGCGCCTTTTCCTACAAATCTACACTTTTTGACGAGGAACGTTACATTTCCCTGGCATTAAGGTTGTACGATATGATTAAAACTGTTCTAGAAATAAACTTCGAATGATTTTGGCTTTTTTTTCTTGGTATACTTCTTCTTCTTCGTGTATCCAATATAGCATAAGTATCCTTTCATTTCTGTTCTTCAATCAGACAACTAACAAATACATTGATAATTTATCTATTCATCTTACCGTCTTCTTTCTTAGTTAGAAATAAAAGCTTAGTATTCTTATTCGTACAATTCAATATTGGAGTCGATAAGCTACATAAGTTCAAGTACAAAACTGTGAATAAAGATATTCTTAATAAGATACAAAAATGATGAAACAGCATTTAAATAATTATCCAGCTACCTCCTAATAACGACATTAGTGGTATCAGCTTTTGATTTAGATATCACATCTAAAACATCTATCTGCTCAGCGCAAACTAGTCTCAGGGAATATGTGGCGCAACTATGAAGGATTCAAGCCTGGTGGTGTTATTGGGATGTTTGCTAAGAGTTTCTGGCAACATGCTGGTTTAGCATTTGGAGGATTACTTGATTATTATACATTTTGTGACAATACGAATAAAACATTAGAAGGATGGATCTTAGATGGGATGTATCATCAAGCAGGCGAGAACTTTGATTATGTCGTAGCTAATCAATCAATGACTGAAGGTAATGATGATCAAGGGATATGAGGTTTGACAATTATGCAAGCTGTAGAGCGCAATTTTACAGAACCTGAATCTCATACTTTGTTAGAGTTGGTGCAAGCAGTTTTCAATTGAATGGATGCCAGGTGGGATAGTGATTGTGGTGGAGGTTTGAGATGGCAAATTTTCACCTGGAATTCTGGTTACGATTATAAGAATGCAATTTCCAATGGTTGCCTCTTTAATTTAGCCGCTAGATTAGCAAGATATACTGGAAATGGGACGAAATATGTTGAAGTAGCTGAAAGAGTTTGGAATTGGATGGATGATGTTGGATTTTTCGCCGAGGAGGCTGATGGAACTATGAGAATTTATGATGGCGCTAATGTCCCTAATTGTACTGATGTTACTACATGGAGATGGTCTTATACTTATGGTGTTTTCCTTAGTGGATGTGCATATATGTATGATTTCACCAATGATACAAAGTGGCAAACCAGAGCCGATGAAATCTTGAAAGCATCTATGTTTTTCTTTAATAACTCAATCATGCAAGAGTCAACTTGTCAACCATATTTAATGTGTAATAATGATCAAAGATCCTTCAGATCATTATTTTCTCGTTGTCTTGGTCTTACACTGATACTTATGCCAGAGACCGCTTCAACCATTAGACCGCTCTTAGAAGCTTCTGCTGAAGGCGCTGCAGCAACTTGTTCCGGAGGTGGATATCGTGATGCTTGTTGGCAAGATTGGAGTTTGGGACCCTACGACGGTTATTCCAGTGTTCTAGCGGATCAAGTTTCTGCTTTGGAAGTCATCAATGCCTTATTGGTACAAGAGCCACTTACTATTAAAACCGGAAGTTCGGACGATACCAATTCTGAGACTAGTTCGGACGTGGATGATAGTGTGAACGATAGCAACAGCGCTACAACTGGCACTGCTACTGCTGGTGCTGCTAAAGTTAGGATTTTGATCTTACCGGTTTCTCCAGCTATGGCCGCTTGGATGATTTTCTAACGATACAACTGCTCTCCGTTGTTGTTGGTGTATATGCTCTGATAAAATTAAGATATCCTCTATTATCAGACCTGTTACTCGTGAGAATGAAAGCTTGCCTGGTCTTTCAAGGAAGTTATATCCGTATCGAAGACTGTTGAAACCAGTTTTTATTTAGTTAAATGTGAATTATTTCTATTCTTTCTATTCCCTTGAGAAGATTTTTCATTTATTAAGTCTTACCAATGCGTTTCCTCTGAGCGAGAGTATGTCCTTATTAATCTCTAAATATGCCATCTAAATACAAAATTAACTAAAGTACCCACACACGTGCCTATCTACCATCCATCACTTTTTCTAAACTTCACCCCATAATATCTAGCCACCTCATCAAAAACCTCCTTCATCTGTATCTCATCAAAATTATCAGCTAAAACATTGGCATCAGGTATAGAATGCAACATCGCAATATCAGGATCCATAAATCCCGGTGTGCCCTCTAATTCTTGTTCTTGTTGTTGTTGATCCGGTATGATAATTTCATAAAACAATGCTAATCTAATTAAATCAATTTTTGACAATTCTTGTAAATCCTTCAATGTATTAGGTAATTCAAACTCAGGATAATCTCCATATCTATTCGTCAAAGGAGCAAGTTTTTCATCAGGTTTAATAATCAGAGAATTTTTGGCACGACGAATTGTTCGATCTTCAAGTGTATCCAATTGTGTTTGTAATTCGGTTACTAATTGGACTATATCTTCATTGTTTACGTAATCGGATAGATCTGGAGGCGACATTGGTGGTCTCTGCTCTAGTTGAGCCATTCTGGATTTGACATCTTTAACTTGTAATTCCATGAGTTTTTGCCCTGTTTGAGCTAGGAGTTTTGATTGTCTTTCTACTAACGCTGTAAGTTTGTTAACTTTGTCACTGAGTTCCTTAATAGTAGTAGCATCTCCTTGTTGTGGTTCTGCTTCGGACATGATAGCCTTTCTATTGACTTCCTTCTCAAATTGGCAATCTTGTTGTGAAACACAAAAATTGATCAAGATTTTAAAATTGCGCTTTTCAAGACGAACGAGTGATCCGAAAAATAGAAGCGATTTCGCTTGTTTTAAGAGGAAATTGCATTTTTATAAACATAAAATGACACAGCTGTTACATCGAGACATAGTCTAGTAAGTATGACTAACCCCAACATTCATTAATCTTACACATCTAAATTAATTAAAGAAAGGAAGGTGTTCTATAATTACAAAACATTTCGACACCTATTTACAGAGCCCTACAAAAAAGTAGTGGAAAGGGTTCTCTTTCAAATCGTTAAGTGTGATTCCTGAAGGATTCTACTCATCCGGTGGGTGATTTCCTGCCTCTTTCGAAACATTTTAAACTAGATACTTTCATATCCAATCCCAAGTGTGGTTGTGATATGTTTACATCAATTGAACAGTCGTCAAAGACTGTTTGCACTATAATGCAAAAGGTTCTAAAATAGGATCATTATCTAATTCATCTTTCTCCCAACACAAGCCAGCTCAATCAAGTGTAATCGGATCATCCTGCGTCCCATTCCCACTACCCTCCTCCACCATTGCCCCATTTCCATACATATTACCATTATAATTATTATTCGGTATGATCGGTATATATTGAGCCTGTCCATTCCGATACTGGACAAGAAAATTCGGTATCGGCCCCATCATCCCCGCAATCTGAGGCGGTAATTGGTTAACATCCGGTGCATTGAGATATGTTCCATACCGCCGGCCTGGTGGTGGTATTGCTGCCGCCGCGACAGATGCTTCTTGTTTTATCTTCTCATCCTGTTCATCATCCGACGATAGCACCACAAATGCACCATCATCACCATCGCCTAATTCTTCGGTAGATGCGTGGGCTGGGATAGATAATCGATCATCAACTAGTCGATATTTCTCCATTCCTAATAGCTCTATTCTTTCGGTTTCTTGAGGGGTGTTTTTCACGAAATAATTATATGAATCACTGATTGTTAATGCTGTTAATGGAAATTTGATATCACAGATTGGACAATTATACATGGGACAATTATATACTGGGGGCGCCACGAATTTTGAGGTCATTTGTTTTGATGCTGGTTTATCTATGACTTGGACATATGGTTGCCTTTGTTGTTGTTGTTGCTTTTGTTGTTGCTGTCGTTTTTTCAATTGTAGTTTGTCGATATTTCTTTTAATCAAGTTCCGTTTGGTTAGTTCTTTAGTTGATGTAGTGATTTTATTAAACATACAAAAATTTTCATAATCAAAACATTCGAAATGGATACATAGGTCTGATTTTACCGGTAGTTTTATTTTAATCCCTCCCAATGGGTCTTTTAATGTGAATACTATCCTATCGACCATTGCAAACTCGTCATCTGTTTCTAATTTTCGTAATTCTTCTTCAATCATCGGTAGGATATTCTTAGGAATTTTCTTATAATCAGCACTAGGTTTCTGTTTTCTCTTGGTTACTCCAACCTTTTTATCTGGGTTCTTATTCTTATCAGGAGAAACAGGAGTCGAAGGCAATGTCGTATTATTTTCCTTCATTAACATATTATTCAATTCTTCATCTAATTCCGAAAGTCCATCAGAAGAAATACTCAGGCATTTACTCAGACTTTCTGGTGTCGCTTCCTGTTGTACCTCGCCATTACCGAAGGGATAATCCAATGAAGATAATAAATGTTTAGGTAATCTGAAAGTAACATTATACTTAGTGATTGATCTCTTATTTTTCTCGGTTGTTATTGTGACTCTATTAGAAGGTGGTGTTGGTCCCTTTATTATTATTTTTGGCAGCATCTTCCTTCGTCCTTTGGGTGGCATACTTTTCTATACTACTGATGCCATAACAATCTAAAACAAATAGCTTCCACTGAGGGAGATCAAACAAAGGGAAAGCAAATTGATAGCTTAAGATTTTTAGTTTTTTTTTTCGGTTCTTACAAAATAGACAGTAAGTGAAAATAACAATCCCTTTTCCTTTTTTTTTTTGGGCTTGAGTTTCTGGTCGAATTAGTGTGTGGTATTTGACTTGGCTAACTTTTATCACTATGATCTGGCACTGTCCAATTGAAGTATAGATTGGAGAGATAGAAACAGTTTAGTGATATTAGCTTACCTTCTCTGTCGTAAAGTCAGGCACTCTTTAGGATCTTCAATCGTCTAGCAAATAAAGCCATTTCTTCTGCAACAAAAAATGCTGCGAAAATGTTAAATGGAAGCATACAGTGACATTACCAGCTAAAGCAAAGAGAATCAACTACCCTGGATTATGTCTCTGATCAGTCAAACTCTTATCTAAAAATTTATTGACTTTTTTGTTTTATATAAATACATTTAAAATACAAATACTAAGAGAAAGAAAGGAAGCCTAGTGTAAGAAACCAAAAACAAAGGGGTCAGGTGTGTGACTACCAGCGACCACCACCTTGATGTCCTCCTCCATGGTGACCTTCACCATGGCCACCACCACCGTATCCATCGCCACCCTCATGCCTACCACCTCCATGTCCTCCGTCATGTCTTCCCCCACCTCCATGGCCAGGATAATCATCAAAGAATCCACCTCCATCATGCCTACCTCCTCCATATCCACCTCCATCGTGTCTACCTCCTCCATATCCACCTCCATCGTGTCTACCTCCTCCATATCCACCTTCATCGTGTCTACCTCCTCCATATCCACCTTCATCGTGTCTACCTCCTCCATATCCACCTCCATCATGTCTACCTCCTCCATATCCATCACTGCCATAACCACCACCTTGGTTATAGCCACCTCCACCATATCCTTGATTACCTCCATATCCTTGATTACCTCCATATCCTTGATTACCACCATATCCACTTTGGCTACTGTTACCACCTAACAAACTTCCAACCAAACCAGCCGCACCGCCACCACTACTATTACTATGGCCGCTGGTCTTACCGCCACCTAATAAACTTCCAACTAAAGCTGCAGCACCACCACTACTGCTACTACTACCATAACCACTTGTCTTACCTCCACCTAATAAACTTCCAACTAATGCAGCAGCACCTCCACTACTACTACTACCGTGTTGGTTATTCCCACCTAAAACTTGATTCATCAACATAGAACCCAATCCTCTATCTGTGGCTTCACCTTCACCTTCGCCTTCAGCTCCGCCTTCTTGAGGTTTGTTTAATCCTGCAGAAGATGGTCTGTTGTATTCACCTTGGAATGAATGTTGCGAGGTATTTTCTTGAGAATATGGAGATGCTGGGTCAATTGGCAATTCCCAGGTTGATTTTCCAGTACGTTTATTGACATAGAAGTATCGATTATATTCTTGGTCCCATTGAGCGACCCAACCTTCTGGTAAGTCTGGTAAATCTTGTTGTTGTCTATCTGACATATTTTTAAACCTGATTTAAAAGTGATAAGAAAAAGGAAGAAACAAGAAGTTGAAGAAAGAAGAAAATCAGAGTGTTTAAATATTCGAATTGGAAATTTTTCTTGATTGGAGAGACAAAGTGTAAAAATAGCCACCCCCACTAACGACTACCGCGCAGATAAATTAAAAGCCTCAATTCCAGTGCTCAAGAGCCATCCATGACTCTAAACCTTTTTAAAGTAATTAAATGGCTATGCCTATTTCGATTGTATTAACATATGATAATTGCATGAAAGAAAAGAACTATAAGTCCGTTAATGTATGTTAAAGTCATGATGATCATCATTCAATTGGGGGCGCGGTGTGTACCTTAAAATAAAATAAATGAGTGAATGATGAAATTTGTTAGGTGTTAAAAAACTACGAATAATTTGTTGGAAACAAAACCTTTCCACAATCTTATTGAAAGCGATATTCTTCTATTATGTATTAGCGAACTAGAAGTTCTCATCTAGGGAAACGAGGGGAGAAGTACTTTTAATAAGGCTGATGTAAATGAAATCCTGTTTTAACCTAGGTATAGCTCGGCGTTTTGTTTAAATGGTCTTCTCAAAAGTGTTTCTGCCTCGAGTTCACTAGATGACAATTTCTGATTCAAGTTAGGGGTTATACAATTGTATATTGTATTATTATTACTACAAGAATACTATAAACACATCTATGTACATTCAATGCAAAATAAATAAACTATAAAACTTTTCTAAAGAGAAAGAATGACTCTCTCTTTATCGTTCTATATCGATTTCTACTTATGAATCAATATTTTCAAATTTATAATCTGAATTTATAGCAGTGGAAATTTCTTGTTGTAATAATTCAGTTAATGAAGTACCATCTCTTAAAGTTATCCATTTCCCACCAATTAAATCATATCTTTTAGGTCCACTAATTGGACTACTTAACCAAATTTGTTTATTTGGTGGTTGTTTATTAATAACATAAACACCATTTGGAGGTAATTGTAATGTTAATACTCCATGACTTAATTCACAATCAACTTGTTCAAATTCTTCATTCAATTCTTCTAATGATTCTGATAATTGTTCTAAATATTCATTAGATAATTTATTATATTCATTATCAGTTATTTGATCTATCTTATTATCAATCACTTCACCTTCAGTACTTATAGAATAGAATCTGATATTAGAAGGAATAGAAGGAATGCCCAAGGCATTTACTCTTGATATACCAGGAATAGATCTTGTTAGACTTCTTCTGACACTATTACTAATTAATTTGCTATTTGTTCTTACAATTCTTCTAAACATTTTCTCTCTTCTTCTTCTTCTTCTTCTTCTTCTTCTTTTTCTTCTTTTACTCTCTATCTGTTTGTGTCGTTGTCGCTTGTGACTTGTGACTTGTGATTTGTAATTGGTGAAAGATTTGAATAATTTTTTTTCTTCCAATTGAATGAGAAGTAGAGGTCTTAAATTAATAAACTAACAATACAATACAATGAATTGAATTGAACAGAAGAAAAATTCAAATATTTCACAATCCATCATCTTTCTTTCCTTTACTCCTTAAAGAGCCACAGTAATTGCCCACACCCTACCCATTGTACAACAAAGAGCCAACAGCAATGTTCTTTACTATCTTAATAATTGGGATAATATTAGTAGCAGTAGTACTATAGAATGGAATATAGAGTCCCAATTGATTTTATCTTTATCTAGGAGTACGAGTATCAAAACATATTCAAAAAGAGAAAAAGAAATTAGCATCATCCACTACCTCCAACCAACAACAACCCCAAGTAGATCAATTCGGATATCTCCCTCCCGATGAAGTCGCCAATCAACAATCTTCTACGGAAGATCATTCCATAAAAGCCCGTGCTTCCGCAATTAAAGATAAATTCCAAGTTANATCAACAATCTTCTACGGAAGATCATTCCATAAAAGCCCGTGCTTCCGCAATTAAAGATAAATTCCAAGTTACAGCTGAAGATATGCCAATTAGAATCAAATTAAATAGAAATGGTAGTAGTGGTGTTTCTAGTTCCTTAAGAAGAAGACATGAAAAATTGGATGTTGATACTGATCCTAACAAATATGATTATGATATTGATGAATTAATTATTGAAGAAAATGAATTGGCTAAAAAAGAACAAGAACATGATTTTTATAAAAATCAAGAAATTGGTAAAGAAAAAGAAGAAATGGTTTAACCCGTTTGTAACATTCTCTTTAGCTTTTATGTATTAATTTAACACAGTCATTAGTTTTCAATTCGACTAGTTGTAAGTTCCAATTGGAATTGTTAGACTCTCTCCATCGGCATAATTCTTTTTAAATACCGATGATGATCGGCATCATCTTTATGCGAGATTTATTTGAAATTCCTGCATATAGTCTAACTTTAATTCTTTTTTGCGACCATTCCCAATTTGACTGCAACTTCTTTAAACCAAGGATATCTAAATTGCAAATAATTATTTAAGTTGCTAAAGCTAACCACTCACCAATTGATTACACTCAGAAATTAAGTGAGGAATCTTGATAGAAATTATTTTGTATGTCCAACTAATATAAGCCCTACCCATTTGCTTAACCTTAAACCAAAAAAATATAAAAAAAATTGCTAGAAACATCCATTCCACTTACAATACATCAATTTTGGTGAGTCAATACATTTTTGCCACTTAATAATATAATCGCTATCCATAATAAATCATGCTTCTTTCTATCATAATATCTATAATTGCTTTCCTTGTATTTTTCGCCATTTTTGATTATTATTTCGGTGCTAGTGCTCCAATACCCGGAATATTTCAAATTCCAGGCAGTCTTCCATTCATTGGTAATCTTCATCAAGTCCTCGACAATCCTGCATTGGTGTATTTGAATTGGGCCAAGAAATATAATGTCTCCTTGTTTCAAATACGACTAGGTAATAAACGAATAGTGGTTGCAAACTCATGTGAGGATGTTATTGGATTATGGGTTAATCATTCTTGTCAAAATAATTCCCGACCTTTATATTATACGTTTCATGGAATTGTATCTGCCACTCAAGGGTTTACGGTGGGCTCGACACCTGCTAGTTTAACATACCAACGGAAGAAGAAAGCAATTGGTCAATATTTGAATAAGAAATCAGTTGATGGACATTCACAAATTCTCGATAATGAAATTAAATATATGATTCGATATTTAGTAAATCAAAATAAATTCATCCAACTATTTGCTTTAGTTTTTAATAAGTTTTTCTTTGGTAGAAAACTAAATCTAATAATGTTATATTTCCAATTATTTGCATTACGAAGTAGTATCTTCCTCGCCTATGGGATTCATCTAGATTGTTATGGAAAAGATCGTGAACTCTGTCAAGAAATCATCGATGTTGAAAACAAAATCATCCGACTCCGTTCACCCATCTCCAACCTCGAGGATTCAATTCCCATCCTCCGCTATATCCCATTCTTCTTAGGTAACTCCAAACTCGCCAAAGATTGTGGTGACCGTCGAAACAAATACATAAACCATTTCCATCAACAACTAGTCCAAGGCATCTCCGAAGGCAATGAAGACTCCCTAAAATCAATAGTTGGCCGTATGATCCAAACCACAACCACCACCTCCTCCACCCAACAAAACCAATCCAAATCCCTCACTGAATCAGAAATCCAATCCATTTGTCTCACCCTCGTAAGTGCCGGACTAGATAACACCCCATTAAACCTAAACTACATCCTCGGAATCCTTTCCCAACCAACATTCGGCCACATTCTCCAACATAAAGCCCTAAAAGAAATCCTCGCCAAATCAAACGGTAATCTAATTCTCGCATGGGAACAACTGGCTCATGACACAACCATGTCGGTCCAATACGTTCAAGCACTCGTACTTGAAACCCTTCGCTTTTTTACAGTACTTGGTAACCCTAATGGATCTCACTTATGTTTTGGCTAGATAATATTCTTATTATAGTTCATACCGTCAGGAACTCATTTATTCATGAATGCATATGCTGCCAATCATGATGCGGAATATTTTGTCCATCCTTATCAATTCAGACCAGAAAGATGGATTGATCCGAATACGAAGATGATTAAGAAACTGAATGGATTTCATCAACATTTCGCATTTGGTGCCGGGTCGAGAATGTGTGCCGGGTATAATTTGGCGTTTAAAGAGATTTATATGATTACTTTAAGGTTGATATTGTTGTTTGAGATTCATCAACCTTGTGAAGAGAAATGGTTGATGGGTTTAGATCCATTTGGACAAAATCTGAATCCGAGGGCTACAGCTTTTGAACCAAAAGTACATAAAGTAAGACTTAATCTTCGTGAATTACCCAATTGCGAAGTCTTGTATGAAAAGATATTTAATGATTAGAGAGAACGGTTTTTTTTTGCTAATTTTTTTTATATCTACATCATATTTTTAGAAATAAATAATAATTTTATAAATATGTAATTTTAAACAAAATCACTATTAAAACACCTTATTCTATTAAACTTTAATCTCTTCCTCTTCTACTGCTTTTGCGTTTTTTGCGGCAATGAATAAAGTAGGATCAACAAATCCTGTCTTTCTAACCACAACCGACTTGGTACTTCTCGCCAAAGGTAATTCATACTTCAATACCCCTGAAATAATCAAATCGAATGGATTCTTACATATAATCTCCCATTTCTCAGAATTATCCGGCTCTCTTCCATCAGGTTTATTCTTCTCCTCCTTATTCACCACTGCCGTGCCTGATTTCTCCATAATCATAGCAGTAATTAACGCAGTCAAGTTCTTGCCCGGGTTCAATAACTTCACCCCACCTTTCTGAACACACGGTTCTCTACTAAAGAACCCCCCTCTAAAATTCATAGTCGATTCCAACGCAAATATCGTCCCCAACTTCACCGTCTCCAATTTATTCGAACTTCTTCTTCCCAACACCTCACCTTTAATAACATTCTGATTCAGTCCTAGTAGCCCGTTTATAGGTGAGGAGCGTTTTTATAGGTTGAGGTGGTCGACAATATCCACAGAAAACCAACCAGGATTAAACGCCTCCACCACAATATTAAACACCAACTCATCCGAACTCACAATCGGATTCTCAATCAGCATAATCGCAACATCTGTCAAATCTTTCGTCGTGGCCAACACAAACCCCAACACGAATCCAATGGTCAAGATCGCCAATATTGTAATCACCCCATAAAAAATTCGTTTGATGTTCATGATGCCGGCATATGGATCCGGTGGCGTGTGTTGTTGTTTTCGTGGCATGAAGAAGCCATCATATCCATTAGGATTGTTGTTGTTGCTGTTATTATATCTCTTGGCACCTTTATCGTTTATGCTTTTATACCCGGGGAATGGTTGGGATCCTTTTCTGTTCATTTGTAGTTCGGGGTCGAAGGCCGGGTCATAGATTTGTGATTCTTGGTCATATTCGTCATAATCGTAATAAAAATTATGTTGTTGCTGGTCTTGACTATATGGGAATGGGAATGTTCGATTGGGGTTGACGTTATTATTATTGCCATTATTGGTGTTTCCGAGATTGGGAGTTGCATTTCCTGAGTTTGTTGGATCATTTGGAGTGTTATGAAGTGAACCTGTTTCAGATGGATGTCCGCTCAACATTGTTTGACCAGTAGATACATATCTCCTTGGGTTAAATCCTGGAGGTGGTGGACGTTTCATACCTGGGAAATTCAAATTTAGGGATCTATAATGAGGAATTCGATGAGGATGTCCATTACTTGAATTCAATAGTGACGTACCTTCATTAACATTGTTGTTATTATTATATGGGAATCCGATATTATTATCATAATATATCAATTCATCATCAAAATCTTCAATATCGATATCATCAGGTATGGTACTATACCTTCTAGGTTGAGAACCTTTCTTATCAAACAATTTCAGAGTAGTTGATCTCAATTTCGATGAACTGGTTGCATTTGAAGATTTATAACCTCTCTTAAACCCAGCTTTATCAGATCCAGAAGGTGTGGTACCTTTTGAAACCACCGAATGTGTTGCTTGTTGTTGTTGTTGTTGGAGCGGGGACAAGGTCAGATGTGAAGTCTGATGTTGGATCAAAGTATTATTCCCAGTTATTGATTTATCTTTATTATTATTATTAAAAAACTCTCCATCACCGGAATCATCATCCAATATATTCTCATCATCGTCAACTACACCATTATACGAATAACTATCCTCATTATATATCGAAGGTTGAGCACTTGAATCCCGTGTCGATTCATGCTGTGGGTGATGATGGTGATGGTCGACATATGGACTCACGAGTGGTGATTGATTCAATGAACGTTCTGAAGAAAGGAATGATGATAACTTCGCGGCTCCTGGAGTTCCTGTTCCTGTTGTACCCGGACCTCCCGATCCTTCATCTATCGAATAGGTTGAAAATGCTCTTGCCGGGTTAACTGGCCGTCTATCGGGTCTTCCAAAATCCATTTCATGAACACTGCCTAATGAATTCGCTAATGATGCAGGTTTGTTGGATGTAGAGCCTCCTCCTCCGGCATTGGTGATTTTAAATGGTTTCGCAGGTTGGAAATCTGTACTTTGATGATGTTCAATGACAGTTGGTGGTATATTTCCATCAAAAATTGAAGGTGTGCGATGCAGTTGGGTTTGCGGTTGTTGTGGTATGTTGCCTCCAATTACACTTCCATTAATGCTGGCATTCTCCATATATGCCGCATTACTAGCAGTTTCAAAATCATTATTGTTGTTTTCATAGACAAATGTTTCATCACTATCACTACTTTCAACATCATCGACTGCACTTGCTAATTTAGCAGCAAAGAAATCAGTTCTGGCGGAACTTTGTTTGCCTAATTTCTTATGTTTTCCTTTAGATTTATTTGCTGTGGCATCACTATCAATGGGTGCTGGTGTGGTTGGGATTGGTGGCATAGGTAGATGCGGTGTTGGTGTAGTAATAGTTTGTCCTACTGTGCTTGAACTTCCTTGTATTACTGGTGCGACTCCAGTTGTTGATTGGTTACTTTTGGAACTATTTGAATGTAACATGAGATTTGCCGCCGGAGTTGATGGTGGTTGTGTAGGTTGTGATGGAGGAGGTGGCAACACAGATGTTTGGGTTGGTAAATTAGTTGTTGATGCAGGGAAGTCATTATGGGATATTATATTCTCATTATTCTTTGTAGTAGAGGATGTTGATGTAATAGGCATATGTGAATGTGAAATACTTCTCACGAGATTAACTGGTCCTTGAGTAATAGTATTTGAGTCTGTTTCAAGATTTGATGGAGGTAAAACACTTTGAGATGAGGATGCATTAATGATATTTGAAATTAAGGTTGGATTCTTAGAATGAAGAATATGACCTGCAACTTTTTGTTTTGCCTTTAAAGATTTATTTATATTTGATATCGTATTTTTGTCTAGTATTGCTGGGGTTTGAGTTGAAGGTGTGGCAATTCCTGAAGTTACTCCTGAGGGTACCGGCATAGGGGTATTCAGTACAGACGGATGATTCGTAGTTGTGGGTATTGCTGGAAATGAATTAGGATCTGTCGTTAGATTTGAATCTTGTGCATGTACTGATGTGGTGATATTACTTTGAGATGGATTTACCAGATATGGAGTAGTAACATTTGATCCAGGATTGACTACATTTGAAGTTTTTGATATTTCACTTTTCCCATCAGAAGATACCAATACTCGTTTTGGAAGTTTGAATGATGTAGTAGTAGTAGTGGCGACTGGAGTTGGTTCTTCTTTCTGTAATAATTGTGGTGAAGTGGCATGTGAGTTGGTATTGGCATTATTCAATGTATGTGATGTTGTTGCTGTACCAGTATTAGCATCTCCAGTGGTAATAGTCTTTGCTAGCTTTGAATCTGACTTTGTCTGTAGTTGGCTAGGAGCGTGAGTTGTTGTATTTGTAGTTGATGGATTTATATTAGTTTCTAGTTTAGAATTATTCGATTGTTCTTCTGACATTGTTCATACGATTGTTGATAGTGACATATAGCTGGGAAGGGTAGTGGTATTATTCTAGTAATGAGTATCAATAAAAGACTGTAAAGGTAAAGGATCTGTTCTTCTTCTTCTTCTGTTTTGCTTTGCTTTCTTTTGAATGTTGCCAAAAAAAAATTAATTTTATTACTGTAGTAGCCAAAATAGAAAAAAATCTGGGAGTGTGATAATTAATTACTAATTAATTAATTGTGAGTATGAGATTATTAAAAGAGTAAATCTATTATCTTTGTCTAAACTAAGTGGCTACACGTGACTGGTAGTAAAAATATGTAGTTGTGAAGTAAAGGAAATAAAGCCTTTTTAATGTATACGTTTATTGTATGTATTTGTTGTATGTGGTAGAGAGAGAGAGAGGAGGGGGTTGTGTTAATTTTTGGTTAAAACTGTGGTTGATTTTTTTTTAAATTTGATTTTAATTAAATTGAATCAATTAAATAAATTCTTGCGAATAAAAATTTTAATTGATTTAATACGAGAAGAAGAAGAAGAAGAAGAAGAAGAATGCGTACTATTTTCAATCAACATGCTGTTATTGTTGTTATTGCTCGTAATCGATGATCAATACCCCATTTTTAATCTATCCTACATGAACAGTGTGAACAACCATAACAACTTATAAATAAACAACTCTTTAATTAGGAGGGGAAAATTTTTCAAAAGTCCGATTAGAATTATTTTATCAATACCATCTTCGTAACGAACAAGTTTTATTATTGCTATTTGACTTGTATTTTATTTTCTATTTTTGGAATCTTCTTTAGATTAATGGCGACATAGGGGCTACTGGGCAAGACACCTTGTTTACCAGAGAGAGAGATGGAAGTGAATGCAAACGACCCCCTGTACCAAGCAGATCCCATACAAGCAAAAAAAAATACAGTTGGGCTAAGTTTTTACGGTGCCCAGGCTAGAAAATTAGGGGCAATTTTGATTGCCATTTACTATTTTGGTAACGAAGACAATTTTAACCCTTTTCTAACCAACTAAGTAAATGCACAACGGGATCAAGCTGTACCGATAATTACCTTATCTCTTTAATATTCTCAATTGTTTAACTCGAGATTTGGACTTTTCATAAGCCCAGAAATTATTAGGGGTGATGATTCAATAATTGGTAACATCACTCCAGTCGCGGCCCCGTATGAAGGTAATCGAAGCCCGCTAAAAAACAACCAATTACGTTACTGCTTTAGCCCTATTACACACGTTGTCAACAACTTTCTAATTAATTATACAAAAGATCAGATAAACTTTTAACTTAAAAAGTCAGATCGTAAAGTATTTTGTAATTCTATTGTTGAAAATTCTTTACTCCACTCTCTCCATATCTGTATGCTCCCGCCTAAATTAATTTTTAAGATTTGACGACATTTGCCCCAAATACCATATGTCGCAATCCTCTACCAAGATTATTCTAGTTTACTAGTACCAGTAATTTACATTTATTGCATACTTTTTACATACATACCAATATACAGATTACTTAAGAAGGATTAAATGGAATAATCCCAAATCCACCACCCCATTGATCATAAATAGATCCAGGTTGTTGTTTATTATTCAGATTCGCTTGATTACTATCCGGAAAAGTAGATCCTTCACGAGTATACACATTATAATACAACCCATACGAATTCAACGTCTCATGATCAACATCAGCTACCTCTCTAGCCACCACTTCTTCCTCTTCTTCCTCGTCATCTTCTTCATCCTCCTCGTCATCATCATTGTCGTCATCTCCTACTTGCTCATCGGCAAGAGTCTGTCTTTCTTGACTATAGTTAGGAGTACCGGGTTGGGGAGTGGTACTTCCAAAATAATGTAAGGGATGATGTTGACTCACTGGTTTTTGTGAAAAATGACCTCCTCTAATCCCACTATTCCCATTGACATTGGAATTGGCATTATTATTGGCATGGGGTTGATAAGTTTGCATATCGGTAAGATTTCTCATTGTTTCCCAAAAATCCAATCCTTCTTCATCTTCACTAGGAATATCAATATCATTGCTACTATTCTTAGATCTCTTGCTTTGGGAAGAATGATCACCAGACGCAGTGTGTGGTTGTCTACGTTTATTCCCAATCCGACCTTCTTCTACTGCAGCCACAAGTTCTACTGCTTGAGTTAGTGGAGTCAATGGGTTTGAAATCGGGGTAGTCTCTCTTTTGAATTCCGTCAGCTGTACCACTTGTTGCTGTTGTTGTTGACTAAGTTCATTATTATTCAAAAGCTTCAATAAATCAGATTCTCTAGTATCACCACCATGCTCATTTTGTCTACTCTTCTTCGTCGCAGCCGTTCCTAGATTTCCACTCGTAGCGCCTCCTGCTCCTCCAGCAGTTGGATGATGATGATGATGGTGGTGGTGATGATGATGATGAGTTGAACCTTTCGAACTATTTTCTCTCGATTGTGAAGAATGCAATCTCGGAACTTCGGTTAAGGGAGGTAAATAATTAAAATGTTGATATCGAGAAATTTGTTCTTCCGGTTCTAGATAATATCCCGATGGGGTGCTGCCTGTACTTCTCCTACTTTCATCAGCCGAGTAGCCACCAGTTGTATTGTTGTTATTGTACAGATATGGACTGTTGTCAAAAGTTTGTTGCTGTTGTTGCTGGGGTGGTGGGAGGGTTTGTTGAGGAGAATAATGATGATGGATATGTTGATGAACTGTAATTTCTAAACTATGGGTCTTTGCATAGGAGATTAATTGTTGGACTAATTCTTGATTCTTAATATATCCACCATTCTCATCAGTGAATAACTTACTATGAGGTAAGTTCGACTCATTGCCAGTGGCATTGTCATCATTGGGGGTTAACGTATATCTCCATTCAACATCACTATTTGCAGGACGAGAAATTGCCGACCTTCCTCTAGGTGCCAACATCCGTCCACTACTAGGATCACTAGTCGCACCAGTCATTGTCGTTGGTGCTGGCACCACAACATTACTCCTCCCCCCATCATCTCGAATCTTCTTCACAATCTTCTTCGGCTTCCTATTACTCTCAGATCCACTCCCAGCACCAGAACCCGTCCCATTCTCTTCTTTCCTCCTCGTCAACTCCTCTTGCTGTTTTGCCAAACTCTCCAACAACCCAGCATCTCCACCACCACCCTCCACAATCGCATCCACCGTTGCCTTAATTATCGGATCCGCCTTGCCTCTAACCACCTCAGTCACAATCTTTCTCCACCGATTCCGACACGTCAAAGAAGGTCTTCCATCAAACTGTTGCGAAATCGTCCTCCATTTCGTCCCATGGACTTTCACCTGCATGACTAATTTCAATTCCTCCTCCGGGGTCCATGGCTTCAACCGATCCTTGGTCTTGGGGTCCAATACTTCGATATATCTCTTGGCACATTGATCATCTGTCCGACCCGGGATCTCGTTGGCGACTTTTAACCAACTCGGACCAAATTTGTCATATGCTTGTCGAAGTAGATCATCTTCCCCCGGGGTCCATTTTCCTTTTCGCAATGTTGGGTCTAGGGAATTACACCATCTTTTTCGACAATCTTTCCCCTTTCGTGACCCGTCGGGGGAGACTATGAGGGCGAGTTCTTCCCAGTCTACTATATCTGGATCTATTTTGGTAGTCTTGGTTGTGGTATTGGGGGTGGGAGAATAACGTGTTGTGACTAGTTGGGAAAGAGTTGTGTCTTCTTCTTTTGTCCATGGCTTCCGCGGTCCTTTACGAAATGTTTGAAATCCTAGTGATTCAGTAATGGCAAGTGGGTCGACTGGTACCACTCTCTTTTTGGCAACATTGGTTGTTGTGGTTGTGGTGGAAGCTGTGGTGGAACTGTTTGATCCAATTGATGATGCTCGTTCGAGCTGGATATCCATCTTATTTTCTGGCATGAGTACGTTACTTTCACGAGGTTGAAACAAGAGATGATATAATAAACAAAAAACTAGCTTTTTTGAATTATATAAAATAAATATTAACAGGTAAAATATATATAAACTTCTCTTGGATTTAAGTTGGAGGGGGGATGGAGGGGTTAAGATGATCTTGTGTCTATTTGATTATTCCACTTTAATTTATGTGAATCTATTGTATTGATGAATGCTTGATACTTTTGAACAATGAAAATGTTACCTTCAGGTGGGGGTGAGTAATACTTTAAAATGGTGGGGTTGCTCTGGTATAATTGGTAATGAAATTATAAACCGTTGGAGAAAGAAGTCAAACAAAAAATTTTCTTGACTTCTCAAACGGCAATTGTTAGAATGTTAAAGAAAAAAGAGCCTCAAGGTCTTCTCGGTACTGCATATAGTTTTATTTGTTATTCACGTGACACAATCCACATCCGTTCCCATCCCATCCATGTACTTCCGGGTTGATCTAATTGGAATCAGCGGTTCCTGAAACGGCCTCCTCTGCTTCGGCTGTCTTCTTTGCATTCCTAATCTCTTTGTTATCAATAAGTCTTAATAAATTTCTTAAAAGAATTGCAATTGTTACTTTCCCAATAGAAGGAACATACAATCCAGCTTTTAATTTAACATCATCATTAAAATTCTTTGCACTAGCGAAATTAATAACTACAGCTCCATGACGAACTAATTCAGTTGGGAATTTATAAGTTTCAGATGGAACACCAGTAATTATGACGTCACAAGTTGGAGCCAAAGTTTCAAGAGTATGTTCTTTTGGATCCAATTCAACCACCTTATGTCTATGTTCCAGTAAATCATCACCTCTAGTGAATTGTTGAATATTATGAATATCTACTGAATAAACAGTAGCTCCATCATTTGCTAGGAGAGCAGCTAATGGTCTACCCACAATTTCTGATCTATTTACAACAAGAACTTTTTTCCCATATAATCTATTACCATAATGTAAAATTGTATTATAAACGCCCAAATATTCTAAGATCTTAACCATTGCCAATGGAGTACATGGTAAAATTGATTTTTGTTGATTATGCGGAGGATCTAAGAATCTAACATTATGATATAAATTTTGATAATACATTAAATTTAAGCCTTCAACATCTTTTTCAGGGGAAATTAATTGTTGTAAATATTGATCTTGACTATCACCAAATACTGGGAAATAAACCATAATACCATTAATATTATCATCTCTATTTGCTTTAATTAATTCATTCTCTAAATCATTCTTATTGACTTTGACAACTTCATATTTGAATCCTAATGATTCACAAGTCTTACCAGTCCAATTGGCATACATTTGAGCAGCTGGATCTTCATTTGCCAAGAAACCAACTAATTTTGGTGTGAATGATAATTTTTTAAGACCATTGGTAACTTCTTCAATATATGGTTTAGCAATAGTGGAAGCTAAAATAGTTCTACCTGCTGGTTTTGCTAAGGCTGACATTGTGTTTGGATATTTTGGTAACTTTGGTAACTGTTAGAATTGAATTGTTCAAGAGAAGAAGAAGAAGAAGAAGAAAGGAAATGGGAATGGAATGGAATTGAAAAAAAAAATTCATTGGTCGATGAGAAGGGATTGAAATTTAATTTATTATTTCTTATCCTACAAGCGAAAAATTTAATTATCATTTAAATTAAATTTGACTTCTCTTGTTCTTCTATCTGAAATTTACAATACTCATTATTATACATAACAATATAATTTAGCTCAGCTGTAACTCTTTTGATCTAGTGTCGATGTCGTTGTACTAATGCATGTAATGTGTCCTTTCCGATTTAAAAGATATCAAAGAGTGGTTTTTTGTAATTCGCTTCTTACTGGTGTTATCTGGGGAAAGCTCATTTTTGTGCAATAAAATGAACAAATTTTTATACAACTAAGAGTGCTTCCGTTGTAATATGAGTCGTCTCTAGATAACAAACTCACAGCCGCTCTCTATAGTCCCACGTCACCACCTAAATAACCAATTAAAGTAAGTAATATATTCTGCTATCTATTTTTGTTAAGAGCCATCCCTATTTACCTATCGATTTAACCACTACATATTACTTCAAATGTGCAGCAGCATTCTTATATAAACTCTGCCAAATAAAAGCTTCACTCAACATCAATTCCACATCCTTCTCTGTCCAAGTCATAGTAGGAGGATTTTGTAAAAATAATAAAATCTCTTGAAAATCCTTCATTTTCAAATCCAGACTAAATCTAATCAAAAATGCAGCACATACATAAGTATGAAAAGTATTAAATCCCAATGGAGTTTCCGAAAGATAAGTATCCCACATTCTTATAATCAATTGCATTGGTAATTCTCTCATTAATAAACAATTCATCCATCTAAATGAAAATTGAATAAATTCAATCCCTTCTTGATCAAAATGTTTTAATAATTCCGGATCAATTTTTGATATAAGATTCCGCAATTCATTCACTTGTCGGATTATACCTGGTTGTTCATGGATATAATTATCGGTAATATTTTCCAAAAGTCGTGATAGACACCAATATGCATCGGCTTCGATTATGGACGTGACACGAGGCGATAAAAGACCAGTATCGAATGAATCTAAATTGTAAGCTGGTAGATTCGGATCAGATAGGAGTTTTTGTTCTTGTGGATCTTCTTCATCTTCTGGACCCGCCAAATAACCTGGTATGAATAAGTCTTCTTCTTCGAACGAGACTCTGGTTGCCGTTTTTTGTTGCTGCTGTTGTTGTTGGATTTGGATTTGCTTTCTTTGCAATTGCCAAATATAATTATTTAAAAATATTTGATAAAATGGAGTACATAAATCATTTATACCTTGTACATATCCACTTGCAGGATGTCTAACTGCCCAAAGATATAATATTTTCCTAAGTGATAATTGAGTAGCTGGATATGCATACAATTTCATAGTTGGATTTGTCCTCTTGACATCAATTTTAATCTGATGATATAATTGCTTATCTTTATTCTGAGTCGCATTTGTAGTTGTTGTTGTATTACTCAATGAAGTCGTTGAATCATTAGTAGGAGAATCTTCATGAAATTCAATCGTAACATTATTTAACCCATCAACATATTCTTGTCTTTTTCTTTTTAAGGTTGATCTTTGACGTGATTTATTAGTAGGTAAATAACCTAATAATAATAACCAAGAAATTGCTCTTAATTCATTCGGAATTCCATTCCAAGCTAATTTTCTTAAATCTTGTAAATCAATATTTGAATCTGATGTTAATACTTTTCTAAATTTTGCAAATTTACTATTTAATAGATTCAATTTATGAATTTCCATTTTTGTTTGCATATCTTCAAAATCCATCGATTCTTTTGGATCTCTTCCATTCGGGTTACGTGTTGGACTCAGAACACCTACTGCTCCTGCTCCTGCGCCTGCTCCTGCGCCTGCTCCTGCTCCTGTCGCTGTTCTTGTTGTTGCTGTTGTGGCAGGCATAGTTAAATCCGGATATAACGAATCCAACATCGGACTAGGTTGTAAACTAAGTGACGATCTCGATGAGGCTCTTGTATCCCCTTGTGATAAAAGCTTAGGAGGTGGAATGGCAACTTCTTTTAAATCAGCATCCCAATCATCATCTAAATCTGCATATCTGCTAACAGAATGTGATCTTCTTCTATTGCTCCCCCCAGTTCCGGTTGTTCCTCCTCCTGTTGATCCTATTGATCCAAATTTAGCAGGCGATTGTCTTCCATTCTTATCAAACGAAGCTGATTGTTGAGTTGGTGTTTTGGTAAGATGAGAAAAGCCAGCAGGACTGCCAGCCGCACCCAAACTTACAGCTCTTTGCGCACTAGGTGGTCTCTTTGGTGGACTTGTTCCTCCTCCACTTACAACACCTCCACTATAACTTAATGTTCCATATATATTACTATTCGCATCTTCATAAGAATCAAGACTTGATTTGTTGGTCACTGATGATTTTCTGGTTGATGACGATGAAGAACTTGAAGTTAAAGATAAATTCTTTAAGAATGATGAAAGATTTTTGCCTTTACCTCCATGTTCACCAAATATGAATTCATTGGTGGATCCATGGTAGACTTGAGACATCTCAGGTTTCTTTTTACCCATTGTTAGTTGGATTACACTTTGTAGAGTGTGTGTTGTTATGCCCTTTGTCTTTGTCTCGCCCCTCCACATATAATTGAAAGAAAAAAAAGATAACTTCGTTGATTCGATCGCTCGCCCGTGCGCCGTTCGCTCGCTCCATCGTACTGCCAGCTGTCACATCAGCAGAAAATCTAAAACGGGACAGGGCACCAGCTCAGTCGTATATTGCTGCGATTACTACGATTACTACGAGTACTACGACAGGCAACTCAACTGAACGGAACTCAGTGAACAAAGTCAATTGACAACACTTATCTTACATCTATATATATAAACACACAAGTACACATTACACACATACTTAAGCAGAAGTGATTTCACCCTTGACGGCAATAGCACCAGGCTTCAATTCTCTACCAGATAAATGTAAAACTCCATTTTGAGTAATATTAACCACAACTTCTAATTTAGAATTTGGTTTTAAATCTTTCAAAGCCAATTGAGCCAATAATTCACCAGCTTCATAAACAACTTCTTTTTTGATTTCTGGTTCTTCGTCAGAATCTTCTTCTTCTGAATCTTCTGGATCACGAGCTTCTGGTTCAATAACGGTTTCTTTAATGGTTCTTTTACCTTCATATAATTCAACTACAACGGATGTGGATTCACCATTGGTGACTTCAATTGATTTTTTGATTGGATATGCGGTTTCGGCAACCAAGATAGATTGGAAATTACCTTGAGCATCCTTGATACCAATTGGTTTGGTTAAATGTTGAGTATTGACAACAATTGGTTGTAAGGATTCCTTGATTTCTTCTTCATCAAAACCTTCAACTAATGAAGCTTGTAATGCAGCACCACGTACAACTAATTCAGATGGGTTTAAGGCTTTAGAATCTAAAGATGGGGCTACTATGGTGGTAGATTCTGGGAATAAGTATGAAATGTTAGATGCTAATTTTGGAGTATTGGCCGCACCACCAACTAATAAGACTTCATCGATATCTAATGGATCTAATCCAGCCTTGGAAATAACCTTTTCAACAAAGGCAGTCATTTGAGATAATGGTTGTCTAGCAGCTAATTCATATCTCAATCTGTTGATACTGGTATGGAAATCATAACCTTCAGCTAATGATTCAATAGAACAAGTAGATGTTTGAACATTAGATAAAGTCTTTTTAACAACAATAGACTCAGCTTTTAATTTAGCAACTGATCTAGCATTAGTTCTTGGATTAGCCTTGTATTTCTTTTCGAATTCTTTAGCAAAGTATTCAGCTAAAGCAGCGTCTAAATTGTCACCACCTAATCCATATTCATGAGCAGTAGCCAAGATAGTTAAAACACCACCTCTGACAGAAATAACAGCTCCATCAGATCTAACACCACCAAAATCAGCAACAACATATAATTTATCTTGTGCTAATCTATCTTCTTCGGCAGATAAATGAGCCAATAAGGCAGCAGAAGGTTCATTGATCGTTTGTAAAACCTTCAATCCAGCATCGGTAGAAATCTTAGCTAATTCTTCTCTTTGATGTTCAGTGAAATCAGTTGGAACAGTTAAAACAACCCCTTCAATTTCTTTACCAATGAAATCTTCAGCAGCTAATTTCAATTGTTTGAAATGTCTCTTGGTGACTTCATGTACGGTTAAAGTTTCAGTATTACCATTTCTAATAATTTCATAACCAACACCACCATCACTGGTCTTGATTGGTTTGGCACCAACTTGATGAGGAGTATCGACATTAACATCATCAAATTGTTTTCCAATAAAATCTCTGAAATTTATAATTGTAGATTCTGGGTTTCTTATTAATCTAGCTTCGGCTTGAGTACCATGATATTCATCAGATCCAACATAAGATAAAGCAGATGGAATAAAACGATCACCATCTGGATTGGCAATGACATCAACTTTTCCGTCTTGAGAAGCAACGGCAATAGAAGATGAAGTATTACCGAAAGTTATACCAATGACAGCTGACATGTTTGAAATAGTATTTAGTTTATAAATTGATACAATACAGAAGGGTCAAATATTTTGAATGAAGTTTTAATTGTTTAATAAAAAAAAAATTTTTTTCAACCTCAGCTGCGATTTGATTGATGAGGAAAGAAAGAAAAACGTTGCCAAAAAAAAACTGAAAATGCAAAAAAGGTCGTACCCGGATTCGAACCGGGGTTGTTCGGATCAAAACCGAAAGTGATAACCACTACACTATACAACCATTTCGTATTCTTGTAATTTTCAAAATTTATGAACTCTAAATACTTTTGATCACGTGATGAATTTTATTTCTTTGAATAACTCCATGAGATGATTTGATACTTATATGCGGTTAAATAGCATATAAACTTTATGTTCGGTTCTTAATAGCTACTTTAAAAAAATCATAAATTAATAAGGGGAAATGGTTGAAAAAATTTTGGGTAGTTTTTGCAATTATTTTGGAAAAATTCAAATTTGCAACTTTTCATTTATTCTTACTTTAGAAACTTTTCATCTGGGATTAGCTTCATTAATAACCATTTGACCACCTAAAACCTATAGATGATGACAGTAGCAGAGAAACTACGCTTTACCTATTCTTACTCAGCTTGTATTAGAGGAACGAATAAGGGATTGTTCTAACGAGACGCGATGCCACGCGGTCTGCAATATTTACATGGACATGATTTATCCTACAGAAGAAGCCTAAATCGTCATATTTTGACATAATAACACGCTACATGTTTCGATATATCAATTAACTATAGGTTGGCTATCTCTCCTATATAAATTCTATGTTCAAAATGTAAACCAAGAAAATTCCCATGGTTTAAAAATTGTGTTCTCTCCCCCTGTTAAGTTTTGTTCTCCTTCCATATGAAATAGAACACAAAGAAAAAAACACATCCACATCTACACCAACCTAATAATAGAATTTCATCTTATCATCATCCAACAACATCAGCAACCCCTGACAGACACTTAACAACCAATCATGTCGAGACTGCACACAAACAAGAATACGCGTATACTAATATTATCACTAGTGTTAATACTGGTATTAATACTCCTTCTAAACAAATCAAGAAATTCAGCAGATTTGGATTTCTTACCTGATTTAAAACTGAGTTGGAATAGTAGAAATGATGATAATTCAGGAGCCCCACAGAGAAAATCACCTATTAAAGAAAAAGGAAAGACCAATGATAAGCTGACTGCTAAGCAGAAAGTCAAAGCAGAAGAAGAAGAAGGATCAGCGAAGAAGAAAAAGGAGCCAGTTCCTAAAGAAGACTCAATGGGAAAGATGAAACAGGATAAGAAAACCAAGCAGGAAGCAGCATATGATGATGAAGTATATGAAGCAGATGAAATAGCAAAGGCAAAATCAAACGATAACAAGGGGTATCCAAAGAAGAAACCAACCGTGGGCCAAAAACAACCAACCGACAAGGACCTGGAAGTAGACGAACCAGAAGAACAGAGCTATCCGAATGAGTTAGACCACGATGATGAATTTAGTTTGTTCGATATTGACACAGTCGATGAAGTTTCAGAACCATTTGATCCCAAAAACCCCAATAAATTCCTTGGAAATACTAAAGAAATGACTCCTTCTGAAAAGGATGCGACGAATAATATATTAGATTATGATCAAAACCAAGACAATAAATTATTGGGTGTACCTACTACCAAACAATTGCATTTAAAACCGGTATTGGTAGATGAACCACCATATCCTAACATTCCTGTGAATTTTGGAAAAATCCCAATTGAACCATTAAGATTCAGGATCTATTCGCATAATATCAAGAATGGGGGGAATCATATCTTGGTGCCTGGAGAACAGGAATGGAAAGCTAGAGTACGTCCTATTGCTTCATCAATTAGATTTCATGCCCAAGAGAATACTATAATTACATTACAAGAAGTATATAAATATCAAATGTTAGATCTTCTTAAAGAATTGAATGAAATGCAGGAAAATGAATGGGAATATTATGGAGTTGGAAGAATTGATGGGAATGAATTGGGAGAATTTGTTCCAATTATCTATCGTCCCAAGGAATGGGAATTAGTTTATAGTGATACAATGTGGTTGAATGAAAGAAATCCTCGGATGTCAGTAGAAGGTTGGGATGCTACTTATTTACGTATTGTATCTTATGTGACTTTAAGACATCGAGAATCTAATAATTATATCAATATTTTCAATACTCATTTCGATCATATTGGAACTAATTCACAAATAGGTTCAGCTAATTTGATATTCCAACGTATTACGGAAATAAATGATTGGCCCTCATTTGTAGTTGGTGACTTAAATTCTGAACCTAAACATGACGCCTATAAATTTTTCAAACAACATATGACGGATGCTTCTAGATTGACAACACCATTTAATAAATATGGACACCTGAAATCAAGTTATACTGGATTTGAAGGTGAAGTTTTGATGGAAGGAGGTAAAACTATAGATTATATTTTTGCTCCTAAATATTCTTTGAAGATTGATGAAAAATCAACTTGTGATAGTTTGAATCCTAATTCTGCTGCAAATAAGATTGATTTAAGATTGGAGAAATGGGCCATGTTGCATTCTAAGTTTGATGGCGCTTATATTAGTGATCATAGACCGTTGGTGGCAGATTTTAAAATGACCAAAAAGTGTTAATTTTTTAGTTTTATAGAGCTCTTGTTTGGTTACAATGTATATTATTCAATGTTTAGAAATTGGTAGTACAACGACTGTGCTTGGTGCAACTAGTAGATTACAAAATTTCTACTTTTACATTATGGGATTTGTAAAAATGAAGACGTATTTGTACAATTATGAATTGGTCTTTTGCCTTACGTTGTTTCAACTGATTCAATTTTGGTTGCGAAACGCATTATCTCGCATACGATCATCTGTAGAACGAGGAGTACCTTTCCATCTCACTCAAGAGTAAGATAGAATTTGGTCAATAACCGTCCACATCTTTGAGAGACCTTAACATAGCAACTCTCCTTCCAAATAGTTCTAAGAATCAAGAAGTTTAATCTTATCTTAGTAATCTTGGGAGATCTCAAACAGAGACAGGAAAAATGAGATTCAGAGACAGAAGATCTGCTGGTTAGCATGACCATCTGTAATAGGGTAGAATGGGACACGTGAGGTCACCTATTTCTCTATAAATAGTTATCCGGTTATATAATTACTACGTTATATCTATCACCCCTGACCAACAATTTCTAAGCAAGTTGATTAATAATATTTCTCGGCGATTTATTTCTCTTTAATTTCTCAGTTGTTGTTTGTTCCCCCTATAAGCGATGGAAAATTGTCATGCCAAAAGTCAATTTTGTGTTTATATTTTTTTTACAGCCACTTTTTTCGAATTTTTACTCCAACATTTTTTTCTTTCTTTTTGACAACCAAATTTTGAGACACACATCCCCCCCAACAGCCTAACCTTTCGACAACAACAACCACAACATCAACAAGAGCTTACCCAATAAGGGTGGTGCATTAATCAATTTAATCAACCAATCAGAAATCATCAACTTTCACTTTCGGGAATTAATTTCCTATTTGCATAAATAGCCTTCATTCCTTTTTAGAAATTTACAACCATCCGCAGTAGCAGATCGCATTACTAATTCTTATTCTTAGATCTTATAGATAAGCCATGAGTCATTCGTATGTAACACTAGAGGGAGAATTCAAAGAATATTCATTACCTTCAGCTCCAAGACTACCGCCACCACCAGAGATACCACCACCCCCTCCACCACATTCTGATACATCTAATATGAATAAAATCGATGTCAAGTACTTGAAGCCCCTACCTCCTTCTAATGGGCCAGTGCAACGACAAGATCAAAACTATACACATCACCAGCAAGATGAATTACAGCTGAAACATTCTTCTATAACTTCGAGTATTTCTGAATCAGACATTAAATATTATTATGTGAAACTTATTAATTATGAATTTAGACATTTACAATTAGATACCAAAATGCATTCGAAATCTTTATTTGATTTAATCGATTATTGTGAATTATTATATGAACAATCTAGCCCTTTATTATCATCCACAAACTCAAACGATCACTTGCAAGGATTGAAATTATATACTAAGGGATACTTAATATTCAATTATTTTATCAATAGTTTCATTATTATGCATTTTAAAGGATTTGATTCCTTTATTGAAACAAATGAACAAGACTTTATAATATATTTGAACATTTTTGCATTTTATAACACTCATGATTATTTCCAAAATGGAATATATTCAATAAGTTCAGATCAATTGAGAAATTATGTAAAGGAATATTTGGTAGATAAGAAATTATTGAGTTTTAATATCGAGGATTTGTATAATTGGTTAAACGAGTACATTAATTACTTGAAAGAAAAGGATCAAGAGGATATTAATATCAGTAATCTTAGTATTCAAGATGGGGCTTCGCTGCCTAATGATAGAAGAAGTGTTTCCAGTGTGCTCTCAAGTGAAGGGGAATCTATCGATGATTTTGAAATGAGATATCCATCATTAAAATCCCCAACCAGAAAGGACCCGCCTCCTGCGTCTCCTCCTCCAGTTCCAAGAGAAATTCCCGAGATATTACTCGAAAAATCATATTCACAATCTGCCGATGCTATCACTAGTTCGCGTAAATACACAAAACCACCACCCCCAGCCCCACCCGCAGCGCCTCCACCACCTCGACCTCCAGTCACACAAGATAATAATAATAAATATTTAGGACGACCCATGTTTGGAAATCAAGGATTATCTAAAAGTCAAAATAATTTACCATATCCTAAAGTTGACCAAATCCCATATCCAGCCAGTGAAGGTACCTTCGAGACAAGTAATAATCCTTTTTATACAAGATCAAGGGCAGAAACTCCCGATGGACAGTTTAGACATCTGCAAACAATGAGTCAATTGCCAAATCCAAATCAATTCCAAAATGGGAACATTTCAAATGGAAGCACACTCCCTCCTCCTGTTCGATATCTGAATTCACATACTCCGCAACCACAACAATATCAAAACAATCAACTTTATCAGAATAATTTCCAACCATTTACATATGCAACCAGTCCTCCTCATAGTGAATTACATACACCTCATGCATATACTCAACCACAAGTTAGTGAATATCATTACAATGCTAACCTGATTATGTCCCCACAACAGCAGCACCAACAATATATGATTTCACAACATGAACAACTAAAAATGCAACGAGTTAATATGTTGAAAGAAAATGCAGTATGTGGAATGAGAAACTTTGGATCATCATGTTATATCAACTCAACAATACAATTATTATTTGGAATCTATTCTTTCAAAAAGATCTTTACTAATGGATTTCAGAAATATATTAAGGATGAGAAATATTTACGTATCTTGGCCCATCCTGATTCTCACAAGAAAGATTGTGTATTATTAGCAGAAGCGATTTCTGGATTATTAAGAACATTTCAACAGAATGGAAGTTTATCCATTTCACCTACTAAATTCATTCGAGTTAATTCATTGATAAAACCAGATTTTAACATTCCTCATGAACAACAAGATGCCCAGGAATATTTATTATTTTTATTGGAAAGACTTCATGACGAATTAGCTGATAAGCAACCTCATTCACAATATGATGTGGAAGATTATATAAGAAAATGGAAAATTAATATAAACGTTAAAGATAAAGGAGAATATTTAAAATGGTGTAATTCATTACTTCAACATGAAGGAACATCACCTGTTCATGATTTATTTCAAGGTCATTTACAAAATAAATTAGCTTGTACTAAATGTGGATATGAATCTATTAGTTATTCACCATTTAGTATTTTATCATTACCGATTCCAAGTAGTAGAAATGCTCATAATGTGGTTAATTTAGCTGATTGTTTGAGATATTATACCCAAGATGAAGTCTTATCTGGTGAGAATGCATGGCATTGTCCTAAATGTCACGGAGAGTCCGATCCTCAAGAAGGTCATTTGTTGGATGATCATCCAGTATTCACTACAAAGAGATCAGGGATTTTTAGACTTGGTAAAAAGAGCAAATCATCTGGGAATTCGAAAAAATCGAAATCAAGTAATGGAAGTAGTAATAACCAAAAACAACTTTCAACAACTATATCTACAAAGAGTTTGAATTTTATTAAATTACCTCAGATATTATTGATTCATTTAGCCAGGTTTTCAATGTATAACCTAACAGATAAACTAGATACCATGATAAAATATCCATTAAATTTAAAATTCAATAATAATGGACATGAAATCGTCTATAAATTATCAGGAATAATTAATCATTTTGGAAATTTGAAAAGTGGACATTATACCGCATTAGTCAATAAGTCACTTGTGAATCTTCCCAAGGGGTCGGGAAATGGGATGGAAAATCTCATGCATCCATTCTGGTGTTTGTTTGATGACGAGAATGTGAAGTCAAATGTAGCTAATGGAAGCTTGCATCCTCCATATGATGAATTGACTTCTCAGGATGTTTATGTATTATGTTATGAACGAGTATAGAAGTAGGAATAAAACATGCATACTTTTTTTTTTTTGATTGGCATTAGTCATCGTCATCGCTATCGAATGCTGATCGTATTTTCTTGATTGGCTTCTTTGTGGTCTTCTTTAGACTTAACTTAACTGGACCAGTTGATAATTTAATCTCTTTGGAAGGAATACTACTAGTATCAGTAGTAGCAGCAACAGCTTGTCCTTGTTTAATCTGTTGATTCAATAACTTCATCGATAAATCCTCTTCTGATTTCAATTCCTTCTCTCGATCATTATTACTCTTGTTACCATCACCACTACTATCCACCAATCTAATTTCCAAATTAAACTCATCATCATCAACTCCGCCCGCATTCTCTACTTTCACCAACCCATTTTGACCCAAATATTTGATGAACGCAGTTAGACTACCCCATCTCGTCGAATTCATATGTACATGATGTTTATCATTCAAGATATATTCTTGATAGAATTTATTAGCATTCACCTTCTTAGTCCCATGATTTATCTTCAACAACCGCATGAAATCAGATTTGAATTGAGTTGAATATTCATCGACTAAAGAACGGGCTTCACCTGATGATTCGAGGTTTGAGATTCGTCCCGTGTGTGAAGGGGAATTTAAGTGGTTTTTAAAGCCGTTGGCGTCACGACATTGCTTTTGACATAACTGGCAATAATATTTAAGTTTTTGAAGGCCCGAGGCTTTGAGTTTCTTGCTTTGATATTTGGCTGTTCCGATTTCTGCTTTTGCCATTGTGATGGTGGGAAGAAGAACGAGTGTTTCATTGATGAGATATGGGAATATTATTTTTTTCTTCAAAGCTAATCTCGAAGCCATAATTATTGAAAAATCGCTGATCAAAATCAAAGAAAAGGCTGAAGACAATACATAGACGCCAGTGAGAAGATGATACGACCAGCGACAACACTCCCTCGACGTTTTAACCAAACCCTTGCAAGACGCTCTCTCTTCACGCGTCCTCCACCTCCACCTAGATCCTCATACATCGCCAACAAAACCTACCCAGCCATAATCTGGCACAATCTAATCCCCACCAAATTAAAATACCTCGCCACTATCGGTATCGCATCTTGGCCAGTTGCACACGCCCATCCAAACACAGTCATCATATTAGGTCCACCATTATTATTAGGTTCATATTTCGGATATAAAAAATTTCGTCATTTCCAATATTTATCCAATTTGAAAAGAATTGGAATTGATTATATGAACAAAGATGAGATTGTCAGATTTGAGAAATATGACGAAACTAGTGTTGAGAATGTGATGAATGGGATTGAGAATGAATTTGATTGTTTGAAGAGACAGGTGATTGATGTCGTGGAGGGGCGGATTGTTGAGTATATTGCGATGAATGATGGTGCGAAGGACAATAATGTGCTTTCATTGTTTATGGATGAGAATGATCAGTTTCTGATTAATATTTCTGAGAATGAAATTGAGACGTGGATGACTAGTCAGGCTGAGGTTTCAGATTTGGTTGAAGGGGAGGATGAGGGAAAGATGGTTAAAACTGGGTTTATGAAGTTGTCACTTCCATTTTATTCAAGGGGTGATGCAGAGAGTAAGAAGAGATTGGGTACTATTCTGGTGTATTTGTTGCAAGTACCTCCTACTGAGAATAATGACCAAGATTATAAAATTGGAATTGAAATCACTCCATTATCATGGTTTAAACCAAAATCATTGTATTTCTCAGAATTACCCGGCAAAGGGATTTTCAAAAGTAAACTCCATCAAAAGGTCAAACTTGAAGATCAATAGAAAGCAAATAGATTTAAAACACTGTCTTGTATATATACACGTAACAAACTAGCTAACTAACTAACTTATTTATTAATTTACAATCTTCCACGACCAAAGAAATTCCTACTAAAATTCTCAAATCTTCCATAATCGTAACATCCAGAATTCTCACGAATACTTCTCAATTCAGGCATCCATTTCTTAATATCATCAATTCTTTTAGTCGTATTCGGATGAGTCGAGAAAATATCCGATACTGGGCCCCTCATAGCCATGCCACCAAATGATTTCTCTGCCGATTTCATCCTATTCCAAAACCCAATCGCACTTTCTGGTTGGAAACATGCTCTCGCCATCAATTCACACCCGATCCGATCTGCTTCTGATTCCATCTCTCGTGAGGCTGGCATGGTTAGGAGCCCATTTATCAATAAGTCATTAAACCATGAAATGCCAGTTACACTGTACAACAAAGTTGAAATCAAGATGTAGAATGGCTGGGCCGATAATTGTTCCAGGGAATGCTGGGCTAATTGATGTGACAATTCATGGGCCAACACAGTAGCCAATCCTTGATCATCTTCACAAATGGGGATGATTGAACTAAAGACGAATATTTTTCCATTGGGTAATATGAAAGCATTAGGAGGCATAGAACTATCTGCAGCTATGATGTTGATTTCCCAGTCGAGATTCTGGAGGTGTTGCTTGTGATCGGGGTCTTGGACGGCAGTGGCAAATGCAACTGATAATAATCTGTTCATGACATTTGAGACTTTGGCATATAAAGGATGATTATGGGGGATGATTTTGGATTGGTATTGGTAGTGGATTTGTTGGTATGAGTAATCACCTATTTTCCGTTCTAGCGAATATGGGATCCATATAAATCTACGACGATGAGTGAATGGGGCTTCATTTTGGTTGTATAAATAGAATGCTAAAAACCCGGCTCCAACATATAAAGTTTTCCTATTTTTTAAGAAATTGAAATATGAGGTTGAGAAATGCGAGGGTGATGCATTGTCGAATCGCTTGTATGTGGCGTAAGTTCTTCTCAAAGGCGGATGGAAGAACAATCGTCTGGTTGAGGCCGTTCTGAACATAGTATTGCAGGAGATGTGGAGAAGAAGAGAAAGAAAGATGTGGACAGACCCAAAACTACGCACCAGAAAAATACCACTGAACCCGTGCCAGGTAGAACGGGGGAATGGGACTAGGAGGGCGAGATCAAGCAGTTAGAGGTGCACAAATAAGATCAGAAGCGTTAGAACTACAGTAAAATCATTCTTATCATGAATCCCAAATTCACTTATATCTATACAACATAATACAAACTTCATTCCAACTTAATTTATATCTCCCGCGCATGTATGTCATTCTCTTTCTCACCTCGTACCTTCGTTGATTCAATATTATTCACATCATCAACAGGTGGAGCTTGATAAGTGAAATGATCATTAATTGCAGTAGTCTGACTAATCAAATAATTATTAATCAACTCGCTACTAGAATTATTATAATTTGAGTATCTTGATTTCAATTGTACTTTAGTTGCTTTACTTGGTAATTTTTCAAAAAATTGTGGACCATGTAATTGTTTCGCCAACATATCCAAATCCCCTCCATTTCCAGTAGTACTTACAGATCCAGAGTCTACTCCTGATCCGGAAGTTACCGGGGCCATTACTGTTGCTTGTGGTGGAGGACTTGGTAACAAGTACAGAAGCATTGAGGTCGTGTCATTGTTATTTGATATTTCTGTAAAATTAGTGAGATCTGCAGTTGAGGCACGAGCAGATGGTTGGCCTGATGTTGGCTGGTTTGCGGATTGTGGGAGCACCGGAATAAATGTTTCATAGAAATCATATACCGAGGGTTGTCTTGCTGGTGGCGGTGAGTGATTATTTAACTTTGATGAGGGTATGTGTGCTTGGTGTGGAGGTGGTTGTAATGGTTGTTGTTGATCACTTGAAGATGATCCATTAGATGAGTCTGTGCCGAGCACCCTTTCGAATTGTAGATATGTACTTGAATTTTCAACTTTGTCAGCACTACCATCATATTGTTTATGTCGATGCAAAGCTTCATGGAATTGAGTAAATGATTGATCATCTTGTAATTCTATGTCTATATCAGTACGATCCAAATCTTCTCTTAATTGTTTTCGTTGATTTCTGATCCAGAATATGGCTATTACCCCGATGATTACTACCGATGGTATTCCAACAGCCAAACCAACTGTCAAACCTTGCGTATCTCCCATTGTGGAAATATGTTATGTTATATATAATGTGTTACTGCTCGAGGATATCTAAGCTTTTCTTTTCTTTTTCGAATTAAAGCTGATCAGGTTCGCTAGATCTTTGGTTTTATCTCAAAGGGAGAGAGATCTCTGTATCTTGCCTATTAGGGGGGAAATAAGGGTGTGGAATTATCAAACCGGATTTTTTTTTCCTCGAAACGTTGCTCCTCGTCCCTATTATTGTTTGTTTATTATGTGATGCGTGATAGCGGTTATTAGTCAACTATAGTAAAATTCCTGTTAATGGAAGGTCTGTTGTTAATAGCGAATGTAATAAATAATTAAAAATAAACTACCTCTCCAATATCAATGAAATTAACACCTGGTTTGAAATGAGTTTTTAAATAAAACTAAAAAATTAATTTGAAATAAATTCAAATTTGAAATAAAAAATTCCCAAATGAAAAAAAATGAAAATCTATTTTTACGGAAGAATCCTAAAAATAATTAATAATGAAAAAATATATTCAAAAATGGTTGAATATAAAAATCCCCCTGTTAATTTTATGAGGAAAGGTAGTCTAGAGAAGGCAAGCGACTATATATGAAGTCAATGTAATCAGAAGAGTTTAAAATATAGAAAACCGATTTTTGACAGAATGATTTAAAAGTTCCACTGAAAGTTTATTCTTTCCCATTATTCCAAATAAAATTCTACTACAACGGCTTAAAAAAATGACAAAGAAACCTCTCTTTTTCTAGCCTTATTTTCTCTTTCTGGAACACCTCCTGACCTAGTTTCTATTCGGTAGCTCGGTATTCATGGAAATTAGTCAGAATATGGTCAAGAAAGTGTGCGTCAATTGTCTGTGCGTAAGAAGGGTTCGAAGGGCGGTTCTGTCATATTTCCAGGTTATATGCAGTCAGCTCATTAGAATTCTATTTTTGGAAACTTTAATTTAAAATTTAACGCTTAAACTTTAATTATAGCTTTTTATGATACAAAACTGAAACCATTGTTCACTCGATGAATTGGTATACGCTATCACTAGAACATATAGCAGTAATAAATCACAGGTGAATTCTATGTTGATTCGTTACAACTCTCAATGGTTGCTTTCCATCTCTGAAATCTTTTGGGTCAGTAAAAATTCCAGTTTGCAATCCTTTGTGAACCAAATGGTGGATCTCCATTGTTTATTATAAGGAGATAATAAAAAAAATATGTCTCTAAACCGGCACTCCTTTGTTGAACTAGTTTCAGCATATTATGTCCTTAAATAGTTCTGGAATGCATGGATCAATCAAGGAAGCTGAAATATGGCTTAAAACACGTTTGAAAATTCAATTTGCCTTGTTAACGCGTATTGGCAATTTGGAATAGAGTAGAGGAGGCTTCAATACTTTGATAGCATACTGTACGATATGGGCTACTCCAAAGGTGATGCGTTGCTTTAAACTAGCTATACGTATTGGCTTTGCGACCAATCTAACCTATCTCACTACCAAGTGTCAGTTTTGCAACCAGAGCTTCACAGTTGAGCCCAAACCTTGCGTTGTTAAAAGGCTCTCACGTTTCTACGAGAATGAATCAATTGTCTTTTAGTTTAACAGGAGTGCTGTCAACCCCCCTGTGGGGGGGTCACTTCAATCGTTTTCTCGAGAATTGATCTCGCCTGAGAAATTTTGCAGCAAAATAGACCCACTAAATATCAATCTACTACGGAGGACGCCAATACGAGAAAACTTATCAGAGAGTGTGAGAGCAGTGCTTCGGCAAATACTGGCTGGGATTTATATATGCTGGTGGATTTGAAACGAATTAGAAATAGGTTGTAAGTACTTGCCAACTGATCACCGAGCTTACAAACACACGTCAGTCAGGAGTAGAAGCCGAAGTCTACTCCGAATAAGGTGGGTCTTCCTCAAACGAGCTTCAATTGACGCAGTTGCCAACACCAGGAATAACCCGTTTGTTTAATTGTACGAAAGGGTTGCATAGGTCTACACTCTTGATACACTTCTTTGTTTTAATCTGATACTTGACATTTATTTACTGAATTGATTATCAAATCTAAGTTCTTTTTCTATATACAAGTCCATTCACCCCTTAAAATAATCTAAAGAGCAAATTGCACATCTGGATCCTTAAGCAAATCATAATCAACAAGCTTACCATCCTCTTCCTTAATTTCCAACAAGAAATGATGAATATCAAATGGATTCATCTTTGATTCTCTAGTAGCTTTCAATTTCAATCTTCCGGTCCCTTTATCACCTTTGACACTAAATACAATATCAATATTTCCTCTAACAGTATTCAAAGGCCCACTAATCCATGGGAAACTATTCAGAAAATCAATACCTTCACCTAATCGTTCGTTAGCGATTTTTGATCTTCTCACGAAATATAAGGTGGATGTAATAATTGGAGATCCGGTTTTTTCATAATTGAAAATCATAGCAAGCATGGCAGTTAATCCAATTGCGTAGACTACCATATAACGACGATTGGTTTTCTTTTTGGCAAAAGGATCAGGGAATTCACGGTCAACTGTAACTTGACGGTGGTGTTGAGGTTGTTGGGGATTTTGTTGTTCATTTAAGATACGGGTTGATTGATGAATGGTTCTACAAATTATGGAACTGATTGGTTTGATGCTTGTGATTCTCTTATTGAGAATATTGGCTGTCAATCTTCTGGATAACATCTTAGGGCTTTGGTTATGGGATGGTTGGTTGTGTAACTGGTGCTGACAATTTGTAATTATTTTTTTTTCTTCAGACGGATCTCGTACCATCATTTGCCCCGACTGTCGCACTAGAAATTTCAAAAATCTGATGAGACTTTGACTTATTTTGTTCTACAGCTTTTTATCCATTGAGAAATTATCATCAACTGAACTATGGATTTTGTTAGAGGGGCATGTTCAGTAGACAAAGTAGGAGGCGTGGTAGCCATCCGAGAAGATCTAGCTCCCCTGATTCTTGAATGGAAAGCAGTTGAAGAAGATAAATCAATCTCCATCCCGCTTAATTCCTTAAAATTCTTACAAAGTACAAAGGAATCTAGTCCAAAAATGATGCTTAAAGTTATATATAAACTAAGTGAAGATGATGAAGAGAAGTCGTTCAAATTGACATTTACTAATCGACCAACTATGAATAGCATCAAGGATTCACTTCAAGCGATCGTATCTAGATCAAGAACGAGAGTGGAAGGAACCGCAACTCCACAACCGGAACTAACACCCAGACCTTCTTCATCCGCAGCAGCATCAGGAGCAGCACCAGCATCTTCATCTCCAGCATCGCGTCCAGCAAGCAGAGCCTCGTCGTCGTTTACATTCAACACCAGCCCACAAGCATTGTCTGATGCCAATCTATTAAAGAATTTCGAACTACAACAAAAATTATTATTAGAAGATAGAGTTCTACGTGACAGATTCACAAAATCAGTGATTGAACATCAATTATCCCCCCAGGTCTTTTGGTCAAGTCGATTGAATCAATTACGAACATTTGCATTAACCATATCACAACATCGAGGTCCCTATAATGTATTATCCACTATCAAACCAGTTGCTACCTCTGATAATCAAGTGAATGTGAATGTGACTCGAGATACCATTGATGAAATATTTGAGATCTATCCGGTTATTAAGAAAGCATTTAATGATTTAGTTCCCCAGAAATTCTCCGAGGGGGAATTTTGGTCAAGATTTTTCAATTCGAAATTGTTTAGAAGATTAAGGGGGGATAAAATAAATCAAACAAATGAGAGAGGGGATGTTATTTTGGATAAATATTTATACATAGATGAGAGATTTATCGAACAAGATATTAAGGATAATGAATCCGGGGACACATCATCACAAGCTGGAGGAGCTAAGAAGAAACAGAAGAACAAGAAGGATACAATCGATGACGAGCAAGAACAGATTAAAAAACTTGTAAAACAGAAGCAGCAAGAACAACAGAATAAAGAAGCCACTGTTGCAAAAGTCCATAAATTTCTAGATTTGTTAGGGAATCAAGAAGATAATTCGCAAAAAAGAGGGAATAGACCCGACTTCACAATGAGATACGAAGAAGATGATATTAAAAGTAAAAAATCCAGTACGGGTGAGAATGAAATGATTATCTTAATGAAGAATATGAATAGATTATCTTCCAAAATGATGAGTATGAGTAGTTCTGTGAATAATGAAAAGGATGAACCCGGTGCAGATGGACTTTCTTCATGGGAAGTGAAGGAATATCAAGAGGAATTGGATTTACATGATTTGAATGAGATTGAGGATTTACGGTTTATAAAGATTAATATTGATCCAAATATGGCTAGTAGTAACCCTAAGAATGATACCAAAACTAGTGATATCACCGACGATCAACTACAGGAATATTTATCCAATCAATTTAATATGAATCAAGTGTTTGAATTGAGAGATACTTATCAATCTAAGACGCAAGAGATTGAAAAGACATCAGCTGAGATTTCTGCTATTAGTAAACAAAATTTCAGGACATTTAAGCTTATAAACAAGGAAGAATCAAAAGGGGTTGAACCAACATTGAGAAACCTTGTTCCTAAATCATTAGCTCAGGAGATCATTACCCACAACATCACCGTGGTTGAGTTTTTGTCACATTTCTGGAAACTCTTTTTACATGAGAACAATCCAACGCAATTAAAGAAGATTTTCGTCAGTTTAAGAAATTGCAAAAATTCTTTAGTGGAATTAAAGAAGAAGGCCATGAATATATTTAATGAGATGGAGGTTGTTAAAAATAACGAAAAGGTAAAAGACAAGATTGAAAAGGATTTACAACATTGTCTTGAGCCCATGGAAGTAAGTCTTGACAAGGCGATTAATGAGTATGTAAATGCCGTCCGTAGTCAACAACAACAACAACAACATGATGAGAAAGAGGATGAAGGTACTACACCTGAAATCAATGAGCATGGCAAACGACCTCTACCTGCGTAAACGATAGACAATATATATAAATAAATAGCATAATTATATTATAATTTTATACATCTATTCTATAAATATAGTACAAAATAATTAGTGGGGAGTAAAGGCATAAAAATTCTCATAACTGGCATAACAAAGTACTCCATTCATACTCATCAACATCCAAAGCCTGAACCAACTGGCAATCAAAGAAACTGTTAAGCATCATCATGAATTCCTTCCATACGCCCAATTTCGACCTTGAAATCATACATAACATATTCTCAATCCCGAAATTGTCAGCGAGTAAATCTGCCAATGATGCAATAAGCTCTCTGGATATCCTGGAAGTAATCAACAGAATACTGGAATCATCAAATACCATCACAACTTGTTCTGGTTGTTGTAAAAACACACCATAAATTTTGACATTTTCTTCTACAAATTCGATAACTAATGTCCTTTTCTCGCGAATTTGTGCTTGGTGGATGGGTTTAGGTAAGTTTGGGGGAATTGCGAAGTCAAACATACCACTTTATGCCCATGTCCAGGCTAGTAAGATTATTATTCTGAGTTGGTTTGCGTGATTGTGAATATTGATTTGAAATTAAATTATTTGAATTTGATATTTGATTAAGATTCATTTTTGAGGAAATTTTCTATTTAAAAGGTAAAGTGTTTGGTTAGGACTAACTGGTAGAAGAAAGAAGGAAGAGTAAAAGGATGTGGGTTGGCGGTGGTTTGTACGTCATGAATGATTTTAGCTTTTGAAGATATAGATGCGCATGTGTTCTTTCCTAATATGGACATGATGAATGCGCGTGTTTTTTGTCCCTTCTGAAAAAAATTATTTTTAATTTTTCCGTTTAGGGCTTCTCTTAATGAAAAATAAAGCGATGAGATCAAAAGCATACTGATAAGAAGGATAGCACCGCACCCAACATATTTACAATGGCAAAGAAGAGTATGTATTACATTTACTAGAATAGACCACTTAGAGTAACTTGTACTAACCCCAGCAAGTTTCTAAACGTAGTAGAGCAGCAAGAAGAGGGCTTGTGGATAATGACGAAGGAGAAGCTAGTTCATTAGCATCAATACCAAAACCAGAAAACGATGATGTCAAGAAATCAATTATCAGAACCACAATCAAAAATGAAAACTTATTAGCTAAAAAGATGGAGAATTCTAAAATCAGAAAGTCAAATAAGAAGAAAACTTCTGCTTTGAAACATAAAGTTGAAAGATCAGATAAATTAACTGGAGTATTGGCCACTAAAATTGAACAAAGTATAGCTAGAGCCAAATATGTCCAAAATGCACGTAAATCAGGTTGGGAACAGATTAATAAGACTATTACTATTAAGAATGATATGGCAGAAGAGATCAAGTCTGCTTCAGTGGAACCAGAAAAGACAGTAGAAGAAATTGAAAAAGATGCAGAAGATGAATATGTTAGACAATTTTATGGTAATGATGCCACGAATGAAGAGAAGGATGATGTGTCAGTTCGCCCAACATCCAATAACAGATTTGCCTTATTGGATGAAGCTGAAGCTTGATTCTTAGTTGTATATTATTAGTAACAGTGTATATTAGTTTAATAGATTGGATTTTCCATATTGCGACATGAATTCGGCGGCGACGTTTTTGTGCGACATTTGCTGGTTTTTCTGGGATGCGTTTTCCAGCTTTGAAAGAAACTCCGTAGATCAACGGATATTCTCCCTTTCCAATAGCAATCATCAATATGAAAGTGAAGTCAGTTATCTCAATTGCAATATTTTTGGATATTGCTTCAGCGCTCAAGTTCCAACCATTTAATAAATCGCTCCTAAGTGAAGACTCATTTCTTGAACAATTCGACTACAAAGACTTGGCCAATTCCCCTTGGATTTCATCACGAGCCAAAAAGTTCGATGAAGGAAGAGATGAAATCGTTTCATACAAAGGTAGATGGGAAATTGCTCCTCCTGAGGTGTATCCTGGATATGAAGATGACAAAGGGCTTGTATTGAGGTCAAAAGCTGCCCATCATGCCATTGCTAGAACGTTACCGCGTCCAATAGATAATAAGGGCAAGGATCTTGTCTTACAATATGAAGTCAAACTACAAAAAGGGTTATCCTGTGGTGGAGCTTATATTAAACTTTTGGATGTATCATCAGGGTCTGATTATTCGAGATTTAGTTCTGAAACCCCATATCAGATTATGTTTGGTCCTGATATTTGTGGAAGTAATAATAAAATACATTTCATATTGCGTAGGAAGAGTACAGAAGGTTCAAATATCGAGGAAAAACATTTGAAACACCCTCCAATGGCGCGTACTGGTGATTTATCCACTTTGTACACATTGATAATCCATGATAATCAAGATTTCGAAATCAGGATAAATGGAGAAACGGCGAAAGCAGGCAATCTAGTTTCCCAACCTAACTTATTCGACCCAACTTTCTCCCCTCCAAAAGAAATCATAGACCCGGACGACAAACAACCGGCAGATTGGGATGATCGACTCCATATCGCCGATCCAAATGCCAAAAAACCAGCTGACTACGATGCAAAACACGCCCGTCGTTTCATCCCAGATCCAGCTGCCGTCAAACCTGATTCCTGGGATGAAAATGCCCCACGCTACATCCCTGATCCTAATGAAGTTAAACCTGAAGGAGTGCCAGATGACGAATGGAAACCTACTTTACTCATCAATCCCAAATGTCATACATCCGGCTGTGGACCTTGGAATCCACCTCAAATTCCCAACCCTGATTATATCGGACCTTGGTTTGCACCAGAAATCATCAATCCCAATTTCCAAGGATTATGGAAACCAAAAAGGATACCAAATCCGGCTTATTACGAAACTATCCATCCTGGACGAGTAGATAAGCCAATTGGAGGTATTGGATTTGAATTATGGAGTATGGATGCAGATGTCTTATTTGACAATATCTATATTGGACATTCTGTCCCTGAGGCAGAATTGATTGGAAATGCGACATTTGTGACGAAGTTGCAATTAGAATATGAAAATAAGAAATCTGCCCGTCCAAAAGTTAAGAATGAACCTATGAAACCTCCTAAGAGTTTTGACGAGATTATGGCGGATAATGATATTGCTACTTATAAACAATTTATTTTGTTTGTTAGGATGTTTTGGAGGAAGCAATATTTAGAGGTGAAGGATTTTTATTTTGAGTTTATGCTAGATCCTGTGAATTTGATTATGGAGAAGCCAGGTAGGTTTTTCGTTTATGCTACGTTGTTTATGTTTGGTGCTACCTTTGCTTTTGGTATTGGAAGTACGATTATGTTTTTGGTCAGCAATATTGGAGGTTCAGATAGAGAGGAGGAGGGACACGAGGTTGTGGCAGAAGAGAAAGAAGACAGCAACGATTCTCCTCGTATAGAAATACTTGATGAAGTTATAGGAGAAGAATCAACGTCTGTTAAACAATCAGAGAATGATAATGTTCGTAAGAGATCGGTAGTATAGTATGCGTATGCATATGTAGATGTATAGGTCGTGTAAAAATGTCAAATCATACTTCAAAGTTTTGAAACATTATACAAAGAAGGTTTTTTAAAAATCTTTTTTTCTGTGTGATGATGTCATGGGGAAGAAAGGGAGTTGCGAAGTAGGGGGTCGTGGGTTGAAACATGTAATTACTTGAAATTAAGATCTACAACCAGATCTCACTAACCCCAGATATAAATAGTCACTAAAACGAAAGTCATAAATTAGAAATAGAAACATATAATTGCCATCCATGTCTAGTGAAAATACCCCATTAATACCCATTGATCCTAATACGGTCACTCACTTGACCTTGGTCAAACCGAAAAACTACAACTGGGGAAGAAGATTTAGATTCATCGTACTCTTCCCCTCGATCTTACTTATCATAGCCTTATTACTCATCAAATCTTTTTCCCAACCAGGCAGTTCCATCTCCAATATCTATGGACCCAGCCTCAATCTCCGTATCTACACCAATAACATTCGATTCGACAACAAACGGCATCCTGATGAATTCGAACGACCTTGGAAAACGAGAAAAGTCCAAGTCATTAACTCAATAGATTTCCATACATCCTTCTTAGGCCATGCTAATGTGGTATGTCTCCAGGAAGTCCTCCATAATCAACTTGAAGATATCCTCGCTGGATTAAATCAAAACCATGAAGGATGGACGTTTTATGGAGTAGGACGTCTGGATGGAAATATGTCAGGAGAATACGCTCCTGTATTATTCAAAACTGGTGAATGGAGAATATTAGAAAATGCAACGTATTGGTTAAGTGAGACTCCTTGGAAGCCCAGTCGTGGATGGGATGCGGCATTGGAAAGAATAGTTACTATGGTCACGCTTCAATCTAGATTAAATCCATTGATAAAAATAAACGTATTCAATACTCATTTTGACCATCGAGGGAAATTGGCTAGGAGAATGAGCTCAAAATTGATAATTGATAAGATGGAGAATTATAATGATTATCCTTCATTTTTGTGTGGAGATTTCAATACACAACCAAAAGATGAACCATATAAGATATTGAAAGATGCTGGATTTAAAGATAGTAGAACTTTGGTAGATTGGAAGTATTCATATGGCCATGAAACTACTTTTACTGGGTTTAATAGAGAAAATGAAGCAAATACTATTATTGATTATGTGTGGTCGCCTTATTTCACTAGACCAAACTTCAAGGCGGACGACAATGATGCGGAGAATGGTAATGGGGATGGCCACAATGATCAAGATGCATTCAAAGTTAATAATTTCTTCAATTTGGAACATCATTTGTACTATGATATTATGTTGGAACAATTTGGGATTATGCATAATTATTTTAAAGGGTTTTATTTTTCAGACCATAGGCCAGTTGTTGCTACTTACGAAATCAAAAGAACCAGAATATTTTGATACAATGGTACTGTACAAATGCCTCTTATTTTTATATAAGTTGTACTCTTTTAAAGCTTGCAATTTCATATTTTTAACATGTTTTTAATGATTTTGGATTGTAGATTGATTGCGCTTCCAAATAGGGAACCAACTCTTCCAAATTGGTTTTTGCTAAAAATATTATTTTTTAAGCCCAAATAATAAAAATAATTGAACAATTCCGGTCGCGGGGCTTTCTGAATATTCAGTTAAGCGAGGGCTTCTATGGCTACCACTAGCAAAATACAATAATTGTAAGAATGAATAAGTCATAAATCATAAAATTCTGTAGAACCTGGAAAAAAGACAAAGTAATCGAAACTGGGTTGAAACCTTAAGCATTTTGTAGACAATTTCATGGGGGCCGTATTGGTAATCTGGGCAATTTGATTGGCTCCGGATTATTCACGCAGAAAAACCTTCTTGTTGTATAGACAAAACCCGTAGAATTGTTAGGCTTCCAAGAACACATTTGCAATAGAGTATTATAAACTAAAATTCCTACAAGAAACATCATCAGTGCGATTCGTCAAAACCTGTCAGCTACAAACGTTTAGAGTTCTTGTAAGTTATGAGACCAGAAGTTTAATAAATACGATTCTAAATACTCGTGACCATTTAACGTGCTTTTTATAAAAAGTGTGGTATTACAAGAGAATTTATAAGTTCTTGTCGGGGAGTTTCTTGGTAAAAATAAAGAAAAAAGAGAAATAGAACCTGTTCCCGTTGCCGTTTAGCTTAAGCATATGGCCATCGTTAATTAAAGTAATGAGGTTCTCTTCTGATAAGGTTGCAACTTTGGCGCTATCATTTAACTTTTTCTACTGAAACGAAGCCAAGAAAAGAACAATAAACTAGCCAAGTTTAAAACTTGCTAAATGTAGAGTGTGAATTTCTAAAAATAGATAAAGCTTGTCTTTTGTCTTAATGTAACTACTACATGAATTTTAAGATTTCAAAACACATAATAATGATGTCAATAACGCACCAAGTTATTGAACTTTTCTTAATCGACATGGTAACCATACGTGTAAATGCACAATTAGGCACTTTCGTGTATTATTTAATGCTTGTAGTTTAAAATTAATTTGTGTAAACAACAAGGGGGGGACACTTCGCTTACAAGTCGTGATCATATAGAGTTTGGTTTTTTTTCTTAATTGCTTGTTTACTTTTACAGTACAAGCAAAAATTTAATTGTTTATACTCAAAAAAATTTTATCGTAAGATACACAGGTTTCGAAGTTATGGATACTTTTCAACAGAATGCTACTAATTCCATTTACATTTTCAAGAAACTTTTCAGGTCTTACATCAAACTGTTTGCATGGAAGTGATGGAATTGTCGCCAAAAGTCAGTCCATACGTCAGGAAAAAAAGAAAACAATGGATTTTTTAAGAATATTTTTAGAACAATAAAATAATTTATAAGCATAAATAATATTATTTTTTAAAATTTATTTTTATTTCTAAATTTAGACCCAGATTTCAGCTTTTAGATTCCACATTTGTAATGTTTTGGAACTTCCTAGGGAGTATGAGAAAAAGTATTTAGGAACCACATTTCCCCCAATTTCCAAAGTTTCAATTTTTTTTTATACTTTCTTTCCTTTCCTCTTTTTCTTTTATCATCAACATATATTTGTTTTCAATATATCCACGTTCGCTTTAAAATGAAATTCACTTTAACTTCCACATTATTATTTGTTGCATCTGCTTTAGCTGATGTTATCCCAATCCAATTGATTGCCAGATCTGAATCTGCAGAAGTTAATTCAAAAGGGTTATCTTCCATCCATGAAGGTGCTGGTATCAACTACTTCTTCTTAGGAACTAACGCACAAACATTACAATACGATGAGGGTGCTAAAGTTATCTTCATTTCTCTTTCATCTGATCAACCAAACTCAAACCAATATTTTGCCATTGAAGGTAATGTCTTACAATTGACTGTCGCTGCTCAACCATTATCAGTTGAATTTGATGCTGATGGATATGCTGTTTTCGCAGGTTCTAACAGCATTTATGCCCTCATGAACATCAACGATCCATACCGTTATTCTGAAACCTCATACGCTGTGGTTTCATATCCAGAAGGTGCTCCAGAAGGTGCTATCCCAATTAGAATTGCCCTTGCCGGTGCTGCTCCATCACCTTCCCCATCACCATCCCCAGAAACAACCACAGAACCTGAATCAACAACCGTACCTCCAGAACCAGCCAAGAACACCACTACTCCAGCTCCAGTTGAACCATCCACTTTTGAAGGTGGTGCCGCTTTAGCCCAAGGTGGTTTAGCTGCTGTTGCTGCTGCTGCCATTGGTTTACTCATGTAAGACTATTGTTTCCTGAGTATTATCTTGATATCAAAGTGGGAAATTTTATACTTTCTAGGGTTTTAATTTTTATCATTTTCGGATTCGGTATTATATTGTTTTTAATACAGTTTTAAGTTTGTTTATTTGTTGAAAAGAGTTTTGAAGACTCTGATTATTTAATATTTGTATAGTTTTCTATTTTATAATATTAGATAAAAAAGTATCACACTCGTTAATAACTTTTGTTTAATTACATATGTTGATTCTGTTCTTGACATTAAATTGAATAGTCTCCCTGTAAATGCTTAGCTGCTGTTTAACTAAGGCTTAAATCATATACATTTTTTTTAGGAGGATAAACGATCTGAAGAGTTTCGAGGCGAAATTTTTAGGGGGTTAAATCCCCCTTATTTGGATAATGGAAAATAATTTCTATTGTTCAATATGGAATGAAATTTGTAACAATAGAATGCCTTTTCTCATTGTTAATTCGTAGAAAGGTAGGATGTTAAACCAGATTCTCCGAGATCTGCTTATAAAATAAACGTTTTTTTTTGTTTTTTTTTTGCAAAACACAGTATAAATACATTTATTAAAAATTAATTAAATATTTCTATACATAATGAAATAATAAAAACTGTTCTATGGAGGAAAGTACAAGACTAGAACCCCCGTTATATATTTTCTTTTTTTAGGGTTAAAGAGTGAAGTTATCAGAGTATGTTTTATAATAGTTAATCCATCTTTTAAGCTCTTCATCTGAGGGCTGGCTCCGTCAATCTGATTCGTTGTCGGACTTTTCTAAAATGCTCATTGGCTTTTATGAAACCGTTGATGGATATGATTTCTTTATTCGTTAGTTCATTGTCACAAATAATCGTTCTTAGTTTTAGTGTTCTTTTTCTTGGGCCGAATTTGTGCCATATTTTCTTGGTTATTGGACAGAATGCTAATTTCTGATTCACAACATTGATTCCTTTAATCGATTGTCCACGTAGTTCGCAGAGTATATCTCGACGTTTGTAATGTGTCCAATGTCCAAGGTTCAATCGATGAATTGAACCTATACCTGGGCATTCAGATTTAGCTTCGTCTATTCTTTCAAAAAACTTTCCCCATAGCTATTTGTCTATATCAGCAAACTTTGTCCGACCAGACGGTTTGAGGGATCTCCTTTTCTTTGGTTGATTTTTTCTTGATCGTTTCTTGAAGAAAGTTTTGATATTCGGTTGTTTGAAGAGTTCAAATTCATGCAGTTCCACTGCTTTTTCCAATAGGATGTGAAGCTGGCTTATTTGAATGGTTCGGATTCTAGTTTGCCTTTTGTTTCTAAATTCCTTGACTAGTGCAAACCATGCACAAAGGCAGTGTTTTTCGAAATTATTACATATGTCCTTCTATTGCACTTCTTATATCACTACATTAGGTCCTTGAATTCCTTGAATCACTGAAGCTAGGAAATCAAACCATAATGTGTCTTTAGTTCATGTTGTACTTTTTCTTTTGGTGGGAGTTGTAAATCAACAAAGTCTTGAATTTTTATACGCCATACCGTGTAGTTCCAGTCAGTTTTATTTGTGAGGACGTTGTAGATGATTTTGGCCCTTAAGTCTAGAAGTTGATATGATAGATCGAGTAATCCGAGCCGTCCTTGGTTTTTTAGAACTTGTAGATTCTCGTCTCCAATTCCAGCAAAACTCTTTTTTTAATTGTACTTTTAGTTTCCTTTATTTCTTTTGCACCCATTGGATTGATTACATCTACATCTTGGATAGGATATAAGTATTAAAATCTTGTGCCCGTAAATGGATGGGGAGTAGTCTCATTTCGATTGAATTGAGGTTCTTTGTAATTTGATTGATATACTTCAGCCATTCGAAACCATTATAGGTAATACCCAAGTACTTTTTTTGTTCTTTAGCTTTGTTTACCCATTTAAAATTAGCAGGAAAGGGGTGTCCTTCTTGACAGCATAGTTGTGATTTATTGTAATTTATCACTCCTCCTGATGCCTTCTCGTAGTTTTGTATTGCTTTTTGAAGCATATGAAGATCCAGATTGCCTTTGATAAACACTGTTAAATCATCAGCGTAAGCTAATGTTCTAGCATAATAGTTATTATAAATCCCAATCCCATATTAATTCCATTGGAAAATAAACTTGGCCACATTAAATCACTGGTACGTATTTAATATATGATAAAATATACTAACATAACATTACTTTAATATAAACAACATAAGATATAAGATATATGACATGCCATAAAGCCCGCAATATATGATATAAGAATATGAACTGTACAAGCTGAATAAGATGAAAATAGCAAACAGAATACCTGAAATATATGAATGACTGATACAAGAAAAAGGCAAGTGAGTACATATAGAAAAGAAACAAGAATACTATGAACAAGTCAGAGACCTGATGAGAGGCGATCAGAGATTATTCAAGATTGAGAAAAGACGTGATCAGAGATCACTTGCATGGTCATAGACCAAACGGATGAAAGATGATGTAGGCGTAGCCAGACAGCGCGAGCAGAGCTCACAGACAAATATAAATATACGACAGAGTCCACTTCAAACTAAATATCTCTCTTTATAGAATCTAACCAAATATATATTATACTCTACTACATCAGGTATAACTTGTTAACTCAACTAAACTATGATTAAATATTCAACAAAATAAACAGACAACAACAACCGCAAAAGCAACATGAAACTGCCTCAAGAGAGCTAAACCTTCAACAGAAAGGAGTGGCGTGACGAATATGTCGAGGCTTAATTGTATTGTTTCCGTTCGTAATTTGAGACAATAGACCATATAAGAATATTTTTTATGCATTGGGAGGTTGCAAATACACAAAAATAATTTTAGTGTGCAAGTTTTTTTTTTCAAAACACAGCATATATCCATTAAAATAAACTAAATATTTCTATACACAATTAAATAATAAAAGCTTTTCTATGGAGGAAAGCAAAAGACTAAAGCCCCCTTTATAAAAAACTTTTTGTTGGCTTAAAAATTAAATATATATCATGACCAATAGGGTCAGTGCAAATAGAAGTTTATATAATAATTATCCTGAATGTTTCTATAGATGTAAAATTAAAATATCTATGAAAGTTATTACAAGAGAACGGAATACAAACCAGGCAAAAACAATATTAAACAAGCAAACGCAAACAAACTAACCAGAGTTACAAACGTCTAGCTGGGGATCTAAACTCTATCAGAAGCATTCTTAAGATCACTTTCCTTTGATTTATCATCAGCGGAATCTTCTTCTGTAGCATAAACACTTTCGCTTTCTGCATTTAGATCTGCATTTCTATTTTCAGGGCCAAAGAAAACAACAATCATTATAAAGACTTGAACGGCCAATACGAACAATGTCAATGTCTTACTGTAATCATAAACTTCATCCTCGGCATCAATAGGGAATTTCTCACTCAAAGTGGCTTGAATTGTACTAGTTGCTGAAGAAGCCAAATTACCTAATTGATAAGATACGCCAGTAACGAAAGCCCTAAATTGTGGTGGTGACAATTCTGAAAGATGGCTAGGAACAACACCCCAAGCACCTTGAACTCCGAATTGCATAAAGAAGGCAGTAGCCCACATTGGCTTATAAGCCCAAGGATAAGTTAAAGCAATCGTGAAAAGATTTGCAATTAAAATGGCTGATCTTCTACCAACAACACTGGATACGTGACCAATTATAAGACCACCAACAATAGCACCTAATTTTGCACAAACAAGAATAACAGTTCTCCTATCTTCACCAAAGTGGTATTGCTTTTCCAATAAGGTAGGATATAAATCTTGGGAACCATGAGCTGAGAAGTTGAACCCAGACATCATAAACACCATGAAGATAATAACAAGCCAATAATGTTTGAGTGCCACCTTAGCTTGTGCTTTGAATTCTTTGGCTTTGGAGTTCTTCTCTAATGCTCCAGCTTCAAATCTTTCTTTAATTCTTTGATATGAATCAGTTTCAGGTGTAAACAATCTCCAGATAATCAAAAGAACTGGTGGACCAGCACTGAACCAAAACAATGAACGCCATCCATGAGGAGTGGTGTAAGTAAGTGCACGTTGACAAATTGTTGCAAGCAAGAAACCAAAGGCGTAACCTTGTTGGAAGATCCCTGACAAGACACCTCTAGCAGCAGTAGGTGCATCTGAAAGTGCTTCGGCTGCACAAATACCATATAACCCACCCATAGCAACACCGAAAGTAGCTCTTGTACCAAGGAATTGGGCATAAGTTTTCACAAACCCAGTACCAATTTGAATTATAATCAAAAGACCCAAATTGATAATATAGGGCCATTTTCTACCTCTCATATCACCCATAGCCCCAAAAATAATAGCACCAATAGTTCTCAACATCAACACCAAGGTTAAACCCCAAGAAACTTGTTTAATTGAGACATCTAAACTTTCAGCAATGTTTGAAATATTCAAGGCAGTGGTGAAGTAATCAAAAGCATCCCATGCCCAAGCAAAAAAACCAAGTAAAAAGAAATTCCAATGATGTTTGTTTAAGTGGACGAGTTGTTGGAATGGATTAAATATATCATTCCAGGTGTTCTTGGAGAATTCTTCCTTACCTACCCAAAGACCAGTGAACCTTGTTTTCAAATAAGTTCTAATAACTGGCCAATGAAAACAAGGCTTTTGGATTATGTGTGGACTAGGTTGAAAGTCGATTGACTTTGTAGTATGTATTGTATTATCGTTATTATTAAATGTTTCTTTCATTGTAATATATTATGAAGTAACAGTTTTGTATATCTTACTGACTATCTATGGAATATCAGAATCTATGATATAGAAATAACAGAGAGAGAGATAGAAATATTCATGGAAATGAAGAAGGCCGCAGTTTATTTATACTTTTTTTATTTAATTTTTTTAATTGCAAAAAAATGTAAATGTCACTCGCAACTTTAAAAGCTGGTGATTATTTTTCTTATCAAAAATATTCATTCACGTTTTTCTCAATAATAAAAAGCCTAATATTATTATTATTATTATTAAAAAGGTTAAATTAATAAGGAATGGTGTTTCGGTTATGTTATCCTCTTTTAATAATTCATGATCTTTTCTTAATATTTTTAAATCTTTTATGCCCCCCAGAATAAAAAAATAAGTCTAAATTTCGCCTCGCTCATCACTAAAGATATTTTATTGTCCCCTTATTGTTTTCAGGAAAGGCGCTATCAAATTATTTTACAAGCCAGGTTGTTGTTTTAATTGACCAAACAAAAGTAAGCGTTTCTAGTTCGGGAATATTTGCGCCTCCGATTTATACATCAGATCTAAAACACTGTCACCCTCGTGTAGCTTGGTGCCATTGAAGGCATTAAATAATGTAGATTTACTAATAAATATAGTGTAATCGGATAAGCCCTTCCCGTTTAGCCAATCAATTGGCCATATGGAAAAGAAATGACTCGTCCCTTTTGACGGCAGGAGAAGCTTAAAAAGATTATGCAACAAATGTATATTCTCGTAGATATTCCTGAACATTCCACTGTAGAAGCTCCTAACTAAATCATTTCTTTTTCTATGTCTGGTGCTAAAAATTTTCTTGTCTTTTGTCACTCAAGGGGGAAAAGGTTTCGATCCCGAACTATTTTAGTCGCACCAGAAAAATTTACTTAGAGTAAAAAAGTTACATCAATAAAAACAGGTGACATGTAATTAAAACAAGGGATGAAACTGCTCCTTGTTTGAAAATCATTAGCTGACAATACTTATCTGTTGTGACATTCGTAGATTGATCTCCTTTCGTCTGTATAAATGTTTATTTCTTATCTACGTACTTTTACTTGAAGGCATGTGAATCGAGGTAAAACATCAACAAAAAATAAACGTTTAAGTTATATAACTACCACAAGGGTTGCTAATTTGGTAGATTGACAAATTAAAGTTATTGCATTTCTTTTTCTCGTGTGAAGTTAAGATGAGCTACAGATTTCAAAAAAGATAATCAGGATCCCTTTTTTATCAAAAGAAAATGTAAGCACCTTCTTTGGGCAAAAAGGAGCAGCAGGGATAATAGTCACAACCTCTTTTATCTAACTTTAATCTTAACTCTGCTGACACTCTTGGCTCTTAATCGCATGATCAGAATAGCCCCTCTCATTTGCTATCAGTTTTATTGTGAATGTATGATTTCTTACACCTTGATTCAAATGTCTCGTTACAATTTCTGATAAAAATAAAAATAACCCCACGGGCTACTCCATGGGGAATCAATGCAAGCAAAAGCACTACGTTTCTTTTGAATTCAATCAAGATCTTGTTTAATACCACGTTCAGGTTCGGCATTGCTACCCAGCTGTGCATGGTAGTACACTCAGGTTTATGGCAATGCAGTCAAGACACACGGCACTAAGCTACGGATGTAGATCTTCGAGATTTCAGAGTTTATTAGCTTTCCTTTTTTCTTGAACTTAATTTTTGAATGCAACTCGTGCGGTTGCAAATATCGAAGTAGGATAGGAGTTAAACAAAGGACCAAAGTTAAAAAATCCGTTTGTCTCGTGGGGCAAACCCTCGTCATTTCTTCCTGTGATAATCATGATGACAAATCGGGGTCTTTTGCATTACACACCTGTAATCAATTCTAAATTATCAGCCATATCATCGTCACAACCAGAAACCTTAAATTCAATTTTTCTAGTCTACCACAAAAGTCTCGAGACAAGCCTTTTTAAAAGAATTGAAGCAATGCCCATCGGTGTGCTTTTAAAAGATCAAAAGAAAGAAACAAGAAATTTTTCGATATGTCAGATACTGTACGTTGGAGTGGTCAAAATTCTTTCGGTGCCGTAGTCGAATTAGTAGAACAACAAACTAAAAAAACTTCTGATGCATGCGATCTTTCAAAAGAGATTCGCTAATAATTCTGGTATATGTTCATCCCTTTTCTTTTTATATGGGTGACATATTCAAATCTTTAAATCTTTTCTCCTAGTTAAGTTGGTTGTTCTTTATCTCTTTGAATACAGAATGTTTGCAACAATTTGAAGAAAAAAGCAATTTTAATCTGATCGTATCCTAACATGACTTTTCTTTTTAAGAATTACATTAACTCATAAAGGAATCAGGCCTTTCAATACTACTTCCATTGCCATTGCTTTTATTACTGTGTAAGTCAAGTATAGATTAATCACCATTCATTGGTAATAGCATGATTACAGGACTGAGATATTTTTTATTTGAGCCGCACTTTTATGAGCCATGAGAATGTCATACGTATATCACATGATACCCATGACGTCACCGTATGATTTCAAGAAAACACCGACGCAGGAAAATATTGTGATTTATAAGGAAGAAAATGATATGGAAACCAAGAAAGGAAGGACTTGGAAACAAGCTTGGTTAGTCCTGATAACTGTAGCATTATCAAAATCCTTGGAACCAAAGTATTGATTTAATATACCACCAGCAAACAACGCAGCTACTCACATAATCGGAGACAAGAGGTAATTCAAACGTTCACTTACTATCTTGTTAATCCAATTATGAATATATTGTGATGATTTTGTATCCTATTTGTGAGGATGGCTTCAATTTTTTAATAAGTTCGGAAAATAATAAACACTTTCCCTGGAACTGACTTATCAAAAAATGAAACTAAATTCGAGGGACGCTTTACGAAAGTGTAGTTTGATATCGATAACAGTGTAGAATTATAACATTGCTCAATAAATATACTATAAACTGATAGCTAAAAGAATTATAAAAAAAGAAGAATCCACATAAACAATACGTTCTAGCTGATTATACCTTTTCAACGGTTTCATACTTGTGTGTCTTTTCGTAAATTTCTGGGACAACCAGAGTACCTTGATCAGAATCATAGACTTCGTAAACATCATCTCTTTCAACACCTAATTCTGCGTTTCTGTTTTCTGGACCAAGGAATACAATAATCGTCAAGTATACAATAACGGCAGCACAGAAGATAGCCATGGTCTTACCATAGTCATAAATACCCTCTTCAATATCGATAGGGAAACGTTCACCAATGGTAGCTTCAATAGTTGAAGAAGCTGAAGAAACCAAGTTACCCAATTGATATGAGACACCAGTAACGAAAGCTCTGAATTGAGGTGGGGACAATTCTGAAAGATGGCTAGGAATAACACCCCAAGCACCTTGAACACCGAATTGCATAAAGAAAGCAGTGACCCACATTGGTTTGAAAGCCCATGGATAAATGAAGGCTAAGGTAAAGATGTTAGCAGCAATAATAGCAGTTCTTCTACCAATGAAACTTGACAAGTGACCAACA